CCTGCGTATCGGTTATCATTGGCAGTCCAAAGAAACGTCTAAAAACAGACGAACCGTTACTGTAACCTGCAGCTGACTGCTAGCGTCACCAACAACTTTATTTTCAGAAATTTAAAATTTACATACGAAACACGACATTCAAACGGAATCAAACGCACACTTGCTAAATTTCCTCATGCAATCTTTTCAGATTCACAAAGATACATACCATCTTTGTGATTCTCGAAGCATGGATTTTTCATTTCGAGGCTACAGGCACGTTAAAATAGGCCCTGGACACCATACCCAAGGTCATGGTGGGCAGATCTGACAGACATAACGAACACAAGGTCATGTGGGTAGATACATACCAAACACAACAAGGACACACACATATTTTCTCAGGTTTATTGTTTTGTTTGAATCAAGATGTTATCTTTACCAACTAGTCACAAGATATAAATCATTACATGAATGCAGTTCCTATTATATACATGAATAATACATAATATCGACAGGTAAACTCTGGACAGTACAGTTAACTTACCTGGTTTCTATGGACAAGGTCATTTACATGAAATGAGTTTTAGTAATAATAACAACACCGGACAAAGAAGAATGGTGAAGGTTGACATTTTAGGATTGTTCGATATAAACCCAAATCTTGTTCATTTATTCCAATTAGTAGGTATTTATAGTTCACAGGTATATTATTTATTGAAACTAGTCAATTGTCCAGAATGGAGGGTTGGGGGCATCTCCCTTGCCAAAAGACATACCCGACATCACAGGTTAGGCACAATTTAAGATACAAGGTACCTAGCTACCCTATAATACATTATAAGATACATTGTACCTGGCTACCCTATAATACATTATAAGATACATCTATAGTACCTGACTACCCTATAATACACTATAAAATACATGGTACCTGGCTACCCTATACTACATTATAAGATACATGGTACCTGGCTACCCTAGAATACATTATAGGATCCATGGTACCTGGCTACAGTACAGTATTACAAAACAAATTTAATTTCAACTTTGTTTTACAGTTTTTCATAACAAACAAGTATATAATTTCAACTTGATTGGAATACAATCAACTTGTCAACACCTTGAACAATATAGTGACTGGAAGGTGGTGACAATAAGGTAATGGCACTTGAAAATTACAAAGAAGGAGAATGGTTTACGCCTGTCCCAATCAGTCAATTTGATTTTATATCGCCTCATTGAATACATATTTTATGTCGCCTCATTGAATACATATTTTATGTCGCCTCATTGAATACATATTTTATGTGACCAGAAATGATAAAAATCTTCTTCAATACCTCATCATAATAAATAAATGTAATATTTGAATTTGTATTAAAAAAATAAATATAACACTAAACTTTTAACAATAAAAATATAAACGGACATTTCCATAACCAAGACGATATAACAATCGTAGTTACAGGTATATGTATAAAAACCTAGGCTGTACCCAGTGTCTTGGAGGGGGGTTGGGTGGCTGAATGGTTAGCGTGCACGCGCTGTATCATAAAGTCTGTCATTGAGTCGACTGGCGTGGTTTCGAATCCCCGGTTGTACGTGACAAGGAGTAGGGTCGCCTGTCCAACCTCGTGGGTTTTCTCCAGGTCTTCCGGTTTCCTCCCACTGCTAAAGACCCCTACGCGCAAGCGAATTATGTAAATAAAATTAAAACCATGTTAGTCCCGAAATGACCTAGTTTGTGTCGAGTGGACGTTAAACCCCATTTCTCTCTCTCTCTCTCCAGTGCCTTGGCAGGATGACGCCTGGGGTCTTAAGATCTAGGATTTATCTATAGCCAGGCTTGGCAGACAGGGGCCTAGAGCCACAAGGTATAGGATTTACCTGTAGGCGTGGTAGACTTGGGCCTACAGCATCAAGATCTAGGATTTACCTATAGGCTTGGCAGACCGAGGCCTAGAGCCACATGATATAGGATTTACATATAAAGTCTTTTCAGTCTCACCAAATTACAGATCTATATTTCGTTTCGTTTTATTATGCCTTCGATGGTCTAATTCACGTAAGGGGTCAAACGAGCGTATTTTGACCCTATGACGTCAGACATTGATTAATCAATCAGCGTTGACGTTTCAAATGGTTTACCCACAGTTATGTGTATCAAAAGGCCAAGAACTCGCCGTAACAGACTGTTTCATTGGCTAATCCCTCACATCATCCAGAACACGCCAATGATAACAACTCTTCCAGATCCTAGTGTAGTAAAGACATGTAAAACGAAATTTTGAACTATAAAAATAAAAACGAAACGAAATAGGATCTGTGTTTTAATCAGATTGGACCCCCAAGAGCTTCCGGGGCCTAGACGACCACTGGAACCTAGCCTAACGTCCTACGATGGTAACCACAAGATCTATAAGATTTACCTTGGAAGGATGAAGTCTAGGGCATCAATATCTATGTTTTACCTATAGGCCTCGTGATCTAGAAGGTACCTATAGACTTGCCAGACAGAAACCAAGGGGTCTGTTTCACGAAATTGTAACTAAGATAAAATCCAAATTTTAGGAATTTGATTGGATAATATTAGATTGATTTTAGTACTTAACCAATCAAAATTGAAGTATCTACTAAAATTTGGATTTATCTTTAGTTAAGATTTCGAGAAACAGGGTCCAGGACTTTGAGATCTAGACGGGTTCATCCCAAGGTGTTTTAATATTTTTGACACTGTTATAAGCCTCATCATCCTTGGCTTTGTTCAATTGTTTACAATACAATTTCATCTCCCTCTAGTCCTGAGGGTGGGGGATTGCGAGGGACATCATAAGTGAAATACATTTAGCCTAGGGTCTATCTTCATCTATTAAAATTTGACACTGGGTGTACCTTAACCCCTGTTCATATCCCTAACCAAAAAAAGTTAATAGATATTTAAATATTACGCCCCAAAACTAACAAAATGGTGAGTTTATAATTATACAACGATCAAATCTATTTTGTGTTACAGTTATAGTTTAGTTGTGTTTCTACCCTTTCTTATTGACAATTTTTTGTTCTGGTTCCATTCAGGGCATCATGAACCTGATCTCTGAGTTGTGTTTAGAAAGTTTGTGAAAACTGAAAGAAACATTATTTGTAATATATCAATCAGGATTACAGTTTTTGAGACAATTTGATTAAAACACAGATCTTATTTCATTTCTTTTTTTAAAGTTCAAAATTTCGTTTTCCTTGTATTTATTACACTAGGATCTGGAAGAGTTGTTATATATACTGCGTTCGGGCTGAAGTGACCGATCAGCCAATTAAACAGTCTGTTAGGCAAGTTCTTGGCGTGTTATGCACGGAACTGTGGGTATTCCACCAGAAACAACAACACTGATTGGTCAATCAAATGTTTCATGTCATAGGTTCAAAAACCGCTTGTATGACCCCTGACCTTCCACTACAACCCTCAGATCTTGATGTAGTAGATACCATCGAAAGTATAAAATAATGAAACAAAATATAGATCTGTATCTTAATCAGATTGGTATTTTCTTGGTCAGATAATTTTTCCTATGACAACTTTTAGCATTTCATCAATTTACATGTACATTTTTTTTAAAAAAAAATTTTATACATAATTTAGTAATTTATGACACAATACAATCCATACTTTTTTGAAGACACTAAATTTACATATGGAAGACAATAAAACCAATGCTTGATATTTTTTTCAAAATCAAATCGCTATTATTATTATTATTATACTACTAGCTGGCAACCACCACATGAAAAACATTATATAAATCTCTCACAATATACATGATGGACAAATGTGTTTATATATGAAAGGGAAACAACTCTATTTACAGAAAATCTTGACTTATTTTAATCTAGCACTCTTTCAAGCCTATATTGTTTCCGCTTTAACAACAATGAATATTACTTTTAAACAAAATAGCAGCCATTGCATACACATACCTTGTGACTTATCACTGTAGACAGAACCATTATAGGTGCATTGAGGCCCCTACCTACATGTATACAATCATACAACCACTCACCGGAATAAAAATGTAAATGGTTGATAAAATTTAAAAAAAAAAAATATGCTGTACAGTAAACATTAATCAACATGTAGATTAGCACAAGGCCCCCAAATGTATTGTGAGGCCAACGGGGATCGGCCCTGCATTCCAATATGTTAGGATGGCCCTGATTGTATACATGGTGACTTGCAGCCTGGTTATTACTGTAAACAGTTCACCCAATGAATCTTTGGTCTCAACCCCATGCAGCTTTCAAATACACGGGGAAGGTCATATTTATTTCCACTCAACTAATCGTAAGTCATATGTATGACCTTTGATACTTTTTACACTATTTTGTCCAAGCAGAAACAATATGGGCTGGGATAACCAAGACTATAGACTTATTTGATTGGTCGACCTTCTTGTTTTAAATTTGAAATTGATACTAAAACTAGAATTACACATCACAGAGTTTAAATAAAAGATTGCGATATTAAATAAATAAAATGCAAGCTTCAGGTGATGACTAGCCAGTTACGGTACTGTTATTCTTTCATTGTAAAATGTTAAGAATTTAGCTTCATTTAAAACTTTATATTAGGATTAATTGACACACAGAGTATTGGCTGTATTCTATCTCCGATGTTATTTGTCAAACAGAATTTAGCTGCATTTAAAGATTTAAAAAAACGATAATATGGTTGCGTACCGGGTAATATGTTGATACTGCGTGAGGATGTCAGTCCTAGTATTGTATCAATATATTAAGCAAATGTCTGGCTCATGACCATTAAACAACTTAAATACAGACACTATCCTGTACATGCATTTCCCCCAAATCACATATTTCATCTACTATTAATAATGTACAATTGAATCCTTATAAGACATATAGAAATAGATTTCATTAAAAATAAACACACCTGTATGGATATACTACTTTTGAATTTTATTAACATACAGGTATCGTTATCAAACAAATTATTTGCTTGATAACATACCTGTATGAGTATCATGTTAATAAAATTCAGAAGAAGTATATCCATATAAGTGTATTTATTTTTAATGTACAATTGGTCGGATGCTCATACATTATTTGAAATAATGGTACACCAACACCAGAGGATGACCTCACATCTGCATTTTGATGAATGCCTGAGTGGTATAGGATCTGTAAAATCTGTGTTGTAATCTATACAAGAATGGTCTGATGACTGGTATATGATTTAAACTGTATTTTAACTGTATCCTATACTTGGTTGAATTATAAACCTCTAGAGTGGTATATGATCTGTAAGTTCTGTGTAATAATCTATTCAGGAATGGTCTGTAGACTAGTATATGATTTAAACTGTATAAATATCTGATATATTTCTCTGTTGTATACTGCGATGACTAGCTGAATTATTTTGATTATGTGGTAAATTAAAGTCTGTATGTTCGGAAACTGGTATTAATGTCACCATGTCTGTATTATGCCATTCACGTAATAAAATATGTCCATTTTGTGGTAAATGTCCGTTGCTATAGAGATTGCTATGTTTTGATGGTACTGTGATGTCTTGTTGTATTAAAGGGATCAACATCTCTTTCTTTAAGGCCTGATTTTGATCGTACTTAGTCTGAAAAAAAAGGGAGAAAATAGAACGAATAAATCGATATATTATAATAATTTGCTCTTTAATTTGGGTTTCTATGCTCTTGTCAAATGTTGTCTGTGTAACTCTGCATCAACACTTTTTAATAATTTCTTTGTGCGGAATAATTTGCATGGAATAAATTCCTGGGGCGGGTGGGGGGGGAGTTGGCAGTGAAAAAGTGAACTCATAGCACTTGATCAAATGTTTAGAATTCTCTCAATACCTTGGAAGTTGCCAATCCCGTAATCAGTAGCATTTCAGGCGACAAGGCATGCTCAAACTATGTCGATGGATCACTATAACTAAAACGTTTCTGCTCATACTACATCTGTTTTCTGGGGGTAGGCAGATCAGTGACTGGGCAGAACCATTATGTCCTCTGCCCAATTCTGTCAATTTGGGGGGGGGGGGGGGTTGGATGGCTGAATGGTTAGCGTGCGCGCGCTGTATCATAAAGTCTGTCATTGAGTCGACTGGCATGGTTTCGAATCCCCCAATGTACGTGACAAGGAGTAGGGTCGTCTGTCCAACCTCGTTGGTTTTCTCCGGGTCCTCCGGTTTCCTCCCACTGCTAAAGACCCCTACGCGCAAGCGAATTATTGAAATGAAATTAAACCATATGTTAGTCCCGAAATGACCTAGTTTGTGTCGAGTGGACGTTAAACCCCATTTCTCTCTCTCTCTCTCAATTTGGAATGTTCTCCAAGAGAGAGAGAGAGAGAGACAGAGAGAGAGAGAAATGGGGTTTAAAGTCAACTAAACACAAACTAGAACACTTCAGGACTAACAAATGGTTTAACTTTATAAAAAAATTACCTTGCACGTAGGGGTATTTGGCAGTGGGGGGAAACCAGAGGACCGGGAGAAAAACTCAGACAAGAGAAATTCTTGATGTCTACTCAACCAAGTTACTATTAATATAAGCAATCAATATTTTAATTCTGATAGAAGTCTGAGGATTGTCCGGGGAAAGCATCTGAAAATAAATTTATTAAATTCATATTTTGGGATGTTCTTGTGTTCACTCACCCTTCCTTTGGTTTACTCGCACGGGCATGGAGAAAAAAATAGAAAAAAGATTCTTTTTCTTAATCAGGGTTTGAATCACAACGACAAAAAGTTTCTAAAATTCATTTTGAATTTATGTCCACTTCTTCTGCAAATATAGATTCCAAGCCATTATGGCTCGCTACTCTGGCAGACCCCCCCCCCCCCACACACACACCATACAAATTTCGTCCTGACGTCAAAACATTACAATCCAATATATGCATATACCACCCTGCTGCTCGCGTTTCTAAATCTAATGTCTATAATTACTGAAATATTGGACCAAAGTATTAATGCCCATTGTTATTGATGCTATGCCGTCAATTAATGCCAATTATAATTTGCAAGGCCAGGGATATTTTAAGTGCACTTCCAATTTCTACATGGAAATGAAATGAAATGGGGTTTAGCGTCCTATTGTTCTATTCCGAATGGACTAATGATGACCGGGGTATGGCATATAGTGTGCTTTGAGGGACATTTTGTCTGGACAGAGGCACTATGGCCTACTCTTTGGTTTCGCCTTGAACTGAGGGTCTGGCTAGAATACTAGTAGACCATAGCGTTCTAGCGTATCATCAATGGATCAGGTGGTTCACAAAAGAAGCAAGTTAAAATCTGAGTTCATTTTAACCCCTACAAAGCTCACCAAAACAGCCACATTAAAATATAAATTTGTTTCTTTCGGACAATATCTAACTTTCCACAACTTCATCCACGATCAATATTGTACGTTGTTAGGGATTCTACCTGTTTCTGAAGCAATGACCGCGAGTTTTACAATATCTAGACGGATCTGCAATTCCTGAACTTATAGCTATGTTATCTCCCTATACCGCTGACACATGAACAGTACATGTACATGTAGCATCTAATCAGATGTTGTGACACAAACACACTCAAATCAAACATGGCAACCTTCACGGAAACCTTGACATTGAATGAACCCTGAACTTTGCAACTCAATCATCATAGGTAGACAATTTAGCTGGAAAGCGTGAGACTTAGTATTCGCTATGATCGAGGAATCTGATAGGTTCCGAGGTGGATCAGTAGCCAATCGAAATTAGTGCCGAAATATGCAGGGTTTTACGTGAAGGGCTTGATAAGATGTATGGATTGAAAGCGAGATCAAGCCTTCTATTGACAATGGGCATTCTACGTCCCTCACATAACAATGATTAGCATTAATTATACAAGACGTTTTTACCTTATTGTAACATAAAACTCCAAATATGGCCACCAACATTCCAACAATGTTCATTGGGGAAACAGGATTCTGTAGAATAATCAAGGAACTAGATATAATCACGATTCTCTTTGTAGCGTTAGCAACAGCGTAACTAAGTGGCATCACCATGGAGAGAAGTGTAAATGCGAAGACGTTGTGTAATGCGTTGAATATAGAATCACAGAATATAAGAGACAATGTTTCCCATATACGACCACTCTCCATCTGAAAAGATAAAATATCAATTATCATACTACTACATGTATTTTTTGTATATGAAATGTGCATTTTGTATATGAAATGTATATTTTGTATATGTATTTTGTATAATAATTATCACTAAGGAGAGAGAGAGAAATGGGGTTTAAAGTCCACTCGAAACAAACTATAGGTCATTGAGGACTGACATATATATAGATAAATTTTAATTTATTAATTTGCTTGCGCATGGTCTTTAGCAGTGGGAGGAAACCGGAAGACTCAGAACACCCACAAGGTTGCACAGACGCCCTTAATCCTTGGCCCTTAATCCTTGTCACGTACAAGCTAGAGAGAGAGAGAGAGAGAAATGGGGTTTAACTGTCCACTGGACACAAACTAGGTCATTTCGGGACTAACCTATGGTTTAATTTTATTTCAATAATTCGTAGGCATGTAGGGGTCTTTATAGTCCATGTTACAGACCTGGGATTTTGGAACATCATTACCAATTTGATGAATAAATTCAACCATGATTTTCAGTTAGCCTGGTGGCTGAAGTGTTGAAATTTGGTTGATGGACTTCCGGTTTACTTTGCTAAATTGCATTTTGGCGGCCATCTTTAAAGATGGCCGCCGTTATTTCATTGAAATTGAGCGCATCGGGGAAACCTTCATAACTCCTGAAAAGATCGACCTATGGATATGGAATGTGGCTCACAATGTTCACAAGAAAATGCTTCTTCTGGTGCTGTATGATACTTGTTGTTGAATGAATCATATATTTTCCAAATCAACAGATTATTCTGGAAAAAGCAACCTTTTGGCATTTTTATTTTCCCAGGTTTTCATGATTTATTTTATAAGTTTACTACCAAATCCTGTTCAGAGTAATTTTAGCCAAATTATGTGTGTGGTCTTCTTAAGTTATTCAATTAGCATAAATAAATACGCCCAGTGGTCCTCCCTATACAGCTGCGGTGGCCGCAAACTCAACAAAAGTCGTAAGTAGACTGTCAAATTTAAAATGTTGAACGTCGGCGAGGCAGGGCACAAACTTAGTGAACTTTTAGCTAGTGTGTCACAATCGAAACGATATTTTGGGACGGGTTGTTTCTGTGTCAAAATTTGTCCCTAAAGACAATTTTGAGATTATGTCACTTCTGTGACGTCATTTTCGGTTGGGGTTCTGTCCGATGTCCAAAATGACCGCAAGGGAGCTAAAGATGATCCGAACAATTATAGGCCAATCTCAATTCTCCCCACAATTTCAAAGATATTCGAAAGGCACTTGAGCACTCAAATTCAAACTTATTTGGAAACCTTCAATGTTATTTATGCTTACCAATCTGGATTTAGATCAAATCATTCATGTGCTACTGCACAGATCCGAATGACAGATAATTGGCTTGATGCTATCGATAATGGTGCGATGAGTGGTATAGTGTATCTTGATTTTAGCAAAGCATTTGATCTCATTGATCATAAGCTTATTATTGAAAAACTACATCTTTATCGATTTGATAATAATTCACAAATTTTGATTGAATCATATCTTGACTCATGGAAGCAAAAAGTCTGTTTAGGATCAATTACCTCCTCAATTACTACAATCAAATGCGGGGTTCCACAAGGGTCGATCCTGGGTCCTCTCCTATTCCTTATTTTTATAAATGATCTCCCACTCAATATTGAATCAAGTCAGATAGATTTGTTTGCTAATGACAGTACCCTGCATTGTTCACACAAAGATATTTAATCCATCGCCAATAATCTCCAAAATTATCTCTATTTGGTTGCTAAATGGTGTGAAAACAATGGGATGGTAATCAATCCTTCGAAAACAAAATCAATGCCGATTTCATCAAAACACAAAAGAAATCAGAAAAACCTAACTTTATCACTCCATGGTGAGAAAATTGAGACGGTTACTACCGCAAAATTACTTGGAATTCAAGTTGACCAAGACCTTAATTGGGAAGCACAGATAGCAGATATGTCTAAAAAAAACTTGCATCAAAAATATTTCTCCTAAATAAGATAAAAGATCATTTACCTTACGTGACAGGAATTTTGTTTTATAACAGTTACATACTACCAATATTTGATTATTGCTCTATTATTTGGGGAAATGCTACCAAAAGTAGATTAGACATTCTTTTAAAATTACAAAAGAGGGCAGCAAGAACTATTCTTGATGCACCGATTGAAACTCCGTCCACCTCTTTATTTACTAAACTCGGTTGGCTTACCCTTAAACAGAGGATTCTTTACAATAAAATTGTCTTAGCATTCAAAATTATTACATTTAATACTCCACTTTATCTAAATTTCTATTTTATTGAAAAATCTCTTGTTTTTAACTTGCAACTGCATTCTATTTTATTTTGTGTGTAATTATAGTGTTCTTCCTATTTTCTACTTGTATAATGTATATGTTTTGAAGTTTGGGAGTGACTTATCAAACTCCCCACTTTAAAATGCTATTGCATTTCTAATGATTTTAAATTTATCCTGATATTACATGTATATATGTCTTTGTAACTTAGGAGGGACCTATGGAAGATTAGTTTTTTTGCAAACTAAATACGTTGCCTCATTAAATAAAGTTTTTATTATTATTATTATTATTATTATAGTATCATGCAAGGTAGGGCTTGTGATATATCATGTATAGGGTTTTCGTAGCCACTGAATTTAAAATTGAATTATTTATTGGAATTTTCGATGAAACGGAAAGGTTTGTTCCGTACAGGTATTAGCTTAGAAGGGACAAATACAATTTGTAGACCAGATATTTGATGTTAGTGAACCCATTTTTTCTAGGACACCTGTTTCACACAAAATCTTATTTTCTATCCAGACGAACCTTCAGTATAATAATCTATATGCATACAAAGTTTATGAAAATACACATTCAAGCAGCATTTAATATGGTCTACCACCTGTAGAACACTCCCTTCAACTTAAAAATAAATTGTTTATTGGAATTTTCGATTAAACGTAAACTTTCTGTAAAATGTAAAATACTCGACTAATATACCAGTTGTAACATGTTTAACATCATATCTTTCCACGCGAATTAACAATAAATTGTTCATTCGATAAAACGGAAACATTTTTTATACTTGTAAAATAAATACCTATTGTGTATATGATACGTTGAAGTCTACCATGTAATACGGAAATTTGCAACACGTTTATAAGCACCATATCTTTCTACATGAACTAACAATAAATTGTCCATTGGATAAAAAGGAGACATTTTTTTTATGTATATAACTGTAAAATAATATATGAATTATCGTTTTAACATCATATCTTTTGCCTCCCTTTTCAGGGATGGACACTCAAAAGGAGTATGGTAGTTTCGGGGGTCCCTAAACTAGTCAATGTTCTCGCGTAGTTATAAATTTATGTCGTTTTTGATGAATTATTAAGATATATGCATAAGCTAAAAACACCAGGATATACTCTAGAAAGTACCATTTAAATTACAGTCAGTTTTTTCAAAAGAAATTTCGAGCCTGGTTGTAGAGAACCCCGTCGTTCACCTCACGGAGCAAAGATAAGCCTGTACTATCCTAGGTATAATATGTGTAATTTTATGTCAACTTCACAACTGTCAGTATAAATATAACATTTACTTGACAATTATCACAATTTTCATCTGGCCTTAAAACATTTTAATTGGATTTGTGTTCCTGGTGTTATAAGCTTTCCAAATATGTATAGTTTGTTTAATAGGGAGGACCTTGTAGCGGAACTGTGTTTCTAAGCAAGCTAAAAATTTTGGTTGCAGGTCTACTAGACTATACGACAAAAGTTGCCGGGCATAGAGGCGTTAATGTAAAAACAGACCACATTACCATTTCTGAACGAATAAGAGATCTTAAATTCTTAACAACTGGATATATCATAAATAATTCTCAATACGGCTTAAAATGGTGCAAAGGCATAGTAGATGAAATTAAAATGACTCACTATTTTGGTGAAATGTCTTGTGATCTGTGAGATACAAAATAATCAATTCCATATTATGCCCAATTGTATTGTTTATGGGGTGTGTGTGTGTGTGTGTGTGTGTGTGTGGGGGGGGTCGCATAGGATGTGTCATTTTTAGCAGTATCATTAACATCATTTTCAGCATTATTTTTGAGTTTTTATTCATGTTCAGTGACTCTGAAAACCTTATAAAAGAGACATTATAAGCTATATGGACACAGATCACCAAATATTCCTACGCCGTCACCCACGAAACAAGGGCCAAAGCTATTTTTAGTCTTCCTCTCCCTTTTCCTTTTTCCCCCTTTTGCATGGCGATTTTTGTTGACTTTTTGGTGTAGAATTGAGGAAAAGGGTTTGAAAATACATTTTCTGCCAGGTTTTGGTGAATATTCATAATTTTGATGCGGAAGGATACAAGAGTTGAGAGGTTGGTTACGTTGAAATGTAGGGCCTGAAATTGCATGTTTACTTGTCTCTACTTCCAGCTTGTGTATCTCAAGTTTTTCATGAAGAACCTCATACGTGCTTTTGGGCAAGTGGTTGCCACATGTTGCTCCATCTGTGGTAGAAAGCGTTCTACCCAACGAAAATTTGGGAAAAAGTTAGAGCCGGTCTAAGATACGAGAATTAACATTGGAGTCAATGGGAAATCTTTAGTGATCTGTGTCCATATAAAACAGTCATTCATGTTATGGAAATTCTGACCGCCATTTTGAATTTTCCCCATCTTGGATTTTTAAAACTCTTTGTTTAGATTTAACAAACATTGTGCAAGAGCTAAATCTGCCTATTGCAGTTCTTTCTTTAGGCCTGAAATGTTTTCTAAATTATTATTTAGACATTAATTAACTGACCCAGGCCATAATCAACTCTCGATGGCATCGGATTTCTCCGATATTAAATAAATTAGAACGTATCAGTCATATTTTGATTTAATCTAAAAATGGAGGAGCGAGACTTAGCTTCGAGCAACCAGTACAGTGGTTGAAATTATTGCACGTGTCTTGTCAAACCTTCAAAGGCTAATATCTTCGCTCGCAATAGAGTAATTTGAATGAAATTGTCAAATTATTCATTTTACATTATCTATTTTCGAACTATTGTAGCAAGAATGGCTAGCTCTTTATCTAAATCTTACGTAATGAATCTTTAATTGTAAGCTCATTGGATAGTACATGTCATATCAAACAATGAAATGACTATTATCTGACATATTGGCCATTTTAGGAAATTTTGTCGCCATTTTGAATTTCCGCCATCTTGTATCTGGGACACTCATATTTGAGATTATTTTTTATGATCAATGTTTCTGATATCTATTCAATCACTTAAGTTGACCAAACAGATAATTTGGCTTATATGGGTCTGAACACGATTTGTTAGTAAACATACGAACAGACATGAAAAAAAAAATCGAAAATGTTGCTTTTTTCAGATTAATCTTTTATTTTAAAACTGATAGTATTGATTAAACAACATATATCATATACCAGCAGATGCAGAATTATATTATGAACATTTTGAGATATATTACATATCCATATAGGTGAAACTGTTGAGGAGTTATGAAGGCTTCCCAGACTCACACTATTTCAAATAAGAAAAAAAACGGCGGCCATTTTTTTAAAAGATGGCCGCCAAACTGACATTTGGCAAAGTGACCCGGAAGTCCATCAACCAATTTTGGACACTTTAGACCTAAGGCTAACTGAAAATCATAGTTAAACCAATTCATCAAATTGGTAATGAATATCTGTCTGTCACATGGACTATTAGCAGTGGGAGGAAACCGGAGGACAACTCACGAGGCTGGACAGGTGACCCTACTCGTCACGTACAACTGGGGATTCGAAACCACGCCAGTTGACTCAGTGACAGGCCTTATGATACAGTGTGCACATGCTAACCGTTCTGACTTCCAACCCTCCCTGGGGATCGAAACCACTCCACTTGACTTAATGACAGACCATGTGACCTAAAGCACACATTAGACCATATGGCCACCCAACCCCTTTAATCAATATAAGCCTTTGGCTTGTTTTGAATCCTTACATTTTTGATCAAACGTGACCTCAAGGCCAGCGAGCCAGCGTCATCCGCACTTAGCCACCGTGGCTCCCCCAATTAAAACAAGAAAGTAGGATGTTAAACCCCATACAGTGTGCTATGAGGGAAATTTTGCCCAGACAGCGGCACTACGGCCTACTCTTAAATCGAATTCCAACTGTCAAGGAACCTTTTACGTGCACGCCAATGTTTACATGGGACCTTGGTTTTTCGTCCCATCGGAACGACTAGACAGCTGTCCTTGTCAGGCCCTTCGTCCTGCATCACTGACTAGGGGGAACCGGGCCGGAAAATTGTGTTTAAATATGCATATGAAATCTGTATTATGTTTTATACAACCACCCGTGCTAAGCTAACTACAGATATATGGAAGACCAAACAGCTCTTTATTCAGTGTTCTTAATGTTAATTTTAGTGTAAAAATGTCAAAATATGACAACAAATGAAGAAATAAGATTTAAGGACAATGAATTAAGAACTAAGAATTAAGAACACAAAATAAACAGCTGTTTGGTCTTCCATACAGATACTCCAGTTAATTTGTTTTGATACATGTATATACTTACGAAGTCTGTATCGTGTATAATTTTTCTAAAGTCAAATATTAACCAGATTGGTATAAATAGTAGAGCTGCGATACGCGAACATAAGACTAGCAGACGTAAATGATGTATACCAGTTTGTCGTAAACACTGAAACAAAATTTAATGTTACATAATAATTCCTTATTTTACAATCCATAAATATCGGCATACAGGAATATTCGATTTTCTCTATTTTTTCCCAATTACACTAATTTAGCTGAAAAAAAAATACTTTCACAGTTTGTTCTGGATCGATTTGTCTAGTTAAGATCATGCCAGACTCTCATTTGGATCAATGTTTCTAGTCCAGGTCATGCCAGACTCTCATTCGAATCAATTTTTCTAGTCCAGGTCACGCCAGACTCTTATTTAGATCAATTTCGCTAGTTCAGTCATGCCAGGCTCTTATTTACATCTATTTTGCTAATCCAGGTCATGCCAGACTCTTATTTAGATCAATTTATGTAGTCAAAGTCATGCCAGACTCTAGTTTTGATCAATTTATGTAGTCAAAGTCATGCCAGACTCTAGTTTTGATCAATTTCGCTAGTCCAGATCATGCTAGAAAATTGAAGAATGGAAACTCACCATTTTTGAAAATATAACTTGTAATGAGAAACATGTTGTAGCAAATACTGCACTGTATAAACCAATCATATCAAAGTTTATTTCTGTTACCGTGGCGATAATAACTCCACCAATAATAGGTAAAATAGATAAATACACCTGAAATTAAATGTCAAAATCAATCATTAAAAAAACTTCAGGATATAGGCAAGGAAATTCAGGTGGGCAACAGACCAGATGCCCCATGACATGAATCGTAGACTAACTAAGACAGGTGATGACAATATACATGATGAGTCTAGGGGAAGAACGATCTAAGTCACATTTTCATCTTTTCGCATAAAAGGTAAAACAGACTTTTGGACGAGTGGGTTTAATTACAACTTCATAATTACCAGCACAACAACTGATTTCCTCTTTTCAGCAAAATTAAGGTCAAATAAAGGGTACGATGGAATTATTTATCCAGGAGGCCGTTGCAGAAGGGCCTTGGTTCAATGTGACTCTGATCGTTTTTACCTGAAATTGATTGTTCCACAGAAAGCTCATACAATTTGCTACCAGATGGCGCCATTAACTGGGGTTCGTTGAAAAAGTGACTAAGATCATTCTTCCCCAGGGCTCTTCACATGTGTGATTACATTTCAATTAAATGCTAAAATTAAGTCATTAAGAAAATCTCCAGGATAGGTAATTTGTTTATGGAATAAGCAAGTACATCTACATGTACACAATATAGAAACACACAATGATAATATGGTGATGGATCATCAAATGAAATGGGGTTTAACGTCCAACTGTTCTACACCGACTGAGCTAATAAAGATGGGCATACGTCATACAGTGTGCTATGAAGGAAATTTTGCCCGGGCAGCAGCACTATGGACTACTCTTATATCGAATTCCAAGTGCCAAGGGATCTTTTACCTTTTACTGGGCCTCGGTTTTTAGTCCCATCCGTATAACTAGATAGCTGTCCTTGTCAGGCCCTCTGTCTTGCACCACTGCCAAGGAGAAACCACGTTGGAAAATCCCGATGAACTTTCTCGGCTAATGCAGGGATCGAACACCCGATCTCTAGGGTAGCGAGCCAGCGTCTTACCCACTTAGCCACCGTGACTCCCTATTATAGCGAGAACAGCCAACTCTTTATCTAATCACCCATAATTCCCCTTTAATCTGACCCACTATTGTAACATTTTTTGTGGCAGGTGACCCTCCGACACTTCCTGATGTCAACACAAATAACAAGATCATTAGATATAATTAATAACGGAATACGAGAGTAAACGTCATCAACATCTGTTCACGTGCAAGTCAATAAAAATAAATCAGGAATCAGTGAAGTTTATCCACAACATACGTTAAGATTATTAATCTACATCAGTCGACGACAAAAGATAATATTGATTGATTTAAAACACAATATACTGTAGAACCTGATACTGATGTTTGCTATAGAACCAGGGGTGTATTATAATACTCATGTAGTCAGAATCTTATTGATTAAAGTCTTGTCTCAAAACCCTGATCTTTAAAGGGCCAATCTCAATTACATTTTGGAGCATAAAACTGCTTAATTTTGTGTTAAAAGCCCTTAAAATCCTCTACCTTAATGCCGGGCAACTAACTCAATATTTGTGATACGTTTTCAAACAACTTAAACCCGTCAGTCTTCATCTGTAAATGGAGGCCAGTGTCCCAAGCTGTATTATACGGTGTATGAATAAAGCAAGACTTTTATTTTATAAAAATAAGGTGAAATTTAACTTTTGTTATCAAGTAAAGGACGTGGGTCATGTACTGTATAGATCTCTAAAGGAACGGCAATAGCTTATCAGACACCCAACAAAATATTGACCCGAAATCTTAAAATGAATGCGTGTCTGGATAAGCAGTTTTGAGGTTCACGCCCAAGCGACTCAATATTATGAAATGAAGTTTTGAGACAAGGTACATGTAAATACACCATTCCTCTGTATTTTGGCGCTTAAATTTCATACGTACAGAGACTTTTATTTTTGAGACTCAGGATATTCCCTTTAAATAATCGATGAATGTAACAAGCAACAGCACCCTAGAAACTGACGATATTATTATTATTATTATTAAATCACATAGTGCTATAGAAAGGGGGTGTAGCCTTTTATAATACTGATATAGAACGGAGGTGTAGCCTATTATAATACTGATGTGGACAGAATCTTATAATACATGTATATTATATACATATGATACAAATTTTTAACTATAACAATCTTTCATTGAGAATTCATTACTATAGAAACGGGGGTGAAGCCTATTATAATACTGATGTGGACAGAATCTTATAATATATATAATTTATATATATTCACTTCACTATAAATTAAAAAAAACAACAAAAAAACAAATTCCCTGCATTGGCCGAGAAAGTTCGTCCCGATTTTCCAGCGGGGTTTCCCCTTGTCAGTGATGCAGGACGGAGGGCCTGAAACGGACAGCTGTCTAGTCGTTCGGATGGGATGAAAAACCAAGGTCCCGTATATATATTGGCGTGCACATAAAAGATCCCTTGGCAGTTGGAATTTGATATAAGAGTAGGCCGTAGCGCAGCTGCCCGGCAAAATTGCCCTCATAGCACACTGTATGGCGTACATGTATGCCCGTCTTCATTAGCCCAGTTTAGGAGCAGAACAGTAGGACATTAAACCCCATTTTATTTCATTTCATTTCATAAAAAAAATTTTAACGACCACCTTTCACTAAGAATTTATTGATTGAAAAGATTAAAATACATTGTGCTATAGAAACTGGGTTTAATATAATATTAATGTGGTCGGAAACATATATGGAGAGAGAGAAATGGAGTTTAACGCCCATCTTGACACAGACTTCTGACTAGGACATTTTGGGACTGACATGGTTAAATTTTATTTCAATAATTCCCTTGCGTACAGGGGTTTTAGCAGTGGGAGGAAACCAGAGGAACTGCACGGGGTTGACAGGCGACCCTAATCCTTGTGTCATACAAGTGGGGCATCAAAACCACAACAACTTGACTTAATGACAGATCTTATGATTTCACGTGCACGCATTAAACCACTAGATCTACATTTTCCTTTGTTGCCTGAGCAACCTCGTGGGTTTTCTCCGGGTCCTCCAGTTTCCTCCCACTGCTAAAGACCCCTTAGCGCAAGCGAATTATTGAAATTAAATTAAACCATATGTTAGTCCCGAAATGACCTAGTTGTGTCGAGTGGACGTTAAACCCCATTTCTCTCTCTATCTCTCTCACATTTTCCTTTAATTATTCCAACAACAACCGTCAGCTCTTTATCTAAATCTTACATAATACAACTTTAATATATATACTTCCAGGTATATACAACTTTAATATATATACATGTACATGTACTTACAGGTATATACAACTTTAATATATATATATATACTTACAGGTATATACAACTTTAATATATATATATACTTACAGGTATATACAACTTTAATATATATATACTTACAGGTAATGTCTGTTTTTCATTTAATAAAACTCTTGATAAAACCACAGTAAAGAGAGGTAAAGTAGCTTTCACTGAAAACAACATTCATATATCACTATTATTGTCTTACACAATGTTACGTATTTATCATCATCAATCAAAGATCTGTGTATATACATGTATGTGTGTACAAGTATATGTTTGCTTCACCCCCACATATGTGGTATCAAATTAACCCGCAAGACCCTGTGAATGTTTAGGGCATCAAATTTGGGACCTGGTCTAATTTGGGCCCCCAGGCAACTTTGAGCCCCGGGTGAATTTGGACCCCGGGCTAATTGGTCCTCCGGGCGAATTTGGGTCCCAGACTGCTAAGTCGGGTATTCTGCTAGCACAGAATCAGAATGAAACAGTTTGTATACATGTGTATATATATAATACATGTAATATGCAGAGGTATAAAATAGGTAAAAGGCAATAATTCTCCCCAGAACAGTTTGTATTACTACGTCCGATGTCAACAACTCATCAGATGTAGTAATACACGTACAAACAGTATTGATGCCATATTATGTGACATGTAGAATTTAATTAAAGGTCATCTTGTACAGTGGTTAAAGAGACCATCACATTACCCCAATACTGTAATAACAGTTTTAGAGATAGAGAAAGAGGGTTTAACGTCCACTCAACATAAAGTAGGTAATTTCGGAACTAACATATATGGATCAATATTATAACATAAATTCAGCTGCGCACAGGGTCTTTAGCAGTGGGGGGGAACTGGAGGACGTGAAGAAAACCCATGAGTTTGAACAGATTACCCAACCCGACTCCTGGTCACGTTCAAGTGGGGAAACGAAACCATGCCACTTGACTCAATGACAGACCCTGTGATTTCATGCACATGCATTAATCCACTAGACCAACCCCCTATAATAAGAGTTTAAGATCCTTTGTATAAATCGAATTAACACATTAGATTAACCCACCAATTATTTTTCCTCAATCAAAGATGTTTAATGATGTCACACAATAATAAATGACAGGACAGGAAATGAAATGGGGTTAAACATCCTACACGAACCGGAATAATTATACACCATACAGTGTGCTACACATGAAATTTTATGTTTCTGTCTGTAGGCCTACTCTTCATTGAATTCCAGCTATCAAGAGTTCAGACTTTTACACACACCTCAACATACTCTGAAATTGGTTTTTCATAAGATCTGAACGACAACAAGCTGTTCCATGCCAGGCCCTCCATCCTACACATCCTAGATATACGTACGGTGCCCTACTCACTTAGCCACTATGGCTTCACACATCAATAAATGTCTCATATAAATTCCTACTTTAGTAATATTGACATTAGAGATACTAACCTGTATGTGCGTACGAAACGGAAGATTTCCATATGCTAATAAACGATGACAGCGATGACAGAAATTTTCCCAAAGCAAGGGGGATAATCATTGTTAAATAGTATTTTTTAGGTATTTCGACAGCTGATGGAATATTCATATATCTTAAAAATGGTTCCAATCCTATAGACAGAGTCACTAAATAGGCCATTGTTATTGTCATGGGATATGGAAAATCATTCAGAATCACTTTTCCTATAATGTTGTCACATGAACTACACATGTACCATAATAAACAGATTAACACGATCTTTAGGGCGTACATATGAGTCCGATTATCCATTTTGAATCTTCTGTGGAATTGGGCCTATTCCCTTTATTCCCTTCACTTGACTTTCTAAAGGCCTTTAAGGTCCCTGTTTAGATCGAACAGTTTGACATTTCTCTAAACCACCTGCACTGTTTTCATCTGCTAGACACGTTGCCGCATAGAGGGCGCTGTGTGATCCCTAGTCCGGAATTAATGTTTTATTGCATTTCAATTGATCATTTTTGTATAAAATTGCAGCAAAATTCTGTATAATTTTTTTTAAGACACGTAGACTATTTTATAATTTATTTTCTATCAACTATTCACGTATTAAGCAGGTTAAAGGAATACAAATCGTAAAAGTTTACACAAATTTACTGCGGAGTAACAACATGTCAGCCCCCATGAAGCGAAAAACATCGACTTGGAGTTAAAAAATAATTTTTCAGTTTAGTACCGTAAAATTTCTCTTGTAAGTACATGGTACTCGTTGGCTTTAGACCACGTTTCGATAAATAAATCTGTTATTGGAAGGAAATCATTAATTGTGTAATAACTGCAGACACGACTTTGAAAACCCTGTAGAATGGACTAAACCCTAAGCAGCGTTTTACCTTGTTTAAAGGAGCTAAATCGCTAATATTTTGGACCTAGAAATTGGCACAAATGGGTCGCACCACATATTATAATGTAATATGAATTTATATAAACTGTTTTACATTCAATCGTGTCCGTTTTACTGTGAATTGTCATCAGTTATGTTCGGCGAAATGCGCCAGAAGTCTCAACCGCAAGTCAGTTTCTAGCGTCTGGTTATTCCGGTCAACACCGTTATTATTCATTGCGTATGCTCTCCAAATAAGAACATGATATCACCGTTTGACATGACTTGTGGAATATGTCTAGCCCCATTCTTTGAGCACCTTGTTACAAATGGCGCTGAAACTCATTATGGTACACGAATCGTGTACCAATGGTAAAATGTTTATTTTGTCTTAAATATTGGATATTAGAAGCCCATCTTTTCCCGATAAGATCACAACACCAATGCTGATTTAAATTGCAAAAAAAATCGTGTTTTCAATGTCTAAAATTTTGGATGATATTGAGTTACGGACTTAGCTACTTTAAAAACTAATTTTGCAAATTATGTATTATTTAACAAAGTTGAGGTGTTAATATAGAAGACCCTATATACTTTCTGTAAATATATTACAGGCAATGGATGCTGGGTGAAACTATTATAAATATTATACAGTTGATGGACGTAGGTGGAGAAGTGTACGAATATGAAGAAGGGGAATTTATTAAAACTGTTTGGAGTTATCAGTGTTCTGTTTTTAATGTTACAGTTGATATTGTATAAAACAGTTTATAGACAGGTAATTGGTATTAAGTGTTTTACCTTTCACCAATCTGATTAAAATACAGATCTATATTTCGTTTCGATTTATTTCTATCACCTTTCACAAGAGTGCATGCTACTGAGGAATACATATTTTTACATTGGCAGCAATTTTATTACAGATTGAAGCAAGTATAAAACATTTGCACTTTCCTCTAGTCGTGAGGGTGGGAGATTGTTTGGTGGGGGGGGGGATAGATGTAAGTGGGCCGGCATTCATTGTGAGGAATATTTCGAGGGATGTCTTTCATGTAAGTGGGCTGGCCTTGGGTTGTTAGATTGGGAGGGGTGTCGTACATGTAGGTGGAACAGACCTGGGCTGAGTTTGGGTGGGAGATTGGGAAGGGCATCATATAAATGTATAAATGTAAGTGCCACAGCCTTGCACCTTTCTTCGTCTAGATCTAACACTGTGTATAATTATAATGGCTGTATCCTGGTCTCCACAATACAGTTAAAGTCTGATTACATGTACCTCCCTGAACTCTTTACATCATCTAGAAGGAGCCCAACCTGTGATTTCGTGACAAAATTTGTCCTTATAGGATGTATGTATATGCCCATCTCTATTAAAACAGCATTATGGAAGATCAGATAATAGTTGAAAAATAGATAATGTAAAGGGAATATGCTAAAACTTTCAGTAAAATTACTTCAATCTGAACCTAGATATTAGCGATACAATTATGGACTAGCTTCGATCTTCATTACTACCGTTGTTACAATGATAAACAAAGTCTTGATTGTTAATTTTTACGTTAAGGTCTTGTCATGATATTGAATGTGTAATTAATAATTTAGAAAACATTTCAGTCCTAAAGAAAGACCTGCAATCGGCAGATTTAACTCTTGCATAATGTATGTTTAAATCAGTTGCTGCAGAAAAGTGGATTTATTTCTTTTTTTTCAGACTGTAGATTTTTCTAAGCCAAGTTTTAAAGTCAGTCATACAGAAAAATTGGTAAGAACAATTTTTTTTTAACACTCATATTTCAACCATTAAAAAGGGTGTCCCACCATAAATGAATATTTCCAGATATGTCAATGTTTAACGAGTGCGCGTTGTATCATAAGATCTGTCATTGAGTGAAGGAGTAGGGTCGTCTGTCCAACCTCATGGGTTTTCTCTGGGTCCTCCGGTTTCCTCCCACTGCTAAAGACCCCTATGCTCATGCAAATTATTGAAATAAAATTGAACCATGTTAGTCCCAAAATGACCTAGTTTGTGTTGAGTAGACGTTTAACTCATTTCTCTCCCTCTCTTGTTATTGACAGACTTGGATAATCAAGACTATTCTATACGAAACATTACAAGAAATCTAATTTAGTAACACACGAGTTGGGCAACTCAACGATTATTTTATGATCTTTCTTTCTATTTTTCAGAGATTATTGAAGATATTTTTAACTAAAGCTAGTGAACTCAATATTAATATATTTTTGATAGAGCCAGACATTTTGTTGTCAATAGCAACCAATAAAACCTCAGGTCACATGACATGTTCTTATTTATGTCAATCTTCCAATGTGATCACATTTGGTATCCATGGCAATAAGGAACAAGAGGTATTATATTTTTGTTTGTGTGTTTCCACTGAATAATTGGACAGTATACCTAGTCATGTATATATACGTAGGGGACTAACTATGTCAAGGTTAAATGAAATGGAGTTTTTAAAGGCCCTACTTCAAGTCCGGCATACACCATACATTGTGTTAAGAGTCAAATTTTGTCTGAGCAGCGACGCACTATGTCCAACTCTTATTTTGACTTCCAACTGTCAAAGTTTCATTTACATCTCATTCGAACAACTACATTTAACTGACCCAGACACCAGAAAGAGCCGAGAGTTGGGTGGTCTAGGGGTTTAACACGTGCACGTAAAATCATACAAGGTCTGTCATTGCTCCAAGTGCCTTGGTTTTGAATCCCCGCTTGAATGTTAAAGTAGTGGGGTCGCCTGTCCAACCTTGTGGGTGGTCTAGGGGTTTCGCGGTTTCCTCCTACTGCTAAAGACTCCTACGCGCAAGTGAAGTATTGAGGAAAAAAACAAAACTATATGTTAGTCCCAAAATGACCTAGTTTGTGTCAAGTGGACGTTAAGCCCCATTTCTCAGATATAGTTATGACAGGTATCATGTATGCAATATCTGGCAGAGTATGCTCATAACCCCTAGCACACCTGATATCATTTATACATTTAAGGTATTCATGTGACATCCACAGTTTTATAATTTTGTTCATATAACTTTCTCTATTTGTATTACAGAGTTATTTATTGGATGACTTCATAGCAGACGGCTTTCTTGTTATAGAATCTTACGTTAAAAAATCTCTCTCTCTTCCGTCACATTTAACATCCAATCAAAATCTTCCGTCCCATTATTTCCTCTTTCAAACTGGACTTATACTCCACGTGGTGGTGTATTATACCAGGGGAGATAACTTTGTTTGGTCCAGTCGAGTTTTATTTGAACCAGGAGTCAAGCCACCGTGGTTAAAGATAAATAAACTAACGTTTGGAAAACATTCAGCAGCTACATTTAATAGGTAAGTTAACGATCATCGCAAATTTTCAGCACTTTAGTCCAAACACATAACTTGCGAAACTGGGTGGTGTGTTGAACGACACAGCGGAGAGAAAATGACAAATTAAATATTGGTTATTTAATATCGAATCATGAAAAAAAAATATATGTCAACATTTTATTATTGACGCAGATGGGTAGGTTTTTGTATGGGTCACAATCTATCCACGGATGGGCAGGTTTGTATGGGTCCTAAATCCTAATCTATCCGTGGGCTGGTCGTTTGGATGCAAGTGTGGAAATATTTTGACTGTCCCTTTATAAAGATTAAATACACTATAAACATAATATAATAGGTTTCAGACATCAACCCCTTAAAAAATCATACAATGATTCCAATCACACCTAAACATTATCCACTGCTCTATGTAATTTTTACGGCAAGATACAGAATATTTCAATATGGGTAATTGTCAAACATGCCTGTCATTTCTGGAGCCGTGGTGGCTCATCGAGTAAGATGCTAACAAAGAGGTCTCGAATTCGATCTCGGTGTCGGCTCAGAAAGTTTATTGAGATTTTCCGACATAGTTTCCTTTTTGTTCATCGTGCAGGGACCAATCATTCGCATGGGATGAAAAACCTAGATCCTGTGTACAGATGGACCTGCACGTAATTAATGAAACCTTTACTGTGGGAATTTGATAAATGAGTATCCCATAGCACCACTGTCATGGGTGACATTTTCTCATAGCATACTGCATGTCGTAAGCTTGTCTTGATTAGCCCAGTTGTTGCAGAAAAAGGGGGGTTGGATGGCCGAATGGTTACCACGTGCGTGCTGTATCATAAGGTCTATCATTGAGTCAACTGGCGTGGTTTCGAATCCCCGGTTGTATGTGACAAGGAGTAGGGTTGCCTATCCAACCTTGTTGGTTTTCTCCCGGTCATGTTTCCTCCTACTGCTAAAGACCCCTACGCGCATGTGAATTATTGAAATAAAATTGAACCATGTGTTAGTCCCAAAATGACCTAGTTTGTGTCGAGTGGACGTTAAACCCCATTTCTCTCTCTGTGTTGCAGAAAATTTAAACTCCCTTTTATTTCACTTTTTATTACAGTATTGAAACAGAAGTAATTAAGATTGACAATGTACAGATATCCGTTCCAACGAATATTAATAACTTCCTGTCTGATGTTGAAACATCAACTTTTATCGAATGTAATTATGATCGTGCGGAACTCTTCTACAAGAAAAACCCAAAGGATTCCAGTCCGTCTTCTCTTCATTTCCAGAAGAAAGGGAGACAACTGTTAGCAAAAGCGAAAGATATTCTAGATTCAATGGGTATTAGGTTTTGGTTGAGCAGTGGAACATGTCTAGGTATGTAAGTAATGAAATGTTCTTTTTTTTTATTTCAAATGTCAAAGGTTCTTAGACGTGCACACCAATCTGTACACAGTACTTTCGTTTTTCATGCCATTTGAACGACTAGACAGTGTCTTTGCCCGGCCCTTTGTGTAGCACCACTGAAAAGGAAAACCAGAGTTATGGCCCTTGGTCACTTTGAAAAATCTTGCGGATGCTCTAGTGATTACAGTTTCATCCAATTGACGTCAAATTAATACACAATATACAATGTTTATGGTTATAAAAGAAGAATCCTATTAATTTTATGTGATTTCGGATAGAGTTACGTCCCTTGATCAAATAGTAAAATCTTGACTCTTGTGGACACTGTAGAGGCTAGAATAGTCCATCATCCGATTAACTTTAGTTTTGAAATACAATGTTGATGGTCATGATACGAAGAAGAATATTTATATTTAGGGATTTCCATAATTACTGTGAGAGTTATGGCCCTTAACCATTTAGAAACATCTTGTGGACGTTCTAGAGGCTATCCGTCTTCATTTGCCCAGTTGGAGCAGAACAGTATTACATTAAACACCATTTCATTTCATTTCTAGAGGCTAAAGTTATCATCAGATTGACTTTAAATTTATAGACATTGTTTATGGTCATGAGGTGCAATAATTACAGCCAGAGTTATGTCCCTTGTATTACAGGTTGGTATCGTCAGTGTAATATTATACCATATAGTAAAGATGTTGATATCGGAATCTGGATTAAAGATTACAAGGAGGGATTAACAGAATATTTTGAAGATCATGGTCTTTTACTCAAACATCAATTTGGACAGGTATATACAGTGTATAGCTATAATTTTAAACTAGGTTTAATTAATGTATTCCAGTAATCAGGTCCATCTTCATTAGCTCAGTCGGAGCAGAACAGTAGGATGTTAAACCCCAATTTATTTCATTTCATTTCCAGCCCCAATCAGGGTTGGTGTCCGATCATTTCTATGGATATCTGTGTCGGCATTAGTCAGATGCCTATTTAACATAATATTGTAACATAACATTACATTCCAACGACATAACATAACATCAAAACAACACAACATAACATCAAAACATAACATAACATCATAACATAACATCATAATAACATAACATCAAAACAACATCATAGCATAACATTGTAACATAACATTACATCATAACGTAATATCACATCATAACAGTATAACATAACATCATAACACCACATCATGTCACAACATCATATCATAACACAACATCATATCATAACACCACATCATGTCACAACATCTTATCATAACACAACATCATAACATAACCAGGATAGCATATCGTAACATCATAACATAAAATCATAGTATATCATTATAACATAACATCATAACATAGCATACCACATAACATAACATAGCAATATAACATTACATTATAACATCCAAACTTGTAAAGAATTCAACATATGTGTGTGGGTTTTTTTTAATTTGATAAAATGATGGTGTGGGCTATAATGATAAAATGATTGAGTGTGCTATTGTGATAAAATGATTGAGTGTGCTATTGTGATAAAATGATTGTATGAGCTATTGTGATAAAATGATGGTGTGTGCTATTATGATAAAATGATGGTGTGTGCTATTATGATAAAATGATGGTGTGTGCTATTATGATAAAATGATGGTGTGTGCTATTATGATAAAATGATGGTGTGTGTTGTACTATTATGATAAAATGATGGTTTGTGCTATTATAATAAAATGATGGTGTGTGCTATTATGATAAATTGATGGTTTTTGGTTTTATGATAAAATGATGGTGTGTCCTATTATGATAAAATGATTGAGTGTGCTATTATGATAAAATGGTGGGGTGTGCTATTATGATAAAATGATTGAGTGTACTATTATGATAAAATGATTGAGTGTGCTATTGTGATAAAATGATTGAGTGTGCTATTGTGATAGTGTGCTATTATGATAAAATGATTGAGTGTGCTATTATGATAAAATGGTGGGGTGTGCTATTGTGATAAAATGATTGAGTGTGCTATTATGATAAAATGGGGGGGGGGGTGCTATTATGATAAAATGATTGATTGTGCTATTATGATAAAATGATTGGGTGTGCTATTATAATAAAATGATGGTGTGTGCTATTACGATAAAATGACTGTATGTGTGCTGTTATTAGAATATGCGAATTCAACTGGTTGAATATAATATATGTTTTTTATTTGTAGAAAAATGATAGTTTTGAATTATCATTCCGACTAGGTGAGGTGAAATTAGATATATTTTTCTTCTATGAAGAAGATGATCACATGTGGAATGGTGGAACGCATGCATGGACTGGACAAAAATACAAGTAATTTTTATTTAATAACATTTATACTATACTCTTCAAAAAAAGTAGGGGATATTCAGAAACAATACAAAACTGCAGAAATGCACTGCTGTTTTTATTAAAGATAACCAGTGTATGTTAATAACAGGCCAATTGCCTACACATGAACATCAACAGTTCATATGGACGGCTCATCTGACGGCCCAATTTCACCTGCAAAGAGATACACTGTCAAAAGTGAAAATGGACGTTTTTGATTTTTGTCTTAATAATGAGTAATTGCTCCACCAATCTCAGTCATTCAGCAATTCGTCATGCCATGCTCCTAATCAACCATCCAGTCACGATTTGGGGAAATCTGACCCACTCCTCTTGCAGTGCCACGGCCAATTCTGGCAGTGTTGTCGGTTGATGTTGACGTCGACGAACACGTCTCCCGATCAAATTAAATGTAACACACTAAAGCAAAGATACATTAAACAGTAAATCTTATGCAAGAACCGATAGGAAAGCAAACATGGATAGGATAAACCAGCAAGCGGCAGTTTTCATCAACCCTTCCTTGAAGTGTCAAATTTTACAATGAACCCCTCCCACGTGTATGGCGCTATTGCGTGTCGCATATGTAAAGCTCAGTGGTTCTGTTGGGGCGATAAGTTCTTCATCTGTGAACATACTCTCAAAACATGTCAAGTGTCCATGACTATTTATCATATCACAACCTGCATAGGTATTTGCATTTCAATATCCCCTACTTTTTGGGAAGAGTATATTAAGGAATGATAGGCTATCTATTGACCATTAATCACCCTGAATTAGAAGGGTTTTTGTTATCTGATAGATGATGAATTTCAGCCAATCAGCATATTCCTGGAGCAATGCCCCGAGAAATCCCTCTCTTACCATTGGTAGATTGGCTTCTGATACTTGAGCTTTTGAGAGAGTTTGTCTATTCTTCCTGTTCAATCAAATCTATCCCAAGTACAGCAACATGACAGCACTTCGTTTAATCTGGGGTCTTCCCTAAAACTTTGGACTATGATTTAAGGTAATAAAAACGGTGAAATTATTGTTTGTCTCCAAACTGTATTGTTTACATTGTATTTGTTGTGATAGCCTCATTTGTCACGCAATTAGTTTTTCTGCAATATTCTGCTATGCACTGGTTAATTAGGCATAATAATATTTGGTCCAATTTGGAGCTCTGTTTAAAGTGTAATGATATTGTTACGCAGTTAGCTATTGGTTTTTAATCGGACTATTGACCCGTCATAATTTGGAACAGAAATTTGCGTCCTTTATAGCAGTGTTAAGTGGGATTAGGTATAATCAAATGAAATACTGCGAGGAGTATGGCCAATCAGATTCATCAAATTTGTAATCAATTTATGCAATCATTTAAATGAGTATACACTGCGTATTTAAATATGAATTTTTTTTTTCTAGATATATCTTTCCAAAATTTACATTGTGTTGGACAGAGTTGCTAGATCTGAAAGTTCGCGTACCATGTGAAACCAAGTCGTACATTGTGGCTAATTATGGCCCCAACTGGTTTGTGCCAATACAGGACTGGAAATGGAATAAAAGTCCACCAAATGTCAAGGATAATGGAATGTGGCCAACGAAAGACTGGGAAAGAGTGATTCAAGTTTATGATTAGATATAGATAGCGCCATTTTTAGAAGTCATGTTTCACAAATCCTACTAAGAGTTTAGATATGTATACTCACCTTTGTTTAAACATACATTATGTTAGATTTAGACAAAGAGAGAGATTGAGAAATGGGGTTTAACGTCCACTCGACACAAACTAGGTCATTTCAGGACTAACACATGGTTCAATTTTATTTCAATAATTCGCTTGTGCGTAGGGGTCTTTAGCAGTGGGAGGAAACCGGAGGATCCGGAGAAAACCCACGAGGTTGGACAGGCGACCCTACTCCTTGTCACGTACAACCGGGGATTCGAAACCACGCCAGTTGACTCAATGACAGGCCGTATGATACAGCACACACGTGCTAACCATTCGGCCATCCAACCCCCCACGATTTAGACAAAGAGCTGATCGTTGTTGTTATAATAGTTCGAACATAGGTAATGCAGAATTAATATATTGAAAATTTCATTCAAATTAATTTATTCTGTGCAAAGTTAAGAGTGTTTGAAGGTTTGACAGGACGTAGCATAGATTGTATTGCTACGGTACTTGACAATCGAGACTAAGTTTGATCTCTTTTATCATTAAATTTTTAAAACAGGGATGTGTTCTAAAACATTTAAATCTCAACGTTTTTTCGCCTTGTCAGTGGTGCAGGACAGCTGTCTAGTCATTTGGATGGGACGAAAAATAGAGGTTCCGTGTATACATTGGCGTGCATGTAAACGATCCCTTGGCAGGTGGAATTCGATATAAGAGTAGGCCGTAGCACGCTGTCCGGGCAAAATTTTCCTCATAGCACACTGTATGGCATATGCGTGTTTTCATTTACAAAACAGTAGGATGTTAAACCCCGTTTAATTTCATTTCATTTTTTTCATTGTGTAAATGATAATTTATATAACATTATGTAGCTCTTACATAATGCCCAATTTTAATATGGTTTTATAGTACAGTGTCAAACTTGTCTACATGGTTATATACTGCCACTTACAAGTGTTTCGTGAAACAAGTGTTGTTTACTAGTGTCAAACACGTCTACATTGTCATGGTTTATATACTTATATAAGTGTTTAGGGACTCTGACATCAATTCATTATAATCCAAAGTTTTATGTAAAATTATGATGTCATTGGGTAACTGATCAATATCTAGTCAATAATCATTTTGAATGTATATGACTCAATAATTTATTCTTGCCATGTTGAATGGATGTGGCAGAACGGAGGGCCTGACAAGGACAGCTGCCTAGTCATTCGGATGGGACGAAAAACCGAGGTCCCGTGTACACATTGGCGTGCACGTAAAAGATCCCTTGGCAGTTGGAATTCGATATAAGAGTAGGCCGTAGCGCCGCTGCCCGGGCAAAATTTCCCTCATAGCACACTGTATGGCGTATGCCCGTCTTCAATTAGCCCAGGTTAGGTGCAGAAGAGTAGAACGTTAAACCCCATTTCATTTGAATGGATGTGACTGGCTGATTTTTCTAGTCCTTAAGACAAAACCCCAAAAAACATCTTTAATGTTTGTTTGATGACATTTGGACAAGGATTGGGTCACCAAACGCAACTCATCTTGTTGCTCATGGCTCCACCAATCCAAGGACCTGGCAGGGGACAGTATATAGTCGTCCAGATGAGACAAAAAAACTGAGGTCCCTTGTACACATTGACGTGCACGTAAAAGATCCCTTGGCAGTTGGAATTCAATATAAGAGTAGGTCGTACAGCCGCTGTCTGGGTAAAAATTCCCTCATAGCACACTGTATGGCGTATGCCTGTCTTCATTAGCCCAGTATAGGAGCAGAACAGTAGGACGTTAAACCCCATTTCATTTCATTTCATTTCGTGTACATGGGACCATAGATTTTTGTCCCATCCGAACAACTAGACAGCTGTCCTTGTCAGGCACACTGTATGGCGTATGTCATTAGCCCGGTAGGTGAAGACCAGTAGGACGTTAAAGGTACAATAACACTCTTGCTGGCTTGACAGCTCCAGATGTGTTAGTGTCCTACCTGTTGTGTAAATTATCCATTACATCCTATTTTACTTGTCCAGAGTGTTCAAAAATATTTTTAAATCCAAGTCACATTTGAAAAGGTTTACATTAGGCTTTTCAAATCATTTAGTTGAATTTTTCCAATTTTTTAAATTAGGTGTGTTAAGATGAAATTTGTATCATCAATTAATTGGAATATTGTAAAATAGTACAATTTGTTGACTAGAATAAAGATTGGGACATATTATTCAGTTACAACAAGAGTGGTATTGAGCCTTTAAACCCCATTTCATTTCATTTCCACCAATTCCAGTGCAATCAACAGGAAACTTGGTATGCTTGTTTCTTAGTTAACTGCACATCGATATGACATTACAAATTCAAGATGGGGACAATGACATCATGCTTGCTCCCTGGTCCATAACTTGTTAATTTAGAAGTTTTATTTTATTATAATTAGTTTATAGTTCGTAAATTGTGCCATTAATTTTATTGAAAGAAAAAGTTCTAGTGTGTGCCAATTGATATTATAAATAATGCATTTTACTTTTTTATTTGTACTTTTATTCTTTCTTTTTTTTTTATGTTGTATGTGAGTGACAGAAATAATAACTGTTTGTTTATTTTATTGTTTTTTTATGAGAGTGACAACTTTAGTTTTTCATTAAAAACAACTGACTAATCAAATTTTTTTCTTTTAAATTTTTAGAGAAATAATAAACCCCAACCTATTTCTGTGAATTACTTCTGACTTATTAAAACATGATTTTCCAATTCTTTGTGTGGTGTGGTTTGGTGGCCAGGTGGTCTAGAGTGTGAGATGTAGATCGTAAAATCTGTCACCAATGCAAGTCGTGTGTCTGATCCCAAACGTGTATGTTAGCTAGTTATCCGAGATTTTGAGTCTTAAATTAACGATTTTAGTCCAACATGCGATAACGCGGCGATAGGGAAATACAAATTATTCAGTTGAACATACTTTAGTCCTGAAATTAGATACAGTTTTGTGGATCTTAAATTCCATGTCTTTGTAAATTAAGTATCTTAAGAATTTTTTTTAATCTACCATAGTTGAAAATGATTTATTGGTTTGCATGTGAATAACCAAAATTTTATGACAATAAGCAACATTTTGCACTAAAGATTTATTAAAAGTTGTTGTTTGTCCTTTTAAGGCTTTTTTAAATCCCCTGCAAACTACAATAGGATTATAAACCAACCGTCTTTTAAATCTTATTGAAGCCAAGCTGGGAGATTATTTACCATTGTAATTTTGGTTTTGTTTTCTTAATTATAAAACATGCATTATGCAAGAGTTAAATCTGCCAATTGCAGGTCTTTCTTTAGGCCTAAAATGTTACCTAAATTATTAATTTGACATTTATTAACTTATCCAGACCATAATCAACTCTCGATGCCATCCTTAGTTTGTGATATTTACTGGATTGGAATCCGAACTGCTGCTTAACACTCATTGATAATTAAATCAAAAAATGGATAATCAAGACTATGTTTTTTATCGTTCTGACTTTAGTAACGATAATCAAGGCTACTGTCTGAACCATCGTAAATTTTAAACAGATTTTTCGATTATGATCAAACTACTTATCTTTGGTTATTTTAAACTTACATGTGTGTTTGAAATCAACTCCCGTTAAATAAAATCCATTACATAATTTAATATCCCAACGAATAAAGAAGTTCTCTCTTGAAAAAATTGACGTATTTACTTGTATTTTTGACTGAGTTCAAGACAACATGACTTTCCTCCCATGTAGGACGAAACCATTTAATCTGGTGCAGGGTATGACAGAGATTTTGACAACCACGTGTTGCAATCAAAACAAAGCGTCCTAATTTCGATCGTTTGAGTTTGGGCAACGAAAATTATCAACTGAAGACAGTTTTGACCGTATTGTGATATGGTGCAATATTTATTGTTCATGATGAAAATATATTCTTTATCAATTATTTTTTTTTTTAATTTATTGTAAATAATGCTTAAATCACACCATAGCCCCCACCTTCAATAGAAGCTTAATCTCGCTTTTAACTACAAACATACTCATAGTTGTTGCTTTAGGAACATGCATATAGCCCCATAATTTTAAATACGTTGTACACGTACGTTAATCATGTATTAAAGATATTCATGGGTAAAATTTAAGACCCGTAAAACGAATGTCATTGTTTTTGTGTCGCATATGTGTTCATAAGAAAATTCATTCACCCGACTCTTAATCAAAAATATGATTAAAACAAAATATTTCAAAAGGTAAAAGCTATAAACTTTGCAGAGATTTTACTAGAATGTTAAAGATAGTAACAAAATAAAGGAATACGGGCAGTTATGTGTGTAAACGCCCAAACTCAATACCAAGCCGGGATTACACAAAACTTGAAATGTCGTAAAAGTACCGCAAACCGTGACATCTTGTAACCCCTTTATACCAAATAATCTCTCCTGAAGAGTGATGTAATCAGCTTCCATTTTGGTATTTTTCCATGACAAAAGTTGTTGGGAATTCAATTTTTTCAAGAGAGAACTTTTTTCTTCGTTGGGATATTAAATTGTGCATTGGATTTTAATTAACCGGAGTTGATTTCAAACACACAGGTAAGTTTATAATAACCAAAGTTAAGTAGTTTGATCATAATCGAAGAAATCCGTTTAAAATTTACGATGGTTCAGACAGTAGGCCCAAAATTCAATCACTAAATTCTCGGTTCAAATTGGATCAATTTGACTGAAATTTTCAGCAAATTCCCTTTACAACATCTAGTTTTTAACTATTATAGCGAGAACTGCCATCTCTTTATCTTATCTCCCATAATGTATCTTTAATTATATGTTAAATAATCAATTTGAATACATTTTAGTGTTGATTAAATGGGCATTATGTAAGATTTAGATATATAGAGCAGGCTGTTCTCACTATAATACAATCTGATTAAAACACAGATCCTATTTCGTTTCGTTTTTTAAGGTTCCTAATTTCCTTTACGTGTCTTCCCTACACTAGGATCTGGAAGAGTTGTTATATTACCAGCGTTTTGATTGAAGTGATGGATAAGCCAATGAAACAGTCTGTTACAGCGAATTCTTTGCGTGCCATGCACGGAACTGTGGATAAACCACTAGAAACACTAACGCTGATTGATTAATCAGTGTCTGACAGAGGTCAAAAGCCCCTCGTACGACCCCTGAAAGGACCTTCAAGTACAACTTGTCAGATCTTTATGTAGTGTAGGCCATCGAAAGTATAAAAAAAAACGAAACGAAATATAGATCTGTATATTAATCAGATTGACTATAATATTTCAAAAATAAATAATGCAAAATGAACATACTGAAAATTTCATTCCAATTACTTTATTTTGAGCATAGTTATCAATATTTCTAGTATTGACAACATGTGTGCATGGATGTAACCACTGTGCTTGTCATTCAAGTCTTGGCCTCACTTCTCCATTTTTAAATTAAATCATTAAATGGCCAAACCATTCTAATCTATTTAAATTCGGAGCCATCCGACAGGATCAAGAGTAATGGTCTTGTCCTGTTAATAAATGTCTAATTATTAATTTATATAACATTTAAAGATACATTCCCGCGTACAAACTGGGTGATTTAATAGTTTTATATATGGACTAAAAACATATTCAAACTAATTAATTTGTCATAATTTTGCTTCAAATCCTTCTCAAACATTGTAATTGCGAAGGAATGCCCTGCTATAAAAATTTGATCAAACAAGGTCATGTTTACGTCATGTGACTTACCTCTCTTGGAAGTCAGAGGAGAATTCATTGCATACATAAGATGATGTTGTCTTTAATCGCTTACTATTTATTACAAATATCGAATTCTAATTAAATTCTCGGATTTTCCGTCATTTTTATCTCAGAAAGTGTTGTACGTCTAACTCTTCATAAAGTTTATCAACTTGTACATCAAGCGCGCAATGTTCGCGTATGACCTTTGACATCACGCATGCAAAAAAATTCCTAATCGTCGGGCTGTCGATTAGGGGAACTTTTACATTTTTGTCCTGTATACGCTGCATGAGTGTTTTTTGGGGAATCCAGTATTTTTCTAGTAAGATTGGATATCTCTACTTTCCATATATACAAAAATTGCCATACTTTTATTGGAAATAACCACCCGATAAATACTTTTCTGGGAACCCATCTTTAAGGCCCAAAGAAAGACCTGCAATAGGCAGATATAGCTCTTACATAATGCATGTTTATGCTTTCAAAAATTATATATTGTTGATAAGATGCAAATGAATATCTATGGCTTTAAACATCTATAATTTGTTGATCTCTGTATATTATATCTTGTATCAAGTGTGCAATAATTTTATATCTTTGTATATTTGTAAATATTTCTACTTTACAGCATTAAATAATCTCGACTATACTGATGTAGTCTCTGTTACTAGGGAGGGAGCTTCTCACCATTACTATACTGATGTAGTCTCTGTTACCAGGGAGGGAGCTTCTCACCATTACTATACTGATGTAGTCTCTGTTACCAGGGAGGGAGCTTCTCACCATTACTATACTGATGTAGTCTCTGTTACTAGGGAGGGAGCTTCTCACCATTACTATACTGATGTAGTCTCTGTTACCGGGGAGATGTAGTCTCTGTTAATAGGGAGGGAGCTTCTCACCATTACTATACTGATGTAGTCTCTGTTACCAGGGAGGGAGCTTCTCACCATTACTATACTGATGTAGTCTCTGTTACTAGGGAGAGAGCTTCTCACCATTACTATACTGACGTAGTCTCTGTTACTAGGGAGGGAGCTTCTCGCCATTACTATACTGATGTAGTCTCTGTTACTAGGGAGGGAGCTTCTCGCCATTACTATACTGATGTAGTCTCTGTTACTAGGGAGGGAGCTTTTCACCATTACTATACTGATGTAGTCTCTGTTACCAGGGAGGGAGCTTCTCACCATTACTATACTGATGTAGTCTCTGTTACCAGGGAGGGAGCTTCTCACCATTACTATACTGATGTAGTCTCTGTTACTAGGGAGGGAGCTTCTCACCATTACTATACTGATGTAGTCTCTGTTACTAGGGAGAGAGCTTCTCACCATTACTATACTGATGTAGTCTCTGTTACTAGGGAGGGAGCTTCTCACCATCACTATACTGATGCAGTCTCTGTTACTAGGGAGGGAGCGTCTCACCATCACTATACTGATGTAGTCTCTGTTACTAGGGAGGGAGCGTCTCACCATTACTATACTGATGTAGTCTCTGTTACTAGGGAGAGAGCTTCTCACCATCACTATACTGATACAGTCTCTGTTACTAGGGAGAGAGCAGTGGTGGCTCAGTGAGTAAGACGTTGGCTCGCTAACCTGGAGGTCTTGGGTTCCTCATCACTGTTGGCCGAGAGAGTTCCTTTGGAGGGCCTGACAAACTACAGCATCTAGTATTTGGTATGGGACGTAAATCTGAATTACAGTGTAGCATACACCATAATGGCACACATATTGGCATTCACATTAAAAATCTTTCATTCGAAATAAATGTAGGCCAAATTTCACTCATAGCACACTGCACGACATAGGCCCATTTTCTTTAGCTCGGTTGGAGCAGAATAGTGAGCTGTTAATTCCCATTTCTCTTTAGTAGGGCTAGATAGGTACCGTAGTCAAATAGAATGATGTAGTCTCTGTTACCAAGGCTAGATTACACCATTGCAAATAGGTACCGTAGTCAAATAGAATGATGTAGTCTCTTGTTACCAAGGCTAAATTTCACCTTTACAAATAGGTACCGTAGTCAAATAGAATGATGTAGTCTCTCTTACCATGGCTAGATTTCACCATTACAATGATGATGATTAAATCTGTCGATGATTAAACGCAAAAATGGATAATCAAGACTTTGTTTTATCATGAGAGCAGTAACGATGACAATCGAGGCTACAGAGATTCTAAAATAAGGTTATCTCGGCTTAGAGTGAAGCAATTTGACTGAAATTTTCAGCATAATCCATTTACATCATCTAGTTTTTAACTATTATAGTGAGAACTGCCAGCTCTTTATCTAATCTTCCATAATGTATCTTTAACTCTGCCCGTGTAAAATTTGCTTCAGACTAATTCATATTGAAATATTCAGAGCGATTGACAGTCTAAATTCTAATAGTAAGTGCAGGGGGACTGCACCACACATAATTTACACAAAAACAAATATACAAACAAGACATAATACGCAGAAATCACAAACAAATGCACAATTCAAATAAAGTGAATGGATCCGGGGGCTAGCCGTAAGCGTCCACTGCGCTGTACGTAAGGTCCCGGGCCTGTAGTGACACAGACTTCACTCAAATTTGAAAACAATCAGGAATAAAACCCACAGATACCATTGTGTAATGCCAGCATGAGTCATGATCTGCTATATGTTACAAGAAATATGAGTGTAAGTATATTGTAGTAAAATTAAAAGGGCTAATCCCGAGAATTTTTTGGAGAATAAAACTCCTTAATTTTGTGTTAAAATCCCTTAAAACCCTCTACCTAAGGTTCGAGCAACTAACTCAATATTTGTGATAAGTTTTCAAAAGTCTGGAAATGGAGAACAGTTAACAAGCTGTATTATGCAATGTCACGATAAAACCAGACTTTTATTTTATAAGAATAATGTGAAGGTGAAATTTACCTTTAGTTATCCAGTACTAGCACATGGGTCATTCACTGTATAGACCTTTCAAGGAACAGGAATCGACTATCAGGTCACCCAACAAAAAGATTGACCCGAAATCTTAAAACGGTTATGTGTCCGGATAAGCAGTTTTGACGTTCACGTCCAAACGACTCAATATTTTGAGCTGGAATTTTTAGGCAAGGTAAATACACCATTCCTCTATATTTTGGCGCTTTAATTTCATATTTACTCCGACTTTTATTTTGGAGACTCTGTTCACATCGGGATAGTCCCTTTAACTATATAAGTAACCGCATAGGTGAAATGTATAAAAACCGTTTTAGTATTTAAAAGCATATTGAATACAGTAGGGTAAATGTTCCACCCATCACAAAAACAGAGCATAAAACAAACAATACTGAATACAAAGAAGCAAATGAGAAAATGTAGACCGTCTCGATCGAAAGACAGTTGTCTGCTGACTGAATGACGTCACATAAAAAAAGCTGGTAGTTTGTCAATGACATCAAAATTTTTGAAAGTGACAAAAACACCACAATATGAATATCTTGCAAGCATTTAGTGCTTAATGTCTGGCAAGGAACAGCTTTTAGTCATTCGGATGGGATGTAAAACCCGAGGAACTGTGTACATGTAGAGAACCCTTGAGATTTAGAATTTGAAGAATTATAGCGGGCGGAAACACTGCTGCCTTTCCAAAATTCCCTCATAAGCACATCATGATACAATCTGAGACGAAGAAATTTTGATTTTGGACTACAATTCAAATAAAGAAAATGATCATCAGGATTTTAGGCTAATGATTATCAGGCTTTTGGGCTAATGATTATCAGGCTTTTGGGCTAATGATTATCAGGCTTTTGGACTAATGATTATCAGGCTTTTTGGCTAATGATTATCAGGCTTTTGGACTAATGATTATCAGGCTCTTGGGCTAATGATTATCAGGTTTTTGGGCTAATGATTATCAGGCTTTTGGCTAATGATTTTAGGTTTTAAAGAGATTAAGCAGTTCTAAATTTTAAACTACTATTTTATTATAAAATATTTTACAATAATTCTATCTATCAGTTTAGATATAACAATTTGATTTAAACACCCAATTATTGCACATAGGAAAGTAAAAAAACCAAAAAAAAATAGTATATAAAAGGAATTAAAAACAATACATCTATGACTATCACAATATTAACATGAAAATAAAAACAAAATATATTCTAATAAGTTACAGAAATTTACACAAAGAAAAAATTTAGGCATCCCCAGTAAGTTTACCTCCCATTGATGATTAATGTCAGCTATGAACTCAAAATGATATTTTTCATCGTAAATCACGTTTCTCACTCTGCACCTGTATATTTATTGTGACTCCTTTCTTGGGCTCAAATACGGGATCTTGGAATTCTTCTCAGAACCATGTTTGAAATCTTAGAACTGGATAAACTCTTTGTATTTTCTTATTATCAAAGATCTATTATTTCAAACAACATTTTTTTTCTCCGAGGCTATATTATCAGAGTTTCAAGCCTCGTAAGACAAGTCATTGTTAAAAATACAGAGGGGTGCTTAACTTTTTTCTTTGTGCATACATTCCTAATTTTTCATATGGGTAAAAGTAAAATTGTATTGTACAAATATATCACCAGCCTTTCTCTTAAAAAGGATCAGAGTATTTCAATCTTTGGCATAAAAATAAAAAAGATCTTAACACAATAAATACAGGTTGACTCTACAAGAAGAAATTGGTTTTACCAGACCTATAAATTGCTGATCTCTGCTTGAAGCTACCGAGAATCTCCAGATCAGAATCTACTTTTAAAGAAAATTAAACATTCATGTCTGCAAAAATCTTGTAAATTTCTAGGCCTGGTTTTTTGGTAAAAATGACTTTTTTGTGATATTTCCATTAATTACCAATCTAATTAAAACACAGATCCTATTTCGTTTCGTTTTTATAGTGAAAAAGTTTGCTTTACTTGTCTTTACTACACTTGGATCTGGAAGAATTGTTATCATTGACGTGTCTGAATGTTGTGAGGGATAAGCCAATGAAACAGTCTGTTACAGTGAGCTTTAGTTGTGTTTTGTACAGAACTGTGGGTAATCCACTAGTAACATCAATGGTTCAATGCTGATTGGTTATTTAAATGTCTGACGTCATAGGGTCAAAAGCCGCTCGTATGACCGGTCAGACCTCGTGTAGTGTAGGCCATCGAAAGTATAAAAAAATGAAACGAAATATAGATCTGTATTTTAATCAGATTGAATTATTGCCAATTTAACAAGAATATTTGAAAACTAGATTTATTTGTTTATTTATACAAAATATCTATATCATTGATCGTTGTTTTTGATATTATATTACAATAAAACTAGTCTGTTTATTACACAATTTTCTTTAAACACAGGAAAGTAGAAGTAGAGTATTTATCCTACTGACTGATTAAAACACAGATTGACACACTACCAGTCCAGTATACAACTATTTTAAACACTGAACAAACTATACATTAATATAACAAATTAAATATAACAAAAGCTATTCATCTTCACGGCCCAGGCATTTTGTTTTACACTGGAATATAGAAATACAGTATTTATCGAGTAGAGAACATCCACTATCTGTATACAACTATTTTAAACACTGAACCAAAATATGTACGAGTATAACATAATTACTGACTAAATATCACAAAAGCTATTCATTCTCACAGCCCAGCCATTTTATCGCAGCAGGCAGACAGAGGTGATCATTTTGGGAATATAGTACAAAAACTTGATGTCTGACTGACTAAAATTACTCTTGGGGTGGAAGTATAAGTCTGCTGTTAGGAAGTTATCAGGTCAGCTATATTATGAGAGAGATAAATGGGGGTTTAGGTCCACTCGAAATTGGGTTTCAATAATTCGCTTGAACATAGGGATCTGTAGACGTAGCAGAAAAACAGAGGACCCGGAGAAAACCCACGAGTCTGGAAAGCGACCCTCCTCCTTGTCACATACAAGCAGGAAATCAAAACCACTCCACTTGACTCAATGACAGACCTTGTGATCTCACCGCACTTTAAACGACTCGATTCCCCGCCCCCTACCCTCTATATCATGAGACATAAGCCTGTGACCTAACCTTCAATTAACGAGGACGGGAGCCCCATTAGGGGAAATACTGATACCCTTTACAAATTCAACCCTTCCAGTTTTAACTAGAATAAATAACTATCAATAATATGTCCACACATTGCTAAAAATTTCATTCTACGTAAAAACTCTTTGTTAAATTCTCTTTAACATTCAGATAAAAAATAACAAGTGCTCAAAACAAATTATAAAATATATTGTTAGTGAATAAATTAGTGCCAATTTAGAAGTTTACAAAAGTGAATATTATTACTGTGATTAGAAGAAAATGAGAAACTGAGCTCTGATTGGCTGCTGTATATGTACATGGCATGGTGATATTTTTTAAGACTGGACATTTTCCTCGTTGAGCTAGAGTTGACGTTGTATCATCTTCATGATCACATGTTCCGTTGATGATACGATAAGCTCCAGAATTCACCACGCTAAAAACATAAACAATGATTGGTTTATTAAACATACATTATGCAAGAGCTAAATCTGCCTATTGCAGGTCTTTCTTTAGGCCTGAAATGTTATATAAATTATTAATTAGACATTTATTAACATGAAAAGACCTAATCAACTCTCGATGCCACTGGATTTGAATCCAATCTGCTGCTCAACGCTCATTGATGATTAAATCCAAAAATGGATAATCAAGACTATGTTTTCTTATCATAATGATGATCGCGTATCGAGGCTAGGCCTAAAATTCAATCGCTAATTTATCGGTTCAGAGTGGAACAATTTGACTGAAATTTTCAGCATATTCCCTTTACATTATCTTGTTTTTAACTATTATAGTGAGAACTGCCAGCTCTATATCTAATCTTCCATAATGTCCCTTTAATCATTTGAGACTTTGAGACTTATACTACCATGGGTTTCATGTCGAAAAATATATGTCAGTCATGACCGCTTTAGCTGAAAATTGACCAAAATGTACTGAGACCCATCGGTCAATGTACACACCATAATACTAGTATATTTTTCTGAAACATGGCTTCGATAGACCTGCTCCGTGTAAATATAAAATCAAACATGGCTACGATCGAACTCCACTATGTAACTATTCAATTTGTCAATGTACACGCCATAATACTAGTATATTTTTCTGAAACATGGCTTCGATAGACCTGCTCCGTGTAAATATAGAATCAAACATGGCTACGATCGACCTCCACTATGTAACTATACAATTTTTCAGTGTGCACGGCACGCCATAATACTAGTATATTTTTCTGAAACATGGCTTCGATAGACCTGCACCATGTAAATATAAAACGGCCAGTACAAGTAAGTGTATGTGTATAGAAGCCATGTCAGCTCATGATTGGTGTTATATATATATCACATTGTCAACCAAGTGAGGAGAAGCGGTTCATCTTACTATATTTGCGGCGGGATGATTTACCCAATACTACCCAATACCACTCCAATATCACCACATACTACCCAATACTACAACATAATGGTGCCAAATGAGCATATAACTTGATCTTTTTCAAAAATAGTGAGATATATCGTGGGAAATGTACTTCAAATGTGATTACCGATGTCTGGCTGTTCCATTTGCCTCCCTATATCACCCAAATCAAGCAAATAATAACCCAATACTACCAAATACTTATCAAATACTACCCAATATTATAAAATATTGGGGTGGTATTGGATGGTATTGGTTAGTATTGGGTAAATCGTCCCACTCCTATATTTGTGCACCCACGTATTGTTCATGTGTCATTAGAATTTTCTAGAACAATCACAGTCAGCATCTTTTAAAGGTCACTGGAAATATAGACTAGAATATGAGCAGAAGGACTAAAATGACGTCATGGATTGTTTATTGAGGGGAAGTTACGACTACTCGCGGAGGTCGGTGGAAATTACTAACATTGAAATTAACCTGTAGCAGGTAATATTGACATTCAGATTCGTGTTATACTTATGGAAAGGATATATTGACATAATTACTTGCATTATTTAAAAAATATTTGAAGCTTTTCCGGTGACCTTTAAGAAAGTCAGAGATGGGGTTTAATGTCCACTCGACACAAACTAGGTCATTTCAGGACTACCGCATGGTTCAATTTTATTTCAAAAATTTGCTTGCACGTAGGGGGTCTTTAGCAGTGGGAAGAAACCAGAGGACCTGGAGAAAACCCTCGAGATTGGACAGGCGACCCTACTTCTTATCACGTACAATCGTAGAATCAAAACCACTCATATTGACTCAATTACAGACCATATGATACAACGCGCACGTGCTAACCATTCGACCATCCAACCCCCGCGTCCCAATACTAAGTTCTAACAAATACCACCTCATTAGTAAAACTAATAGTTATAGAACCTACCATCGTGTTATTTTACAGTTAAAGTTATACATGTAGAACCTACTGTTGTGTTATTTTACAGTTAAAGTTATAGAACCTACCTTCGTGTTATTTTACAGTTAAAGTTATAGAATAGTGTCTCCCGATAGTGGTTCCAGTCTTCTATAACCAGTAAATAAAGGTTTGTTTTAGGGAGAGCCGTCACATAATAAAAGCCGGACATACACGGACCCGATACATTCCCTGTAATCATACCACTTGAACCTAAAATAATTAAAATGAAATAAAATGAAATGGGATTTAACGTCCTACTTTTCTGCACTGACCCACCGCAGTGCACTGAAATAATTATTTACTACCAAGTAAAGTTTTTTTATTCATCGTCTTTGAGTAGCCAAGCATCCGCTGTGGCTCAGTAAGTAAGCCGCTTGCTCGCTTACCAGGAGATCTCGCATTCGCTTCCGCTATTAGCCAAGAAAGTCCTCTGGGGGCAACATAGTGTTTAGTCATTCGGATAGGACGAAAAACTTAGGTCCTGTGTATAGGCTGGTGTCCATATAAAAGAACCCTTTAGAATTCTAAATTAATAAGAGTAGGCCTTAGGTCTGCTCTCCGGGCAAAATTTCCCTCGTAATCATAACACACTGTATGGCATATACCCATCATTTTAGCCCAGTCGGTGTAGAAATATAAGATGTTAAACACCATTTTATTTTATTTCTTTGAGTGGCATTTAATACTTGAAGAGTAGTAACACAGAAACTTATACATGGAAGCAAGAGCACTAACATGGTTCAGTTTTTTCTTCAGTAACTACCTGTACGTAGGAACCATTAGCTGTTGCAGGAACTGGAAGACCCACGAAGTTGGGCATGCGTCCCTACTCCTTGTTACATACAAGCTTAGAATCCAAACCACTCAACTTGACAGACCTTATGATCTAAAGAGCACTAGAGACCACAATATTTCTATCTTGGAAACCTAAGTTCATGAGACGTATCAATATTTCTATCTTGGTAACCTAAGTTCATGAGACGTATCAATATTTCTATCTTGGAAACCTAAGTTTATGAGACGTATCAATATTTCTATCTTGGTAACCTAAGTTCATGAGACGTATCAATATTTCTATCTTGGAAACCTAAGTTTGTGATATGTATCAATACTTCTATCTTAGAAACCTAAGTTTGTGATATGTATCAATACTTCTATCTTAGAAACCTAAGTTTGTGATATGTATCAATACTTCTATCTTAGAAACCTAAGTTTGTGATATGTATCAATACTTCTATCTTAGAAACCTAAGTTTGTGATATGTATCAATACTTCTATCTTAGAAACCTAAGTTTGTGATATGTATCAATACTTCTATCTTAGAAACCTAAGTTTGTGAGACGTATGAGATGTATCAATATTTCTATCATGAAAACCTAAGTTTGTGATATGTATCAATACTTCTATCTTAGAAACCTAAGTTTGTGAGACGTATCAATATTTCTATCATGAAAACCTAAGTTTGTGAGAAGTATCATGAGACGTATCAATACTTCTATCTTCGAAACCTAAGTTTGTGAGACGTATCAATATTTCTATCATGAAAACCTAAGTTTGTGAGAAGTATCATGAGATGTATCAATACTTCTATCTTGGAAACCTAAGTTTGTGATATGTATCAATACTTCTATCTTGGAAACCTAAGTTTGTGAGAAGTATCAATATTTCCATCCTGTGATTAAGTGTAATGGTCGAGTTCGAGACATTAAATAATATATCGATATTGCATATGTGCGTTAGCACTGGGGCTGCATTGTATATAGATATATTATGCAATGTCTTGCACGAGACCCATAAACAACTTAAAATACAGACACTATCCCGCACATGCATTTCAATGAAATATGACACATGGTTCCAATATTTCAATTAGTATAAATAATGTACGCTTTGCACATTGAAATAATGGAACGCCAACATTTGTATTTTAAGGATTTTTATTCCCCTCTTACCTAATTTATCATCAACTGTTGAGAAACTAACAACATCTTGTATACAACCGAAATCACTGTGAAATTTCGGAATAGGACCACGCATTCTATAATAATCATCTGATTCTTCAGGTGTTTTAGGTATTCCTTCTAATGTTACCTGAAAATATATACTATTATTTATAAATACACCAGGGATGATGTTTCAAAATTCTGCTCCATGGACAATTTTAGTTGGGGTCAGGTCACAAGAAGTCGTTTGTAGGCTTTAGGAATTATGAGTGAATAAGCTTCCATTCCCTTTAATAGACAGGCGACACTACTCCTTGTCACGTACAACCGGGGGAATTGAAACCAGGGCAGTTGACTCAATGACAGACCGTATGATACAATGCACACACCCTAACCACCCAATCCCCTTCTCAACCCATATAGTCATGTTTCAAGTCTAATATCTGGAAGTTATGTGATGTTTCAAGTTCCAAGGCTAGAAGTTATGTTTCCACTCCCAAAACTATAGGGGGGTTTGGATGGCTGAATGGTTAGCACGTGCGTGCTGTATCATAAGGCCTGTCATTGAATCAACTTGCGTGGTTTCGAATCCCCGGTTGTACGTGACAAGGGGTAGGGTCGCCTGTCCAGTTCGTAGGTTTTCTCTGGGTCCTCCGGTTTCCTCCCATTGCTAAAAGATCCTCCCTACGCGCAAGCGAATTATTGAAATAAAATTAAACCATATGTTAATCCCGAAATAACCTAGTTTGTGTTAAGTGGACGTTAAACCCCATCTCTCTCTCTCTCTCCAAAACTATAAACAGTGGCATGTACTGTACACTAGACAGGGTATGCTTACTCTACCTAGAACATCTGATAACATTTCTCATTTGCAAAGTTCACACAATTGAACACTTTTGTTATATGTGTATGGGACCAAGATCTGAACACCAGAAACATGACAACTAACATATGGGACCAAAATGAGTTGGAAGTCCCAATTGTTCTGCTCTGAAATGGGCTAATGAAGACGGGCATACGCCATACAGTGTGCTATGAGAGAAATTTTGCCCGGACAGCGGCACTACGGCCTATTCTTATATCGAATTCCAACTGTCAAGGGATCCTTTATGTGCACGCCAATGTGTACACAGGACCTCAGTTTTTCGTCCCATCAGAACGACTAGACAGCTTTCCTTGTCAGACCCTCCGTCCTGCTTCTGGATGATCTTTCTCGGCCAATGCAGAGATCGAACACCCGACCTCCAGGCTAGCAAGCCAGCGTCTCACCCAGTTTGCCACCGTGACTCTCCGTTTTACTATATGAATAATTTTGTAAAAATAGGTTAAAAATATCATTTTAATGATATAACATGAAAAGTAAAATTTCGGATTTGACAAATAAAGCAAATTCATTTTTGTTTTTTTATATTTTTTTTGCATATTTTCGACATTTTTGGTTCCAATTGCAAATAATGACCTGTTAATTCTGACACATTTTGCTGTTCGCCACTATCGTAAAAGTATGCTTACCTTTGGGGCTAACGGAGATATTCGACAAGATCCTTGAAAATCCTGGTCTTTATTTCGTTTGATAAAGCCATGTTCGTAAATCAGGTGTTTCATCACCTCTCCTTCTTTACGACCCAAAGTCACACCATCATATTTACTCTTGTCTAAACTATTAGCCAATAGAAAATCAGGATCCATGACAAGTTTTGCGCTACTATCAAACAAATAACACCTGCAAATAATAATTATTAGATTTTTGAGTATATTTCTAAATGAAATAAAATGGAGTTTAACCCCCATACTGTTCTGCTCTGACTGGGCCACTGAAGAATGGCATACGCTATACACTGTGCTATGAGGGAAATTTGGCCTGGACAGCAGAGCTACAGCCTACCTTTATTTATAAATTCCATCTGTCAAGGTTCTTTTACGTGCATGCCAATGTGTATACAGGAACTCTGTTGAGCTTAGGACTCGAGTCGCGGCGAGGGAGCATAATTTAAACTGTCACAGGACTCAGATTTTGTTAAGACTTGGGACATGAGTCGGGAGTAAAGTCAGAGACTTGGGACTTGATTCGGACTCAAGGTCATTTGCATTGTTCCCACCTCTGGAGCCAGCGTCTTCTAGTCACCGTGGCTACCTGCAGATTCTGCGGTAAAACAGAGAGAGAGAGAGAGAGAGAGAAATGGGGTTTAACGTCCACTCGACACAAACTAGGTCATTTCAGGACTAACACAAGGCTCAATTTTATTTTAATAATTCACTAGCGCGTAGCAGTGGGAGGAAACCGGAGGACCCGGAGATAACCCACGAGGTTGACAGGCACCCTACTCCTTGTCACGTACAAACAGGGATTCGAAACCACGCCAGCTGACACAATGACAGGCCTTATGATACATCGCGAACGTGCTTACCATTCCGCCATCCAATCCCCCACGGTAAAACAGACTTAACTTTATATTTGTAAAGAATTTAGATAATGCTAATAAATGACATATTGTTTTTAAATAAATATAAATAAGTATTATATACCTTGTTTCACAGCCAGGTTCGCCATCTCGACACGTATAAACTTGTTGACACGATTTACGGAAATCACTGGCCTGCATCGAACCCATCGTTTTATTGTGGAAATCATCATATAGAATATCCAATCCTGTTACAGCTTCAACACGTTCCGTAGAACACCGTCGATGATCTGCGTTTGGACCTGGAGCTTTACTCAAATAACATACCTCTGCAATGTATTATATACTTTATTACACCCTATTATATACTTTATCACACCCTATTATAGACTTTATTTCACTCTATTACATGTATATACTTTATTTCACCCTATTATAGACTTTATTACACCCTATTATATACTTTATTACACCCTATTATATACTTTATTACACTCTATAATATACTTTATTACACCCTATTATATACTTTATTATATACTTTATAACACCCTATTATATACTTTATTTCACCCTATTATAGACTTTATTACACCCTAATATAGACTTTATTACACCTATTATATACTTTATTTCACCCTATTATAGACTTTATTACACCCTATTATAGACTTTATTTCACTCTATTACATGTATATACTTTATTTCACCCTATTACATGTATATACTTTATTTCACTCTATTACATGTATATACTTTATTTCACCCTATTATATACTTTATTACACTCTATTATATACTTTATTACACCTATTATATACTTTATTTCACCCTATTATAGACTTTATTACACTCTATTATAGACTTTATTACACCCTATTATGAACTTTATTACACCCTATAATATACTTTATTAAATCCCTTATATACTTTATTACACTCTATTATATACTTTATTACACCTATTATATACTTTATTACACCTATTATATACTTTATTACACCCTATAATAGACTTTATTACACCCTATAATATACTTTATTACACCTATTATATACTTTATTACACCCTATTATATACTTTATTACACCCTATAATATACTTTATTACACCTATTATATACTTTATTACACCCTATTATATACTTTATCACACCCTATTATAGACTTTATTTCACTCTATTACATGTATATACTTTATTTCACCCTATTATAGACTTTATTACACCCTATTATATACTTTATTTCACCCTATTATATACTTTAATACACTCTATTATATACTTTATTACACCCTATTACATGCTTTATTACACCTATTATATACTTTATTACACCCTATTATATACTTTATTACACCCTATTATATACTTTATCACACCCTATTATAGACTTTATTTCACTCTATTACATGTATATACTTTATTTCACCCTATTATAGACTTTATTACACCCTATTATATACTTTAATACACTCTATTATATACTTTATTACACTCTATTATATACTTTATTACACCCTATAATATACTTTATTAAATCCCTTATATACTTTATTACACTCTATTATATACTTTATTACACCTATTATATACTTTATTACACCCTATTACATGCTTTATTACACCCTATTATATACTTTATTACACTCTATTATATACTTTATTACACCTATTATATACTTTATTACACCCTATTATATACTTTATTACACCTATTATATACTTTATTTCACCCTATTATAGACTTTATTACACCCTATTATAGACTTTATTACACCCTATAATATACTTTATTACACCCTACTATATACTTTATTACACTTTATTATATACTTTATAACACCCTATTATATACTTTATTTCACCCTATTATAGACTTTATTACACCCTATTATAGACTTTATTACACCTATTATATACTTTATTTCACCCTATTATAGACTTTATTACACCCTATTATAGACTTTATTTCACTCTATTACATGTATATACTTTATTTCACCCTATTACATGTATATACTTTATTTCACTCTATTACATGTATATACTTTATTTCACCCTATTATATACTTTATTACACTCTATTATAGACTTTATTACACCCTATTATATACTTTATTACACCCTATAATATACTTTATTAAATCCCTTATATACTTTATTACACTCTATTATATACTTTATTACACCTATTATATACTTTATTACACCCTATTATATACTTTATTACACCTATTATATACTTTATTTCACCCTATTATAGACTTTATTACACCCTATTATAGACTTTATTACACCCTATTATATACTTTATTACACCCTACTATATACTTTATTACACTCTATTATATACTTTATTACACTTTATTATATACTTTATAACACCCTATTATATACTTTATTACACCTATTATATACTTTATTTCACCCTATTATAGACTTTATTATATACTTTATATACTTTATTACACTCTAGTATAGACTTTATTACACCCTATTATATACTTTATTACACCCTATTATTGTCTTTATTTCACCCTATTAGTTACAATCTGATTTAAACACAGATCCTATTTAGTTTCATTTTTTAGAGTTCAAAATTTCCTTTTACTTGTCTTTACTACAAGAGTTGTTATAAGACCTGAGTTTTGGATGGCGTGTGGAATTAGCCAATGAAATCATCTGTACAGTGACTTCTTTGCGTGCGATGCACGGAACTGTGGGTAAACCACTAGAAACATCAACGCTGATTAATTAATCAATGTCTGATGTCATAGGGTTCAAAAGTTGTTCGTATGACCTCTGACACGACTTTTTACTACAACCGGTGAAATCTTCATGTAGTGTAGGCCATCAAAAGTATAAAAAAAAACGAAACGAAATATAGATCTGTATTTTAATCAGAATGGATTAGGCATAAAGTCACTGGGGAGTCAATAGGTGGTGGTATTTTAAGAAATTCACTTTTTTGCTTCATCTTTGTCAGAATTTTCTTGTGCATCTTTTCATCTAGTTGTCGTAACTTTTAACCCAGATGGGGTTTAATGTCCACTTGACACAAACTAGGTCATTTCGGCACTAACATAAGGCTCAATTTTATTTCAATAATTTTTTTGTGTGTAGGGGTCTTTAGCAGCGAGAGGTAAGAGGAGGACCCAGAGAAAAACCCACAAGGTTGGAGAGGCGACCCTACTCCTTGTAACGTACAACCAGGGAATCGAAACCATGCCAGTTGACTCAATGACAGACCTTATTATACAATGTGCACACGATAACCATTTGGCCATCCAACCCCCTGGAAATGTAGCCAGGTGAATCTTTCCCCCCGATATATGTTTTCGCTGTATAAAATTGTAAATTACCAGCTTTCACTGCTTATTTCTACACTGGATGTTTATTTCAGTATGGGCGGATAGCTATCTGCTGTTTAAACGGTTAAAAATATTCGAAGAAATCTTCAGAAATACGTAATTATTTGTGAAACGAAAATAAAGAAATTGCATCTTACTTGTCATGCAATCACTGTCAAGGTCACATTTACAGCCGCCTGGTAGTGGTCTTCCTTTAAATACCTCACATTCTCGATCAGTTTTAGGTGTCATGCCCTCAAACACGGCCTGGGATATCGTGTTAATCTTGCCCACACCAGCAGCGTCCATATAAGGTGTTGATATAGATGTTTTATGTGGAGCTGAGCTGGTTCGTTTGTACCATGGACGTCTAAAGATAAACAATTTTTATCAATTTATAGTTCAAAATTTCGTTTTACTTGTCTTTTCTACACTATGATCTGGAAGAGTTGTTATATTACTGGCGTTCTGGTTAAGTGAGGGATTAGCCAATGAAAAGGTCTGTTACAGCGAGTTCTTGGCGTGCCATGCACAGAACTGTGGGTAAACCACTAGAAACATCAATGCTGATTGATTAATCTATGTCTGACGTTATGGGTCAAAAGTCGGCCATATTATGACCCCTGACGCGACCTTTCAGTACAACAAGTCAGATCTTCATGTAAGTGTAGGCCATTGAAAAAATAAAAAAATGAAACGAAATATAGATCTGTATTTTAATCAGATTGAATTATTATTTTATTGAACAGGGACTTCATTCACAAAAAACATAAAGAGCTGGCAGTTCTCGCCATAATAGTTAAAAAATAGATAATGATAACAGAATATACTGAAAATTTCAGTCAAATTGCTTCACTCTGAACTGAGATATTAGCGATTCAATTTTAGGCTAGCACTGATCGTCATTACGATAATAAATAAAGTCTCGATTATCCATTTTTACGTTAAATTATCCATCCCAAAACATATTTGAATCCATTAAATATCGCAGGCTAACGATGACATCGAGAGTTGATTATGGCCTTGTCATATTAATATATGTGAGGGGGGCCACAGTGGCTAAGTGGGTAAAACGCTGGCTTGCTAGTGTGGAGGTCGGGTGTTCGATCCCTACATTGGCCGAGAAAGATCATCCAGATTTTCCGGCGTGATGCAGAACGGAGGGCCTGATAAGGAAAGCTGTCTAGTCCTTCGGATGGTAGGAAAAACTGAGATCCTGTGTATACATTGGCGTGCACGTAAAAGATCCCTTGACAGTTGGAATTCGATATAAGAGTAGGCCATAGTGCCGCTGTCCGGGCAAAATTTCTCTCATAGCACACTATATGGCGTATGCCCGTCTTCATTAGCCCAGTACGGAGCAGAAGAGTAGGACGTTAAACCCCATTTTATTTCATTAATAAATGTCTAGTTAAATCTAGGTATATCGCAGCCATCCAATGCCCCAGAGAGTTGATTATGATCTTGTCATGTTAATAAATGTCTAATTAATAATTTATTTAGCATTTAAGGCCTAAAAAAAGACCTACATGTTTAATTAAGTTTTTGTGAATAAACAAGTGAATAAAATGAAATGAGATCTAACTTAATCTCCTACTTTCTTGCCCAAACTAGACTAACAAAGATGTGCATACATCATGCAGTGTTCTATCAGTGAAATTTTATCCACACATTTCCACTAACCCTGCAAACTAGTGCAAAGTGTACACAGGGGCCTTGATTTCTCATCGTATCCGATGGGCAAGAGGCTACACCATTGACAAAGGGAAACCACACTGAAAATTCCAGAGGCTATTTCTTAGCCAACACCGGGATGCAACCCAGGACCTCCTGGAAGGGGATGAATTATCTTACTTGGTAGGATCGTATCCACGTGATGATCTATGACCAGGATATGTTCTAAAAACTCCGCTACGTAAACCAACATTCGTCCATTTTATTTGATTGATCGACTCAAAATCTCTTGTTCTCCAGATTTCTTCTATTGGTTGTGTAATTAACACATCAGCCCTGCAAAATATCCATAACAACAGTTATATAACCATAACAACAGTCTTTATAATCAAGATAACAGTCTTTATAATCAAGACAACAGTCTTTATAATCAAGACAACAGTCTTTATAATCAAGACAACAGTCTTTATATCATCATGACAACAGTCATATAACCAGGAAAACTCCACTTCACTCACCCCATCAATCTCTTGAACCCCTGGTCTCCCACCCCACTCTCCCCACCAAAGTCTTGAACTCCTCATTCCACACTAATCTCTTGAGCCCCTGGTCTCCCAACCCCGGGCCACGAAATTTCACACGAACGATACCAATCGGTAACGTGCCGTCGCGCTAGCTCAAAAACATGCAACCGATTTCCTGGTTACGCAAATTGAAATATCGGTTATGTTAACAAATTTCATTAACAGATCTATTCACATTTGATCAATTTTTATACAGGATGACTTTGTGACACGGGTCTAAATTATTTGTATTATAGCACAAACTCCATTCATTCATTCTTGGCATTTCATTTCTCCATTTTACCGGTACTTTGACAGATCACGTATTTTGACACCACGTAGGCTATTGACCAGTTGCAAGCACGTTGATTTAAAAATGCCCCTCACTCCTAATTCTTTAAATGATTAGTTATGCCATAAATTTTGAAAGCGTACCTTTGGATTTTCAAACACAAAATGAGAAATGAGTTTGACTATTTAACATGTCGGCTATATTTCCAAAGAATTTACTACACATGTTCCTTTCAGTTTTCACTATAGCCATGCTGTAGTATGTATGTCGTCAACTTTGACCCCCTCCCCAAGCATCGTTCGAGCGATAATGTAAACGATTTTACTCTCCTGTCTATTTTAATATTATTTCATGACATCAAACTATTCTGTTTCCTTTTGAGACTTTGTGTATAGAGTGCCGAGGTTTATAATAAATACTGTTTGTCAATCAGTCGCTATACCTAAGAGTGAGGCTATCGCATGCTACGTGCTTGGATGAATGATTGCAAGTGACAAGTGTAATATGAAGTACGCATGTAGTCTTCAGAGAGCGAAAACAATGTGGTAGCTACCATTCCTGGTTTTTGAAGGTCAGATATGATATAAAAACGAAAATCCATTAGTAATTTTTGGAACTGATTCCCCTCATTATTAAAATGTAGGGATTTAGTGAAGTGGAACATTTTTTTTCTAATGTTTTATTGTTTAAATGTTGACACCGTGGGATTAAAGCCATTAACACTTAACCTAATATAATATTAAATATAAAAGAATAAAGTTAGTCAAGTTATTTCTTTAAAAAATACATTCACTGCAAGTGGAAATGAATAATAGCACCATTTAAATTTAAATCTGGATAAAACATGAAAACAGCGCAACCATTTTATGTAACCAATTGGTTACGCAATGATCATCTGGCGTAACCAAAGAAAATGGTTACGCAGAGCATAAAGCTGCAACCATTTTTCTGGTTACGCCAAAATTTGAAATTTCGTGGCCTGCAACCCACTCTGCCACCAAAGTCCTCATCCCACACTAATCTCTTGGGACACTGGTCTCACAACCCACTTTGCCCACCAAAGTCTTGAACTCCTCATCCCACACTAATCTCTCGAGCCCCTGGTCTCCCAACCCAATCTACCAACCAAAGTCTTGAACTCCTCATCCCACACTAATCTCTTGAGCCCCTGGTCTTGAACTCCTCATTCCACACTAATCTCTTGAACCCCTGAATTCACCCTACAATATTTACCTGACTCCCTTGTTAAACTTCTGTTTTCCCGATTCACAACCCAGATCAGTTTGGTTCCCGTTAATCCATATATGGGCTTCGTAAGTTTTCATCGCTAGGTTATCGTTATACATATATTTAGTTGGATCACAGTGGGCCTTTGGAGCCAAGAAAATTGTTGAATGTTTGTAGGTTATTCTCAGACCTGGATAACGTTTTTCATTTTCCCTGATGTCAATCTTCTTCCATAACCCAGGAAATCTCTCCTTGAGTAGTCTCCCCTTGTACTCCTTCAACAGGTTGTAATAACTCTCATCATATTTTGATCGATCTAACGGTTCCTGTGATCTACGAAATTCCTGACAACAGAAATTATAAACTTTGAAAAAATTCAATCAGATTAAACATTTTTATTTTATGATCAGTAGTGGAATACCGCGTTTTATCAGTGAAATAAAAGTGTTATTCCACTGGCTAAAGTAGTCCATGGTGTTTTTACCTAAAATAATTGTAAAATCATGAAATAAAATATGTTATTCACTCTAAAACGACAAATATCCTCTATTTATTTTGGGAATTAATCTGTCAGACAAATAAGGTAATAATCATATGGTCATTAGACAAATAAGGTAATAATCATAAGATAATATTGTCCATAACAGGATCAGTTTCCTCCTACTCAATGCTCACTCTGGGATGCAATTTTTTCCGCCAAATTTTCATTTATTAACCATGTATTTGTTACGCCAAAATTTTTATTATATTTTTACTTTCAATATAAAATTATGATGTTACAATTTTACAAAATTCTTCTCTGCTTGCAGAGGCCATTTTTTGAAAGGTTTTTTAGTACACTACAAACAGTTGTGAATGATTTTGTAAAGTTAGCTGATTCACATACAGAACAAGATATTTTTTTGGTAGCTGCATTATACCTTAAAGGACAATATTGGTGCCAGTCATTATCACATATGTGATAGAGCTGGTTAAACACATTCCAAATACAATTTTAACACAGAGATCATTGCTACGACAGCTGAGCAATACAGGTTTCCTGAGTCGGAAGTGACGAACGCCAAAGGAAAACACGAGTCATCTCTCTATATAACTGACTGATGTGACGAGTGATAACGGATATTCGGCCGAATTTCTGCTCACTAATAATTCCTTCGAAGACCAACAGTTGATATATGGGACTGTAAGAGGATACCTGACAATTCAATAAAGTAATTTAATGTCATTAGATAAGAGAACACGAGAAAAATAGAAATAGTCTGTACATTCCCTTGTTTATATTCATTCTATATCTTATAAAAACATGGTAATGCACGGACTTTTTCTGTTTTTCTTTCGTGTTCTCTTATCTAGTGGCAGTCAATTTTTTTTATGAATTGTCAGATATCCTCTCACAATCTCATCCAAAAACTTTTGGTCTTCGAATGAATTATTAGTGAGCAGAAATTCGCCCGTATATCCGTTATCACTCGTCACATCAGTCACTTCCGATTCTGGAAAACTGTATTACTCAGCTATCGTAGCAATGATCTCTGTGTTAAATTTATATTTGGAATGTGTTTAACCAGCTCTATCACATATGTGATAATGACTGGAACCAATATTGTCCTTTAACCAAGGATTTGAAAATTTCCATTCATCCCTATTCATCCTTTTTTCCAAATGCACCTAAAATTTTACGCTTTTTGACATTTTTCTTGCCGCAGAGAGAGAGAGAGAGAGAGAGAGAGAGAAATGGGGTTTAACGCCCACTCAACACAAACTAGGTCATTTCGGGACTAACATATGGTTGGACAGGCGACCTTACTCCTTGCCACATACAACCGAGGAACAGAAACCATACCAGTTGACTCAATGATAGACCGTATGATACAGCGCGCACGTCCTAATCATTGGACCATCCAACCCCCCCAGATCATACAGAAGGCATTAACACAAATAAATCGAAATGAAATGAAATGAAATGGGGCAAATAAATCGATCATATAGTGTCTGCCCTTTTTGATAATATATAGAAACGATAAAAAAAGTCACCGATTCGTATTTGAAGACCAATAATAAAATCTTTTGTCTCTTAATTAGTTTATTACTACTTACCGTAAATACTTATCAACATTAAGATATATCAATAGACAAAAGATAGTCCTATTATTGATACCTAATTGACTGATAACTGAAGACCAATAATAAAATCTTTGGTATCTTAATTAGTTTATTACTACTTACCGTAAATACTTATCAACACTAAGATATATCAATAGACAAAAGATAGTCCTATTATTGATACCTAATTGACTGATAACTGACTCTACCAGGCGCAAATAAAAACTGTAACGAACTGGAAATCAAAGCTTTGTGGCAAATTTTTTTATTGGCACGTCAAAAAGATAATTTTTGAAATAAAATTGAACCATATGTTAGTCCCGAAGTGACGTGGTTTGTCTCGAATGAACCTTGAACCCTGTTTCTCTCTCTTACAATGTAGTTGTTGGAACTACTTTATGTTGGAACTACTTTATGTTGAGGTCTTGGGTGGTTAATTATATATAATACTATAAATAAAATATATACTCACCATGTCAGTATCGGCTAAACTGAAGGCAAACGAATATTCTGAATTATTTAGGGCTGCATAATAATAATTCTGAAAATACAATTCTATAATTATCAAATGGTGTAGCTTAACGAAAAAAGAAATGCTGGGAAATTTTCTGCACGTAAATTACACAATGTTGTCAATATTTGAGTTTATTTTGCAACAATTGGGTGAAAAACGTGGATATTTTGCGTAACTGTGACCTCCACTTACCGTGAACCTCAAATTGACAAAAAAATCAGTTACAGATTTTCTAATAAAAAGGGAAAGTTCTTCGTTTTTATGGAGAAAAATTGCCCTAATATGAGAGAGAGAGAGAGAGAGAGAGAGAGAGAGAGAGAGAGAAGATAGAACAGATAAGATAATCTTCAAGTCTAAACTATAAACCAAATTCCCCAAATATTCTTGTCCGTTGAAATATTGTGTAATAATCTGTGTTATGTCAGTTTAAATCAATGTATTACGAAGACCCTGTTTTTTTGTCCCATTCAAACGACTAGACACTGTCTTTGCCAGGCCCTTCGTCCTACACCAACAATCACGCGGGAAAATCTGAAGGAACTATATACACCAACAACGGGGAGTGAACATGGGATCTCGCGGTTAGAGAGCCAACTGAAGTAGCGTAGTTTCAAATTCCCACTTGTACATGACAAGGAGTAGCGTCACCTGTCCAACCTAGTGGGTTTATTTCTCCTGGTCCTACGGTTTTCTCCCACTGCTAAAGACCCCTATGTTCAAGTTAATAATTGAAATAAAATTGAAAATATGTTAGTCCCAAAATGACCTGGTTTGTGTCGAGTGGGCATTAAACCCCAATTCTCTCTCTCCTTACGCACCGCGGCTGCCTAGTCTATATCAATATTTTACTTCCGATTATGTGAGTCTAAATCAATGTATGACATGGACGGGAGACCATGGTTTTTCGTCCCATCTGAACAACTAGACACTGCCCATGTCAGGCACTCCATCCTGCACCACTGACATGGGGAAACCATGCTGGAAAATCCCAAGGAAGCTTCAAAGCAAGGTTAGTGAGCAAGCGCCCTGCCCTACACACTAAGCCACCGTGGCTCCTCGGTGTATACGAATATATTATTACCTACCCTTGGTTTACCACCTTTAGCTTTCTCTATTCTAATAGTGCCCGTGTTCCCGGCTTTCATATCACGTAAAATGGTGGAGAACTCTGATGGGTTACCATTAGTATCTTGTTCTAACCGGGAGATTGGGATAAAGATTGGGTCATCCAGTAACTAGAAAACAAAATAAATGATAAATATCTTTGATGAAATGAAATGGGGTTTAAAGACTTGTTGTTCTGCACTATCTGGGCTAATGAAGATGGGCGTACAAGATCCCGTCCAGGTCCCCCCAAAAACATTATCTATATGTGTGTGTGGGAGTTGCTCCCAGTGCCACCAGGTAATATTGGGTTGTGTGGAACATGCTAGAGTCGATTTGTAGCATATCTGACCCAATGTATATGTTTGACACTGGCTTAGCATTATGATTATACTGTTGAAATTGCATTGAAACCACATGATTTTTTGCCATGTGCGAAGGGGCACAAAAACTCAAGAGGCGCAAAAACTCAAATCCATCCTGGACAGCCATGTTTCTGATGCAACGACTGCGAGTTTTACAACATCTGGACGTTGCTTGTTTACTTCACAATTTCCAAACTTATAGCTATGTTATCTACAGACACGTGAGCAGTAGCGTCCAATCAAAGGTTGTGACATCGCGACCTCCACGGAAACCTTGACATTGAATGAACCTTGATTTTTGCAACTCGATTATCACAGGTAGACATTTTCGCTACAAAGCGGGAGACTTGGTATTCGCGCCGATCGAGGAATCTGATAGGTTAACAAGCTGGGCTTGTACCCAATCGAAATTAGTGCCGAAATATGCAGGTTATTACGTGAAGGCCTTGATAAGATGTACTTAGTTAAAGCGAGATCAAGCCTTCTATTGACGATGCCGGACAGCAGGCTTTCCACCTTCTCTTCATTAAACTGTCATGGTTTTATTTTACATGACTGCAAATAGACCTGTGATTTTTCATCCTATCCTAACAACTAGACATTTTCAGCCAACACCGTCACTCTCCATGACAGAAGCTATAAAACATGATTAAAAAGTTGAAATTTTGAGAGAGAGAGAGAGAGAGAGAGAGAGAGAGAGAGAGAGAGGGTTTAACGTCCACTCGACACAATTAGGTCATTTCGGGACTAACATATGGTTTAATTTTATTTCAATAATTCGCTTGCGCATAGGGGTCTTTAGCAGTGGGAGGAAACCGGGGGACCCAGAGAAAACCCACGAGGTTGGACAGGCGACCCTACTCCTTGTCACGTACAACCGGGGATTCGAAACCACGCCAGTCGACTCAATGACAGACTTTATGATACAGCGCGCGCACGCTAACCATTCAGCCATCCAACCCCCCTGAAATTTTGAGCTAAAATAAAACAACCAGGTCTGCCCATTTTTCCAGGTTGAAGATATATAGAGAGCGGATCGCATAGCAGATCATGCTTACCTTTATACTAGGTTTAAGACAAGGATGGAAGATAGTCTCCCCTTGGTAGTTGAAGATATATAGAGAGGGGATCGCATAGCAGATCATGCTTACCTTTTTACTCGGTTTAAGACGAGGATGGAAGATAGTCTCCCCTTGGTCGTTGATGAGAAATGAATCAACAGAACCCCATTGATGTTTGGTTAGAAAATTCTCGATTTCATCCAAAGTAGCATCGATACCAACGACTCCAATATATCTGTCGATGATAAAAATAATTATTTTATTTCATATCAGTGAAACAGGTTGAGTATACAGGACTACTCGATTGTCAGTCTGGAACGTCTTGAATTCAAAGAATTACAAGTGTGTGACATGGCATTCAGTCCTGTCAAAGTTCTATCCGTTTTGTCATAGTTCCATCAGTCCTGTCACAGTTCTATCAGTCCTGTCACAGTTCCATCAGTCCTGTCACAGTTCCATCAGTCCTGTCACAGTTCTATCAACCCTGTCACAGTTCTATCCATTTTGTCACAGTTCTGTCACAGTTTTGTCAGTCCCGACAAATGAGGTGGTGTAAGTAGCAATGTCATAATTCCACACAAAAAATACAAAGTTTCCTATGTCATGGTTGGTTGAAATATTTTCTTATGCAGTCGATGCATGAGCTGTAGCCTGAAATCCACCCTTTCACTCAATTGTGATTGAGAGAGAGAGAGAGAGAGAGAGAGAGAGAGAGAGAAATGGGGTTTAATGTACACTCGACACAAACTAGATCATTTTAGTACTAACATATGGTTTAATTTTATTTCAATAATTCGCATGCGCGTAGGGGTCTTTAGCAGTGGGAGGAAACTGGAGAACCCAGATAAAACCCACGAGGTTGAACACACTCTACTCCTTGTCACGTACAACCAGGGAATCGAAACCATGCCAGTTGACTCAAAGACAGACCTTATGATACAGCTCGCACGTGCTAACCATTCGGCCATCCAACCCCCCCAAAAGGATCTAGAACTCCAAAGAGCATTGGCGTGTTTCAGAAGGGCCTTGGTTCGATGTGACTCCGATCGTTTTTACCTGAAATTGAGTGTTCCACAGAAAGCTTATACAATTTGCTACCAGATATGGCACCATTAACTGGGGTTCATTGAAAAAGTGACTTAGATCGATCTTCCCCGGGGCTCTTCATATATGTTTTGATTGAAACATGTAAAAATGTTTGTGAAATAATGTACTTACTTGCCCGTTATTCCACTAAGTACAGGAATGGCATGAGTTATCATGAGACCTAATCCCCACGCATCCAAATACGGTGATGTCCACAATGCTTCACTACTCATGGCATTCGCAGATAAAAACTCAAAATAGTTGCTCATTTGTGAAATCAGATTTTCTCCGGTCATTAGTTTTTTTATACTGCCATTATTTCTACATGATAAATTGCCGGGGAATAATTCAGCGTCTTCAACAATCAGGTAGCTGAATATTCTGGCCTAAAACACACAATAATATCAAATTAAATTGATCTCATGTTTGACATTCATCATTAAGTTTAGGTAAATTGTTTCAATGTATGGACTGGAAATATACTGCAAGTCTATCGAATACAATTATTGTGCAGTAGTAAGAATAGTAATATAACTGAGTTGTGTAGTAGTAAGGACAGTAATATAACTGAGTTGTGTAGTAAGGGCAGTAAAATAACTGAGTTGTGCAGTAGTAAGGGCAGTAATATAACTGAGTTGTGCAGTAGTAAGGGCAGTAATATAACTGAGTTGTGCAGTAGTAAGGACAGTGATAGACTTTAGGAAACTTACCGGTGGTGTAAGATGTTTGTTTCTATTTAAAACCAGTTCCCAGACATCACTATAATTATATTTACATATAGGTCCTGGTACATAGCCACTCCTAGTATAATATCCTACAATAATATCAAGTACAAACTCAAGTTACTATGTCCTAAAATATGTCTTTCCTTGCACCAATGACAAAGGAGGGGAAACAGACGGGAAATTACTGAGGAACTTTCTTTGCCAAAAAGAGGATCAAACTCGTGGTTCTAATTTCTGGCGAACAGACAAATCTAAAATATTTAAGTATTGAGAATTATGCGTTTGAAATCTGCGCTCTGTTATTATCTCTATGTCCATCAAATAATAACGTTTATGTAAATGACGTTCAGTGTCCTGGTGTATATGTATGAAATATTAAATCATAAATAAATGTTAATATTTGATGGCTACAGAGATAACAAATTTCAAACGCATCAGTTCGCCAGAAAAGCGACGTTTTATGTTACTGATAGCTTACTATAATTGAAATAAACATTGATGTTATCGAGCAGCTCGACCATTTAATTGATTTGATCTTTATAGCTCAGTTAGGGCGGCATTAGGTAAGATTAGATAAAGAGCTACAGTTCTCACTATAAAAGTTTAAAAAAAAAAAGATATTGAAAAGAGAATAATATGCTGAAAATTTCAATCAATTACTTCACTCTGAGCCTAGATTGTCCCTAGCTTAGCCTCGATTGTCATTACTACTGTTGTTACGTTAATAAACAGAGTCTTTATTATCCACTTTTGTGGTAACTGCATCGACCACAAAATGTATTTAAATCTACTTATATTGCAGCCATTCGATGGCATCGAGAGTTGATTATGGTCTTGGTAATCAATTAAGTTAATTAATGTCTAATTAATAATTTATATAACGTTTATGGCCTAATAAAAAAGGGCCTGTTTAAATGACCACACTATATTCTTCTAATATTTATTCTCACAGATCATGTAATAGCTTTGGCTGTACAGACAACAACTGCATGCTTTAACAATACAACCAAAGTCCTTGGTTGCGTATAAACATGTAACCAATTAATATTCATATATACAAGGTCATGAATATTCATGTAAACATGTGAATGATCTGATTCATTAAAAACTGATCTGATCCATTATAAACATAATGAAAAAATTTATAAGCGACCTGGACCACAGCGAACGTCTTCCCCATCTGTATCAATACCATCTGTGGCGAAGACAATCAACGATTGACAACCGGTTCTAGGGTTCTGTAGTAAATCTAAACCTTGCTCAAAACCTTTCCTAAAAATAACAAATAAGGAGGGAAAGCTGGTAATTTACAATTTTATACAGCAAAGACATATATCGGCGGGAAAGATTTACTTGGATACATTTCAAGGGGGTTGGATGGCTGATTGGTTATCGGTTGCGCATTGTATAAGGTCTGTCATTCGGGGTTTAACATCCACTCGACACAAACTAGGTTATTTCAGGACTACCACATGGTTTAATTTTATTTCAACAATTCACTTGCGCGTAGGGGTCTTTAGCAGTGGGAAGAAACCAGAGAACCGGGAGAAAACCCACGAGGTTGGACAGGCGATCCTACTCCTTTTCACATACAACCATGGAATCGAAACCACGCTAGCTGACTCAATGGCAGACCTTATGATACAGCGCACATGTGCTAACCATTCGGCCATCCAACACCCCCGCCCCCCCACAAACACTAGTAGGGCCACCTGTCTAATCTGGTATTTACCATAAACACACCCAGTAAAGATTACAGGTAAAAACTTACTGAAGTTCACTTGTTCCACCAGCTTTTAATTTATCTATTTTTTCTATGAGATCTTTGCGATGTGAATTAGTAGCCGGCACCAAATCTGTCTGTACACAACTCAGTGATTCTGTATTATAAAAATGCCATCTGTAATATAGAAAGAGAGAAACAATAATTCGCTTACCCATAATCCTCTTAAACAAAGTACAGGAATGGCATGAGTTATCATAAGACCTAATCCCCACGCGTTTTTTTTTACTTTATCGACGCATGTCGATATATTTTGATATCAAAAAAGACGAGTAGGAGATTTTTTTATCATCCAATCCTTTTCTTACATGCACAATTAAATAAATACAATATTTTATAACACAAGATTCTAAAATAATTTTTTTTATAACACAGTATTGGATAACAACAAACAATATGCCTACTTACTTTCCAACTTCATCCCAATGACTGGCCCGAGCACAGATGACGTTAACATAATCTTGTTTAGTTAAGGTGTTGATGACAGTTTTAGCCACAGCTTTACCAATAGAAAACTTTTCTCCTTTCATTGATAAACTGTAAAAACATCAAGATATGAGATAAATAAACCCAATCAGTCCAGGATTAAAACCCTTACTTCCTAACGTGGAGGGGCTGGTAATATCTATAGGTCACTAGAGCACTCGAACCTAACCTGTACTGATCTAAAATCTAGAGGGGGAGGGAGGGGGGGAGATAATAGGGTGATGATTTTCCGTTCCAGAAAATAGCAAATTCTGTTTTAAGTATTTTGATTTCTGTTATTTTCCGTTTCAGAGCTGACCATAATCCGTTTTTCGAGATAAAATGTTATTTTATGAATAAATGAATAAAACATCTTAAAATGCCTTTTATTACAAAACGGATCATTTTAAACCAATGATAACAAATGTTGAATTGTGAATGACTTGTAATGTTCAATGACTAGTTATTCTTTAAACCTGTTTCCCGAATTAAATAACAGAAAATTACATCTTGTGAGCTCGTTTCATCTTTTTAGCAGACAAAGCCATTTTTCTCAGCTGCTAGTTGTAGTCGCGATTTATCCAGACACCTTCGTAGTTACTACCATTTCTTCGAGAATAAGGGCTGGATTCACAAGGCTACGGCAGTAAAATAAGAAGTAAATGAAACGATTTTTACTTTTATGAAGTGACAAAAGTTTTTTTTAAGACATATATATATATACATGTACATTACAATGTTTAATTCAAGTTCAACTACAGAGTAATTGTATACAGGGAAACATGAAAGACAGGTTTTCGTTTCGAGTAAAATTATGATTCCTAAATGATGAAATGAAAGTAGCTAAATACTAAAATAGACAGTAACAAAACCATGCGATATCATTCAATATTTCCGATTTTTATGAATAAAAAGATGAAATACTTGGATAACTGCAAAATTGTTTTGAGTTTGTTTTTAGTATCAGCAAATATCGTTTTTTCCGTCTTTTTCCGTGTGACATTTCAAATTCCGTTATGAGTGGACAATTCCGCGATTTCCGCGTTTTTTCTGGAAAATCATCACCCCTAAGATACTGAATTACAATCTAGAGGGGAAGGGGAGTGGGGGTGAAGAGGGAGATGGAGGGAGATACTGACCTACAATCTAGAATAATAACCACATCTTTAGGTCCACTTGTAGCTGCTATATACCATGGTCGTATCCTGGCATCGTAGTCGTTATAGAAACCAGCAAAATTAGTCGACCATTCTCTCCCTGGATACAATCTCATCACTCCAGTCGTTGATCCAAAATACTGCCACCTGGATCGAAAATAAAATAAATTAATTTCTGGGAACTGATACAATTACATTAGTAATATATTACCGGTACTAGAAACGAAATGAAATGGGGTTTAACCGTAACGTCTGACTGTTCTTCACCAACTGATCGAGCAAATAATACAGTATGCTATGAGGGAAATTTGCTCTGACAGCGGCATACCAATGTATACACGACACCTCGTTTTATTGTCCCATCTGAACAATTATTTGTTTTTCCTTGCTAGGCCCAATGTCATGCACCACTTACAAGGGAGAACCATGCCGTAAATTGAACAGAAAAGATCTAACATGGAACCTTCAGGTTAATGAGCCAACAAGTTACTCACTGAGCCACCGTGTTTCCCTATAAGACTAGAATATTTGAAGAGCCCCATGGAAGAACGATCTAAGTCACTTTTTCAACGAACCCCAGTTAATGGTGCCATATCTGGTAGCAAATTGTATAAGCTTTCTGTGGAACACTCAATTTCAGGTAAAAACGATCAGAGTCACATCGAACCATGTCTTGATGTCCGATTGGGCATATTCTCGGTCGGATAATTTTGGGCGTTTGGAAAATAGCGTCGGACAAGTCAGGAATATAAGGGCAAAATCCCATCCTTGATTTCTACGTAAATATGTGAAAGAAATTAGTGCTAGATGCACAAGATTAAATGATACCTGTGAAACTGGGGCTAAAGCGGACAAACGTGAGTCACAAATATACATTTCTACGTAAATTTTATTTACTCACCGTAACAGAGGATCATCTTTAGCATTTTTAAGAAAAATTCTTTCAAGTCTGGCTGTAAAATAAACGGTATTAATAACATCCCGATCGTTTCTTGGCACCTCATCTGGTAGCTTGATGGACGACTGTTTTAAACTCACACCTTGTCTGAAATATCTACAATAAAAATGACACAAATGATTACATTTGTTGCAGTAATAATGTATTGACATTTAAGATTCGTGGAGAACCCAAACCTAACAAGTACGATAAGTTTTCGTAATACCTTTATCAAACATCTAACTGCATCTGTGAAATACAATGGGGTATAAAATCCCACTGCACAGAATGGGTTAATGGAGACGGACATACGCTATACAAAGTGCTATGAGGAAAATATGGCCCTGACAGCGGTGATATCGCCTACTCTTATTTCGAATTAGATCTGCCAAGGGTTTTTACATGTTATGGGACCTTGATTTTTCGTCCTATCCAAGAGACAAGACACTGTCTTTGTCAGGTCCTTTGTTCTGAATCACTGGCACAGAGAGGCTCATAATAAATGAATGAATGAAATTATGTTGAATGCCACATCAGCAAGAACCGGGCTATATTGGGCCAAAAGATCATAATGACTGAGGTTAAAGGAGCTAAATCGCTATTCTTTGGCACCTAAAATTGGACACATATTGGTCACATACATTAATGTAATATGAATTTATATAAAGTGATTAACATTCAATCGTTTCTGTTTTTTACTGTAATTTCTAATTAGTTACCTTCAGTGAAATGCGCGAAGAATACAATTTGAATGGCCATCTTTGGCAATTGGTTATTCCATTCTAAACCGGTAGTGTTCTCCTGTGGGATATGTTTAGCTTTGTATAGCGGGTCGTTTAATTACAAATGGTGCTCGAAAGCAATATGGCATGTGATTCGTGTACCAATTTTAATATTTCCATTTTGTCTTAAATATTGGATATCAGAAGTCCATCTTTACACGGTAAATGTTGATTTATATTAAACAATAATTTGTGTTTGCAATGTCGAAGACTGTGGATGATATTGAGTGTTGACATAACACACACCATTACCTTTTCAATAGAAATAACTTATTCCGATTTGACTAAAATAATTTGAAAATTCTACTTACGGATTAAAGATGATATCATGAGGTAATCTTGATGGGATATCCGAATCACGATATATACGCTCATCGATGTCTTTTAACACTTTAGCATTAATTGACGAGTTGGAGCGTAAAAAATCATCATGAATTTCTCGAACTTTCTCAGCCAGTCGCTGCAACATAAAAATTGAACATGGCATTGTCAGGCAACAAGAATTAAATCAATCACAAAACAACAATCATAAAAAAACCTCTGTGAATTTACAAAGTTTCAACTGAACTTTTATTGTAAAAATCTGGCTTAGAGAGCATTTACATAGAAACTTTAAAAGTAAATTTCTAAAAACTTGAATAAAATAAGGTGTGACATCTTACAATCTGCACCATATGCGAAATGAAATGAAATGAAATGGGGTATAACGTCCTACTGTTCTGCTCTGAACTGGGCTAATGAAGACAGGTATACGCCATACAGTATGCTATGAGTGAAATTTTGCCAGAACGACTAGACAGCTCTCCTTGTCAGGCCCTCCGTGCACCATATGCCGAAAATGGTCTAATAAACATGCTATATGCAGTATTCTATGACAAAAACTTTGCCCGTAGAATTCCAACTGTTAACTATTATTTTACGTGCACACCTAAGAGTACAGAGGGGGGACATTGGTTTTCCATCCTAGCCGTACCACTACACACTTGCTCAGCTCTCCATCCTGCACCAGTGATAAGGGAAAATCCATGCTGTATCAGCAAACTCCAAGATCAAACTAGTTATTGAGATATCCCCTAAATCTGAAATGTTTTCCCTTGTCAAGCCCTCTACCCCCTGTACCGCTGACAAGGAAATTAAATGATGTTTAACGTCCTACTGCTCCGACTGGGGTAATGAAGAAAGGCATAGGCAATACACAATCTGATTAAAACACAGATCCTATTTCGTTTCATTTTTTACAGTTCAAAATTTTGTTTTACTTGTCTAAACTACACTAGGATCTGGAAGAGTTGTTATATAACTGGCGTTTTGGTTGAAGTGAGGGATTAGCCAATGAAACAATCTGTTACGGCGACTTCTTACTTGCCATGCACAGAACTGTGGGTAAACCACTAGAGACGTCAACGCTGATTGATTAATCAATGTATGACGTCACAGGGTCAAAAGCCACTCGTACGACCCCTGACACGACCTTCAAATACAACTTGTCAGATCTTCATGTAGTGTAGGTCATCGAAAATATAAAAAAAAAACGAAACGAAATATAGATCTGTATTTCAATCAGATTGAGGCAATACAGTGTGCCATGACGGAAATATTGCCATGACAGTGACGCTAAGGCCTACTCTTATATCGAATTCCAACTGCTAAGGGATCTTTTACGTGCACGCCAATGTGTACTCGGTCCCTCGTTTTTTTGTCTCATCCGAACAACTAGACAGCTTTCTTTGTCAGACCTTCCGCCCTGCACAACTGACAATGAAAAAAACATTCTATACGATCCTGATGAAAATTATCCCATATTGAGAGAGAGTATGGAGTTTTACCTCCATGCGACACAAACTAGGTCATTTCGGGACAAACATATACATGGTTAAATTTTATGTCACTAATTCACTTGCATGTAGGGGTCTCAAGAAGTGGGAGGAAACTGGAGGACCCAGGTTAAACCATTCGATCACACCCCGCTCTCCCGCTCCATATAATCTTGTGAATGGTGATATACCTCAGCAGCACGTTTCTTCTTGCTAAAATAATCACCCAGAGTTAATTTAACTGTCTGTACAATTTCTTCTACATTTTTCTTCTCGTACGTATAATTAGCTTGATCGAGATAACTCTGCGTTAAATCACGTTTAATACCATCGCTTGCCAACTGAAAAAAAATCAACAAAATATATGTCATGGACTAAAAACATCATCAAAAAGATATAGAAATGATTGAGCACTGTGGCCTGGAGAGAGATAAATGGGGATTTAATGCTCCACAAAACAAAAACCACTCCACAAAAAAGAATTGAAACTAGATCATTTTGCGACTATATATCGTATAATTTTATATTTGAAGACTTTGCTTACTAGGTCATTTTGGGACGAACATTTATGGTTTATTTTTATTTTAAAAATTTGCTTGCGTGTAGGGGTCTTTAGCAGTTGGAGGAAACCCACGAGGTTGGACAGGCGACCCTACTCCTTGTCACGTACAACCGGAGAATCGAAACCGAAGGTTGATATATTAGAGCTATTTTGGACAGTTTTTTATTCCACTCATTTGGACCAGTATTTTATACCTGTAGGATGTAATTCTGTATTAACATGGCCCAGTTTTGAACATCACCAGCCAGAGTTCCGATGTCATGCTTCTCTTCACCCGGATAACAACCAACAAACGTAACATAAATAATAAACAACAAACAGATTCCTTGTCTTAATAACATGATTCTTGAATTACACCAACTCCCAGGCTATGAAGAAGTGTGTTTAAACATATGAAAATCTGAAGAAAAAAACCAAACAATGAAACGAAATGGGGTTTAACATCCTACTGTTCTGCTACTACTGGGCGCCACTAATGAAAACGGGCATATATGAGGGAATTTTGCCTGGACAGCGGCGCCAAGGCCTGCACTTGTATTGAATTCCATTGCCAAAGGATCTTTTACGAGCACGTCAATATGTACACAGGACCTCAGCTTTTCGCCCAGGCCATCGATCTGATACCACATATGTGAGGATGGAGCTCAGCGACAAAGAATTATTCACTCAGGGCCCAGGGTCCAAATTTGATTGCCTAAAACATGCTGGTTAATTGATACCAAATATGCAGGGGTTGAGCCTGACAACAAACGTGATGGGTCAACACACACCTACTATACTTTCATTGTATACTGTAGATTAATTCAATAATTGACAGAATTACTTTCATTCATTTCAATACCGATATATTTACCTTCATTTTGATATTGAGGCATTTCAATTATTTTTATCACTGCAATACATGCAAAATAATAGATCCATATCCGATATTGTTAAAATATCTTTAAAAAGGAATTAACTTACACTGCTGACTAGCTAGAGCCTACAGAAAAATCAAAACCCTCAACTATAACTATTTAGCCACAATTTAAGGTCTATTTAAAGGAGCTAAATCGCTAATATTTTGGGCCTAGAAATTGGCACAAATGGGTCGCAACACATATAATAATGTAATATGAATTTATATAATCCTTATAAGACATATAGAAATAGATTTCACTAAAAATAACACACTAATATGGATACATATATACTACTTCTGAATTTAGAAGTAGTATATCCATATTAGTGTGTTATTTTTAGTGAATTTATATAAACTGTTTTACATTCAATCGTTTCCGTTTTACTGTGAATTGTCATCAGTTATGTTCGGCGAAATACGCCAGAAGTCTCAACCGAAAGACAGTTTCTAGCGTCTGGTTATTCCAGTCAACAACGATAGTATTGCGCATGCTCTCCAAATAAGAATATGACATCACCGTTTGACATGACTTGTGGAATATGTCTAGCCTCATTCTTTGAGCACCTCGTAACTTGTTACAAATGGCACTGAAACGCACTACATGTATGGTAGATAATTCGTGTACCAATGGTAAAATGTTTATTTTGTCTTAAATATTGGATATCAGATGACCATCTTATCTAGGTAAGACCACAACACCAATGCTGATTTAAATTGCAAAAAAATTCGTGTTTTCAATGTCGAAGATTTTGGATGATATTGATAGTTACGGACTTAGCTACTTTAATTGCGGTTTTTCACATCAGCTTCGGTAAAGCCAAAGGTTCATTTCAAGTCTCTACGATCACAGGAACTGGTAGAGGTACGTTACTGACATAGTACCGGTTCATTCAGAATCCATGCAAAATAATAGATTCAAATCCGATTATTGTTAAAAAAATCTTTAAAAAAGAATTAACTTACACTGCTGACTGCTGCTGCTAGGGACTACAGAAAAATCAAAACAACACAAAGTATAATTATTTAGCCGTAATGTGGCTATATACTATTTAGGCTATCCCCTATTGCCTATATTGCAGGGTTTTTTTTTCACATCAGCTTCAGTAAAGGTTCATTCAGAATCTGACTAGGTCGACGTCGGGTGCAAAATTCATCTGCTTTCGTCAGTCACCTATGCAAATCAATGTCGTAATTTTAGTTCCAGTGTCCACTGGAATAAATCGATGCTCCAAAATGGTTCTCATCTCGTTTCTACACTTCATTATAATTTTTGTAGCAGACGGAATTTTCTCTCGCAGTGTTATCGCCTTTTCTGATTGGCTAAATTCCGTAAGTTTACTTACAGGGATATTCATTGGTTTTTCTGAACGGAAATGGATGTTAAATCTATTTTTAGTCATTCGGATAACATGGAAAACCATCGTCGTTTTATTTTCCATTCGGTAGTCACACACCTTTCCAGTGAAGCAATGAAATGAATAGAAAAATGAAATGGAGTTTGATGTCCTCCTGTTCTGAACCGACTTGGCCAATGAAAGAAATAGTTGTCGAATATATCATCAGATACATTTATGAGTAGCCCCATGAGTGGGTCCAATTTTTTCAGAGGGATGTAGGACTGTAACGCATCAAAAATTTGGTCAGTTCCAAATTTATGAAATCAAGAAGTCGATCGTCAATCTTTTCGGCTCTAGGCATACACCTCCATGGCTCTAGGCCGATTTATCACAAATCTGCAGATTAATAAACGGAAATTAGACAGCTTAGCGCATGCGCGGTTGTAATCTTCACGCGATATAAAATCTGCTTACTGGAATTCGAATTTTGAAACAGACCGTACGTGCCGATGCCCTAAGAAAAATCCCCCTCATTGCATACTGCATGTCCGTTAATTGTAATTTTATACTTTGTATATATGCTGTCCTCAAACGACGTTTCGATGCAATCAAGTTCTATTCTATTTCTTTCATTGGCCAAGTCGGTTCAGAACATGTAGTATGATGTCAAACTCCATTTCATTTCTACTCATTGCTTAAAGGAGTGTGGCTACCGAATGGAGTTTTCCATGTTAACCGAATGACTAAAAATAGATTTAACATCCATTTCCGTTCAGGAAGACCAATGAATATCATTGTAAGTAAACTTACGGAATTTAGCCAATCAGAAAAGGCGATAACACGGCGAGAGAAAAGTCCGTCTGCTACAAAAATTATAATGAGGTGTAGAAACAGGATGAGAACCATTTCGGAACATCGATTTATTCCAGTGGACACTGGAACTGAAACTACGACTTTAATTTGCAGAGGTGACTGATGTAATCAGATGAATTTTGCACCCCATGTCATGTGGCTCTAGTCAGATTCTGAATGAAGCTGATGTGAAAACAAAAACACAACCGCTTGAATAGACCGGCGCTAATAAATTGCGGCTAAATATTGATATTTTGTGTTGTTTTGATGTAGGCCTTAGGCAGCAGCAGTCAGCATTGTAAGTTAATTCCTTTTTAAAGATTTTTTTAACAATATTGGATATGGATCTGTTATTTTGCATGGATTGTAATGATAAATGATTGAAATGCAACAAAATACCAGTATTAAAAGGAGCTAAGTCACTAATATTTGGGACCTAGAGAAATTGACACAAATGGGTCGCAACGCATACACATATGAATGTATATAAATTGATTACATTCAATAAATCGTTTCTGTTTTTACTGTAATTTCTAATCAGTTAGGTTCGGCGAAATACGCCAGTATTCTCAATTGAATTTCAATCTCTAGCGACTATTCCAGCCTACTATAGTATTTATCGGGCATGCTCTCTAAAATAAAAATATAGCGTCACCGTTTGACATGACTTAAGTGGAATATGCCTAGCCTCGTTTTTCGAGTCCCTTATTACAAATAGCGCTGAAACGTATTATGGTACACGATTCGTGTACCAATGGTAAAATGTTTATTTTGTCTTGAATATTGGATATCAGAAGCCCATCTTTTCCATGTAAGATCACAAGACCAATGTTGATTTAAATTGACAAATAATTCGTGTTTTCAATGTCGAAGATTTTTGATAATATTGAGTTAGAGACTTAGCTACTTTAAATTGAATTGAATGAAAGTAATTCTGTCTATTATTGAATTTATCTATAAAGAAATATGTATGTAATGTCCACTGATTGACAATCGTTCGTCGCAGCGCGCCACATATGTGGTATCAATTAACCAGCATATTTTAGGCCATCGAATTTGGACCCTGGGTGAATAATGCTTTGTCAATGGCCTGGACGAAAAGCTGACGTCCTGTGTACATATTGACGTGCTCGTAAAAGATCCCTTGGCAATTGGAATTCAATATAAGAGCAGGCCTTGGCGCCGCTGTCCTTGCAAAATTCCCTCATATATCATATGCCCATTTTCATTAGCCGCGCCCAGTAGGAGCAGAACAGTAGGATGTTAAACCCCATTTCGTTTCATTGTTGTTTTTTTTTCTTCAGATTTTCATATGTTTAAATACATGTCTTCATAGCCAGGGAGTTGGTGAAATTCAAGAATCATGTTATTAAGACAAGGAATCTGTTTGTTGTTTATTATTTATGTTACGTTTGTTGGTTGTTATCCGGGTGAAGAGAAGCATGATATCGGAACTCTGGCTGGTGATGTTCAAAACTGGGCCATGTTAATACAGAATTACATCCTACAGGTATAAAATACTGTCTATACTGGTCCAAAAGAGTGGAATAAAAAAAACAACAACTATCAAAAATAGGTCTAATACATGTATATCAACCTTCTAGAATATTTTCGAATTAATTATCAAAATGAAATTTATGTTATATTATTGCGAATGATATAGTTTTGTTTGGCACACGGTTGTTGTCTATGTATGTCATATCCTCTGTAAAGCACCACAGAGCCTTCAAACTGACTGAGTGCTCCAGAAAATAATTATTATTATATTACAACTTTATCACCTAGACTGCCCCGCCACCCCAACACGTGCATAGCTGTCACGCTCGCAGATTGGTCACATACAGAATGCTATTCACATATCTCGTGTGGTTTGAAGCACTCTAGAAAATGATTATTATTATATTAAAATTTAATCTACTTTTCAGCCTTTAAACTGCTCCAAACCGCCCCGTCGTGTTCATAGCTGTCGCGCACTCAAATTGGTCACATACTGAACACTGTTCAAATATCTCGTGTGGTTTGAAGCGATATAAAGAACAGCTGTTTTAGACTTTTCTGTAATTTTCTTAAAGGAAGTGGGGTAATCAATGTTTACATGTACCAAATGATAAAGGATTAAATAAATTTAAATAAACTAACTCTGTGACTAAGGGGAAATGAGAGGGACTATCAAGGAGCTCCCATGTTCCTGGAGCAACCACCGTGAGTTTCGCAACATCTAGATGTTGAAGTAAAAGCGAGATCAAGCCTTCTAGGATACTAATCTATACTAGTAATGAAACTTTGATGGTATAGAGGTTACCCATCAGATAAACCCTATTCAACACCATGTTTTGATTTAAATCAATGATGTTCAGCTTCTGTAAGTTGTTGAATGTGTCCTTAGCCAGAGTGGGATAGGATTGAACCATATGTTTGTCCCGAAATGACCTAGTTTGTGTGTGTCGAGGCTCTTTATCTTTATCATTGAGTCCAGTGACCTGGTTTCAATCCATAGCATGAACAATGTATTTGACAAGTAGTAGGGTTACAGGGTTTTTTTCTCTGATTTTCTGCTGCTGTGAAAGACCACTACACACAAGAGATAGAGAGAGATAAATTGGGTTTAACGTCCACTCGACACAAACTAGGTCAATTCGGGACTAACATATGGTTCAATTTTATTTCAACAGTTCGCTTGTGCGTAGGAGTCTTTTGCAGTGGGAGGAAACCAGAGGACCCGGTGGAGAAAACCCACGAGGTTGGACAGGCGACCCTACTCCTTGTCACGTAGAAGCGGAGAATCGAAACCACGGCAGTTGACTCAATGACAGACCTTATGATACAACGCACACGTCCCACCCCCCACACACAAGCAAATTTTTCAAATATAAAATTGTACCATATAATAGTCTCAAAATTATCTAGTTTCAATTCTTTTTGTGGAGTGGTTTTTGTTTTGTGGAGCATTAAATCCCCATTTATCTCTCTCCAGGCCACAGTGCTCAATCATTTCTATATCTTTTTGATGATATTTTTAGTCCATGACATATATTTTGTTGTTGTTTTTTCAGTTGGCAAGCGATGGTATTAAACGTGATTTAACGCAGAGTTATCTCGATCAAGCTAATTATACGTATGAGAAGAAAAATGTAGAAGAAATTGTACAAACAGTTAAATTAACTCTGGGTGATTATTTTAGCAAGAAGAAACGTGCTGCTGAGGTATATCACCATTCACAAGATTATCTGGAGCGGGAGGGCTGGGTGTGTGATCGAATGGTTTAACCCGAGTCCTCCTGTTTTCTCCCACTTTTTAAGACCCCTACATGCAAGTGAATTAGTGACATAAAATTTAACCATATGTTAGTCCCAAAATATCCTAGTTTGTGTCGTATGGAGGTTAAACTCCATTTCTCTCTCTCGGTATGGGATAAATTTCATCAGTATCTTATAGAATGTTTTTTTCCTTGTCAGCAGTGTCAGTGGTGCAGGGCAGAAGGTCTGACAAAGACAGCTGTCTAGTTGTTCGGATGGGACAAAAAAACGACTGCCCATGTACACATTGGCGTGCACATAAAAGATCCCTTGGCAGTTGGAATTCGATATAAGAGTAGGCCATAGTGCCGTTGTCCGGGCATAATTACCCTCATAGCATACTGTATAAATCCGTCTTCGTTAGCCCAGTTCGGAGCATAAGAGTAGGACGTTAAACCCCACTTCATTTCATTTCATTTCGCATATGGTGCAGATTGTAGGACGTCACACTTTATTTTATTCAAGTTTTTAGAAATTTATTTTTAAAGTTTCTATGTTAATGCTCTCCAAGACAGATTTTTACAATAAAAGTTCAGTTGAAACTTTTTTAATTGCACAGAGGTTTTTTTTATGATTGTTGTTTTGTGATTGATTATTCAGTCAGTTTAATTCTTGTTGCCTAACGATGCCATGTTCAATTTTTATGTTGCAGCGACTGGCTGAGAAAGTTCGAGAAATTCATGATGATTTTTTACGCTCCAACTCGTCAATTAATGCTAAAGTGTTAAAAGACATCGATGAGCGTATATATCGTGATTCGGATATCCCATCAAGATTACCCCATGATATCATCTTTAATCCGTAAGTAGAATTTTCAAATTATTTGAGTCAAATCGGAATAAGTTATTTCTATTGAAAAGGTAATGGTGTGTGTTATGTCAACACGTAACTCAATATCATCCACAGTCTTCGACATTGCAAACACAAATTATTGTTTAATATAGATCAACATTGATGTTATTATTTTACCGTGTAAAGATGGACTTCTGATATCCAATATTTAAGACAAAATGGAAATATTAAAATTGGTACATAAATCACATGCCAGATTGCTTTCGAGCACATTTTGTAATGAAGCGACTCACTATACAAGTCTAAACTAGTCTAAACTCACTATGCCAGATTGCTTTCGAGCACATTTTGTAATGAAGCGACTCACTATACAAGTCTAAACATATCCCACAGGAGAACACTACCGGTTTAGAATATGGGACAATAAAACGAGATCTTGTTTATACATTGGTATGCTGCTGTCATAGCAAATTTCCCTCACAGCATACTGTATTATTTACTCAATCAGTCGGTGAAGAACAGTAGGACGTTACGGTTAGACCCCATTTCATTTCACGTATTTCACCGAAGGTAACTAATTAGAAATTACAGTAAAAAACAGAAACGATTGAATGTTAATCAGTTTATATACATTCATATTACATTAATGTATGCGTTCCGACCAATTTGTGTCCTCTTATAGGTGCCGAAGAATAGCGATTTAGCTCCTTTAACCTCAGGCATTATGATCTTTTGGCCCAATATAGCCCAGTTGTTGCTGATGTGGCATACAACATTTAATTCATTCATTTATTATGAGCCTCTCTGTGCCAGTGATTCAGAACAAAGGGCCTGACAAAGACAGTGTCTTGTCGTTTGGATGGGACGAAGAATCAAGGTCCCATAACGTGATAAAACCCTTGGCAGATCTAATTTGAAATAAGAGTAGGCGATATCACCGCTGTCAGGGCCATATTTTCCTCATATCACTTTGTATAGCGTATGTCCGTCTCCATTAACCCATTCTGTGCAGTGGGATTTTATACCCCATTTTATTTCGCAGATGCAGTTAGATATTTGATAAAGGTATTCCGAAAAATTATCATACTTGTTAGGTTTGGGTTCTCCGCGAATCTTAAATGTTGATACATTATTACTGCGACAAACGTAGTGATTTGTGTAATTTTTATTGTAGATATTTCAGACAAGGTGTGAGTTTAAAACAGTCGTCCATCAAGCTACCAGATGAGGTGCCGAGAAACGATCGGGATGTTATTAATACCGTTTATTTTACAGCCAGACTTGAAGAAACTTTTCTTAAAAATGCTAAAGATGATCCCCTGTTACGGTGAGTAAATAAAATTTCGTAGAAATGTATATCTGTGACTGACATTTGTCTGTTTTAGCCCCAGTTTCATAAAGCATTATCAGACTTAAGTTAAGAATTTAGTCAACTTTCAATCACTGTTTAGTTTATGAGAAATATTTTTGATTCGGAAACACAAAAATTTGCACATACTTTCTTATTGATGTATTTGATACATTAAAACAACAAAAATTTTATAAAGGGCTTTATTGAAGATAAAATAAGGCGAACAATTTTGAGGAAATTCTAAACTTAAAGTAGCTAAGTCCGTAACTCAGTATCATCCAAAATCTTCGACATTGAAAACACAAATTTTTTTGCAATTTAAATCAGCATTGGTGTTGTGATCTTACCTGGAAAAGATAGGCTTCTGATATCCAATATTTGAGACAAAATAAACATGTTACCATTGGTACACGAATCGTGTACCATAATGCGTTTCAACGCCATTTGTAACAAGGTGCTCAAAGAATGAGGCTAGACATATTCCACAAGTCATGTCAAACAGTGATATCATGTTCTTATTTGGAGAGCATGCGCAATAAATAATATCGGTGTTGACTGAAATAACCAGACGCTAGAAACTGACTTGCGGTTGAGACTTCTGACGTATTTCGCCTAACATAACTGATGACAATTCACAGTAAAACGGACACGATTGAATGTAAAACAGTTTATATGAATTCATATTACATTATTATATGTGTTGCGACTCATTTGTGCCAATTTCTAGGTCCAAAATATTAGCGATTTACATGTAGCTCCCTTAAGTCTGAGAATGTTTGGTTTATGCCAAGGTGTAGTGTCGTCTGCATAACCTTGTTAGTTTCCTTCCACAGCTTGTTTAAGACCCCAACACACAAGCAAGTTATTGAAATAAAATTGAAATATATCTTAGTCCTAAAATGGCCTAGTTTTTGTCAAGTGGACGTGAAACCCTCCTTTTCTTTTGTCAGGAAAAATGGCACAGCAGCTAGCGAACTTCATCTGTAATACACATACGGGGGTAATTTTCGATCCTGTTTATACTCGGTTCCGTTACTATTGTCCGATACAATTACTTAATTTATCTTTTTCTATACAGCTAGGGGTGTTGGATGGCTGAATGGTTAGCGTGCGCGCGCTGTATCATTAAGTCTGTCATTGAGTCGACTGGCGTGGTTTCGAATCCCCGGTTGTACGTGGCAAGGAGTAGGGTCGCCTGTCCAACCTCGTGGGTTTTCTCCGGGTCCTCCGGTTTCCTCCCACTGCTAAAAGACCCCTACGCGCAAGCGAATTATGTAAATAAAATTAATTAAACCATATGTTAGTCCCGAAATGACCTAGTTTGTGTCGAGTGGACATTAAACCCCATTTCTCTCTCTCTATACAGCTAATTAAAGGGGCATTAGGTAAGATTAGATAAAGAGCTGATAATTCTCACTATAATAGTTAAAAACTAGATAATGAAAATAAAATATGCTGAAAATTTCAGTCAAATTGCTTCACTCTGAACCAAGATATTAGCCATTCAATTTTTGGCTAGCCTTGAATGTCAATACTAACTTTGGTGTGGTAATAAACCAAGTCTTGATTATCCAGTTTTGCATTAAATTATCAATAACAATAAGTATTCAAATCCACTAACTGTCACAGGTTAACGATGGCATCGAGAGTTGTTTATGGCCTTGTTAGTTAATTAATGTCTAATTAATAATTTAGATAACATTTCAGGCCTAAAGACAGGTCTACAGTTAGCATAATGTATGTTTAATTACCCGTAACTTGCGAAGTTGAAAGGTTGTAGTGTAACAAACATAGTGATTGTATCCATACCAAGTATTCTATGAATATAGGAAATCACGGTGGTTCAGTGAGTAACTTGTTGGCTCCTTAACCTGAAGGTCCCTTGTTAGATCCTTTCTGTTCAATTTACAGCATGGTTCTCCCTTGTGAGTAGGGGGGGTTGGATGGCTGAATGGTTAGCGTGCGCGCGCTGTATCATAAAGTCTGTCATTGAGTCGACTGGCGTGGTTTCGAATCCCCGGTTGTACGTGACAAGGAGTAGGGTCGCCTGTCCAACCTCGTGGGTTTTCTCCGGGTCCTCCGGTTTCCTCCCACTGCTAAAGACCCCTACGCGCAAGCGAATTATGTAAATAAAATTAAACCATATGTTAGTCCCGAAATGACCTAGTTTGTGTCGAGTGGACGTTAAACCCCATTTCCCTCTCTCTCTCCCTTGTGAGTGGTGCATGACATTGGGCCTAGCAAGGAAAAACAAATAATTGTTTGGATGCGACAATGAAACGAGAATTTGTGTATACATTGGTATGCCGCTGTCAGAGCAAATTTCCCTCATAGCATACTGTATTATTTGCTCGATCATTCGGTGAAGAACAGTAGGATGTTACAGTTAGACCCCATTTAATTTCATTTCTAGTATCGGTAATATATTACTAATGTAATTGTATCAGTTGACAGAAATTAATTTATTTTATTTTCGATCCAGGTGGCAGTATTTTGGATCAACGACTGGAGTGATGAGATTGTATCCAGGGAGAGAATGGTCAACTAATTTTGCTGGTTTCTATAACGACTATGATGCCAGGATACGACCATGGTATATAGCAGCTACAAGTGGACCTAAAGATGTGGTTATTATTCTAGATTGTAGGTCAGTATCTCTCTCCATCACCCTCTTCACCCCCACTCCCTCCCCTTCCCCTCTAGATTGTAAGTCAGTATCCCCCTCCCTCTCCCTCCCCCTCAAGATTGTAAGTCAGTATCTCCCCCCCCTCTCCCCTTCTAAATTGTAAGTCAGTACAGGTTGGGTTCGAGTGATCTAGTCACCTATAGATATTACCAGCCCCTCCACGTTAGGAAGTATGGGTTTTAATCCTGGACTGATTGGGTTTATTTATCTCATATCTTGATGTTTTTACAGTTTATCAATGAAAGGAGAAAAGTTTTCTATTGGTAAAGCTGTGGCTAAAACTGTCATCAACACCTTAACTAAACAAGATTATGTTAACGTCATCTGTGCTCGGGCCAGTCATTGGGATGAAGTCGGAAAGTAAGTAGGCATATTGTTAGTGTGTTGTTATACAATATTGTGTAATAAAGAAATTTATTTTAGAACATTGTGTTAGAAAATATTGGATTTATTTAATTGTGCATGTAAGAAAGGATTAGGTGATAAATAAAATCTCCTACTCGTCTTTTTTGATATCAAAATATATCAACATGTGTCGATAAAGTAAAAAAAAAACGCGTGGATGCGTGGGGATTAGGTCTTATGATAACTCATGCCATTCCTGTACTTTGTTTAAGAGGAATATTTGTAAGCGAATTATTGTTTGGATGAACCCATTTCTCTCTTTCTATATTGCAGATGGCATTTTTATAATACAGAATCACTGAGTTGTGTACAGACAGATTTGGTGCCGGCTACTAATTCACATCGTAAAGATCTCATAGAAAAAATAGATAAATTAAGAGCTGGTGGAACAAGTGAACTTCAGTAAGTTTTTACCTGTAATCTTTACTGGGTGTGTTTATGGTAAATACCTGACTTACTGGTTTAATGAGATTAGGCAGGCGAACCTACTAGTGTTTGAGGTGGGGGGGGGGATGGACGAATGGTTAGCACATACGTGCTGTATCATAAGGTCTGCCATTCAGTCACCTGTATAAAATTGTAAATTACCAGCTTTCCCTCCTTATTTTGATATTTTTAGGAAAGGTTTTGAGCAAGGGTTAGATTTACTACAGAACCCTAGAACTGGTTGTCAATCATTGATTGTCTTCGCCACGGATGGTATTGATACAGATGGGGAAGATGTTCGCTGTGGTCCAGGTAGCTTATAATTTTTTTCATTATGTTTATAATGGATCAGATCAGTTTTTAATGAATCAGATCATTCGCATGTTTACATGAATATTCATGACCTTGTATATATGAATATTAATGGGCTACATGTTTACTACGCAACCAAGGACTTTGGTTATATTGGTAAAGCGATTACATGATCTGTAAGAATAAATATTAGAAGAATATAGTGTGGTCATTTAAACATACATGTTCATCCAGATTTTCCGGCGTGCTTCCCCCTTGTCAGTGATGCAGGACGGAGGAGCTGACAAGAACAGCTGTCTAGTCATTTGGATGGGACGAAAAACTGAGGTCCCGTGTACACATTGGCGTGCATGTGAAAGATCCCTTGACAGTTGGAATTCGATATAATAGTAGGTCATAGTGCCGCTGTCCGGGCAAATTTTCCCTCATAGCACACTGTATGGCGATGCCTGTCTTCATTAGCCCTGTTCGGAGCAGAACAGTAGGGCGTTAAACCCCATTTCATTTTATTTTTTTAAAACGTACATTATTCAACAGCTAAATCTGCCTATTGCAGGTCTTTTTTTGTCCCCCGCCTTTCGAAGAAAGCAGGGGACTATTAAAATGGGTTCGTCCGTCTGTCTGTCTGTCTGTCTGTCTGTCTGTCTGTCTGTCTGTCTGTCTGTCCGTCTGTCTGTCCGTCCGTCCGTCTGTCCGTCCGCCCGTCCGTCCGTCCGTCCGTCCGTCCGTCCGTCCGTCCGTCCGTCTGTCCGTCCGTCTGTCTGTCCGTCACACTTTTTGGGACACAATAACTCTCTTCCTAATTGAGCTAGAATGTTCAAACTTGGTGTATGTGTTTATTAGGTCAATGCCTTGATGGAGTTCGAAGATGAGCATTTTCCGCTTAGGGTAAGCAGAGATAAGCAATTTGATTGGTTGATGCTTTGGGACACGATAACTCTCTTCCTAATTGGGCTAGAATGTTCAAACTTGGTGTATGTGTTGATTAGGTCAATGCCTTGATGGAGTTCGAAGATGAGCATTTTCCGCTTATTTCTTATATATATGGTCTTGTCATTTTAATAAATGTCAAATTAATAATTCAGATAACTTTAAAGGCCCAACCAAAGAAAAACCAGCAATAGGCAGATTTAGCTCTTGCATAATGTCTCTTTAAATACTGGTAATAAATTTGAGATGTCAGTTGTGGAATATTCCACTGAAGATATGATTTCTACTCCCTCGGTGCAGTCTACGTAAAACAAAATCCATAAACTGATCAAATCTGTAGAGTATCACGAGATAATTACAATCACCATTAACTAGAGGCCAGTCTACCATTTACTTTGTAAGGGAATATATGGTACCCATATTTACTAGCTGTCTGGGGATCCATTAAAGGACAATATTGGTGCCAGTCATAGTCACATATGTGATAGAACTAATTAAACACGTTCCAAATATAATTTTAACACAGAGATCATTGCTACGATAGCTGACTCATGAGTAATACAGGTTTTCTGAATCGGAAGTGACAAATGCCAAAGGAAAACTCGAGTCATCTCTCTATATAACTGACTGATGTGACCAGTGATAACGGGTATACGGGCAAATTTCTGCTCACTAATAATTCCTTCGAAGACCAAAGTTATATTTGGAATGTGTTTAACCAGCTCTATCACATATGTGATAATGACTGGCACCAATATTGTCCTTTAATACTAGAGTCTGTGTCATTCCCTCTCTTGTAAAATGTAAATCTGATTTATTGGTAAATAGATAAAGGAAACAGTTAATTTTTTTAAAATTTTAGAAAAAATATGAATATTATGGTTGTTGTTAACACATAACACAATTATATGGAATACAAGTTACTTTAAGGAGAACCCTTTGAGTGATAGGGAGGTTTCATATTTTTATATTTTAAATTAATTTTAGAAATGCATGTTTCATCTGTACAATCGAGAGTTGTAACTGGTTGTAAGCCTATTGTGTTTTCACTAAAAAATACATCAAGTGACTTGCTGCATTAAGTGATATGGAGGCTTCATATTTTTATTGTCCCCCGCCTTTCGAAGAAAGCAGGGGACTATTAAAATGGGTTCGTCTGTCCGTCTGTCTGTCTGTCCGTCACACTTTTTGGGACACAATAACTCTTCTTCTAATTGACCTAGAATGTTCAAACTTGCTGTAGGTGTTTATTAGGTCAATGCCTTGATGGAGTTCGAAAATGAGCATTTTCTGCTTAGAGTAAGCAGAGATAAGCAATTTGATTGGTTTGTGCTTTGGGACACGATAACTTTAGTTCTAATTAAGTGAGAGTGATGAAACTTGGTGTATAGTTTCATTACACCAATACCTTGACTAAGTTCGATAATGAGCATCTTCTGCTCAGGGTAAGCAGAGCGATAAGCAATTTGATTGGTCGAGACTTTGGAACACAATAACTCTCCATCTAATTGAGCTAAAATGTTAAAACTTGGTGTAGGTGTTTATTAGGTCAATGCCTTGATAGAGTGCGAAGATAAGCATTTTCTGCTTATGGTAAGTAGAGATAAGCAATTTGATTGGTTGATGCTTTGGGACACGATAACTTTAGTTCTAATTAAGTGAGAGTGATGAAACTTGGTGTATAGTTTCATTACATCAATACCTTGACTAAGTTCGATGATGAGAATTGTCTGCTTAGGCTAAGGAACAATAAGCATTTTGATTGGTCAAGACATTGGAACATAACTTCTAATTGAGGTAGAATGTTTAAACTTGATGTAGATGTTCATTAGGTGAATGTCTTTTCTGAGTTCAATGATTAACATTTTGATCTAAAGCTAAGCAGAGATAAGCAATTTTCTTGGTCGATGCTTTGGGACAAGATAACTTTGATTCTATCTGATAGAGAGTGATGAAACTTAGTGTATAGTTGATAATCAGTTTGATTGCTCGATACTTTTGAAAAAAATAAATGTACCATTAATTAATATGTGTCATCTATTTATTTGGGGATTTCGGTGGGGGACATCAGCCTCACTGTTGGCTTGTTTTATAAGGCCTTAAACGTTATATAAATTATTAATTAGACATTAATAAACGTAATTAATTACCAATGCCATCGAATGGCTGCAATATAAATAGATTTAAATACATTTTGTGATCGATGCGGTTACCACGAAAATGGATAATCAAGACTCTGTTTATTAACCTAACAACAGTAGTAATGACAATCAAGGCTAGGTTATAATTGTATCGCTGATATCTAGGCTCAGAGTGAAGTAATTGATTGAAATTTTCAGCATATTATTCTCTTTTCAATATCTTTTTTTTTTAACTTTTATAGTGAGAACTGTAAGCTCTTTATCTAATCTTACCTAATGCCGCCCTAACTGAGCTATAAAGATCAAATCAATTAAATGGTCGAGCTGCTTGATAACATCAATGTTTATTTCAATTATAGTAAGCTGTCAGTACCATAAATTTGAACTATGAGTTTGATCCTCTTGTTGGCAAAGAAAGTTTCTCAGTAATTTCCTGTCTGTTTCCCCTCCCTTGTCATTGGTGCCAGGAAAGCTTGAGTTTGTACTAAATATTATTGTAGGATATTATACTAGAAGTGGCTATGTACCAGGACCTATATGTAAATATAATTATAGTGATGTCTGGGAACTGGTTTTAAATAGAAACAAAGATCTTACACCGCCGGTAAGTTTCCTAAAGTCTATCGTTGTTGTTACTACTACACAACTCTGTTATATTACTGTCCTTACTACTACACAATTCAGTTATATCACTGTTCTTACTACTGCACAATTCAGCTCTATCACTGTCCTTACTACTGCACAACTCAATTCTATCACTGTCCTTACTACTGCACAATAATTGTATTCGATAGACTTGCAGTATATTTCCAGTCCATACCTTGAGACAATTTACCTAAACTTAGTGATGAACGTCAAACATGAGATCAATTTAATTTGACATAATTGTGTGTTTTAGGCCAGAATATTCAGCTACCTGATTGTTGAAGACGCTGAATTATTCCCCGGCAATTTATCGTGTAGAAACAACGGCAGTATAAAAAAACTCATGACGGGAGAAAATCTGATTTCACAAATGAGCAACTATTTTGAGTTTTTATCTGCGAATGCCATGAGTAGTGAAGCGTTGTGGACATCACCGTATTTGGATGCGTGGGGATTAGGTCTCATGATAACTCATGCCATTCCTGTACTTAGTGGAATAACGGGCAAGTAAGTATATGAAGAGTCCAGGGGAAGAACGATCTAAGTCACATTTTTGTCTTTTCGCACAAAAGCAAAACAGACTTTTAGACGCGAACAGAACAGGGAGTGGGTTTAATTGCAACTTCAAAATGATGTTTAATAGGAATCAAAATTACCAGTACATCAACTGACTTCCACTTTCCAGCCAAATTATGGTCAAATAAACGATACGACGGACATATTTGTCCTGGCGGCCATTTCAGAAGTGCCTTGGTTTGATATGACTCTGATTGTTTTTACCTGAAATTGATTGTTCCACAGAAAGCTTATACAATTTTCTACCAGATGGCGCGATTAACTGGGGTTCGTTAAAAAGTAACTTAGATCATTATTCCCCGTGGCTCTTCACATCATTTCACAAACATTTGTACATGTTTCTATCAAAACATGTATTGTTTCTTCAAGTGTTTTTATTATTTTCTTTGGGGAATTTTGTGCAGCCAAAACTGTATATGGTGCAAACATTCTGCCAACGTAGATGGGGTTGACCTCTGAGAATTTATTTATTAAATATAAATTGGGTCATTTTTGATAAACAGGAAGTGTTTTACAGATGTGACAAAAAATAATCTCAGATTGCCCATATCTCGGTTATTTCTGAAAGGATGGTCTTCGGGTTTTATAATTTTGGGATTCTTTGGACGAATCTCATATGGGCTCTGACTGACTGTTGTTTGAAATTTGGAAGTTTGTCTGATTAGTTCTCACTCTCTCTCTCTCAATCAACCAACCATGACATCAGAAACTTAGTATATGTTGTGTGTAATTATGTTACATTTCTACTTACACTACCTTGTTTGTGGGGACTGACAGAACTGTGACAAGATTGACAGAACTGTGACAAGACTGACAGAACTGTGACAGGACTGACAGAACTGTGACAGGACTGATAGAACTGTGACAGGACTGACAGAACTGTGACAAAATGGATAGAACTGTGACAGGACTGATAGAACTGTGACGGGACTGACAGAACTGTGACAAAATGGATAGAACTGTGACAGGACTGATAGAACTGTGACAGGACTGATAGAACTGTGACGGGACTGACAGAACTGTGACAAAATGGATAGAACTCTGACAGGACTGATAGAACTGTGACAAGACTGATGGAACTGTGACAGAACTGTGACAGAATGGATAGAACTCTGACAGGACTGAATGCCATGTCACACACTTGTAATTCTGTGAATTCAAGACATTCCAGACTGACAATCGAGTAGTCCAGTATACACAACCTGTTTCACCGATATGAAATAAAATAATTCTTTTTATCATCGGAAGATATATTGGAGTTGTTGGTATCGATGCTACTTTAGATGAAATTGAGAATTTTCTAACCAAACATCAATGGGGTTCTGTTGATTCATTTCTCATCAACGACCAAGGGGAGACTATCTTCCATCCTCGTCTAAAACCGAGTAAAAAGGTAAGCATGATTTGGTATGCAATCCCCTCTCTATATATCTTCAACCTGGAAAAATGGGCAGAACTGGTTGTTTTATTTTATCATGTTTTATAGCTTCTGTCATGGAGAGTAACGGTGTTGGCTGAAAATGTCTAGTTATTAGGATAGGATGATAAATCACAGATCTATTTGCAGTGATGTAAAATAAAACCTTGGCAATTTAATGAAGAGGAGGTGGAAAGCCTTCTGTCCAGCATCTTCAATAGAAGGCTTGATCTCGCTTTAACTAAGTACATCTTATCAAGGCCTTCACGTAATAACAGAACACAGTTTTTATGGGATACAATCACTAGTTTTATTCTATATATTGACCTCAGGCTTACTAAATGTCATTGTGCTTGATAACGATAAGAGGATACTTTTCTAAACGTCGTGCTTTTAGAATAAAACTAGTGATTGTATCCCATAAAAACTGTGTTCTGTTAATGTGTTTCTGATCGCTAAATGCCACTAAAAGATTATCTTCACGTAATACCCTGCGTATTTCGGCACTAATTTCGATTGGGTACAAGCCCAGCTTGTGAGCCTATCAGATTCCTCGATCGTCACGAATACCAAGTCTCACGCTTTGAAGCTAAAATGTCTACCTGTGATAATCGAGTAGCAAAGTTCAAGGTTCATTCAATGCCAAGGTTTCCGTGGAGGTCGCGATGTCACAACCTTTGATTGGACGCTACTGCTCACGTGTCTGTAGATAACGTAGCTATAAGTTTGGGAATTGTGAAGTAAACAAGCAACGTCCAGATGTTGTAAAACTCGCAGTCGTTGCTTCAGAAACATGGCTGTCCGGGGTTTGAGTTTTTGCGCGTCTCTTTGAGTTTTTGTGCCCCTTCGACACATGGCAAAAAAACATGCGTTTTCAAATTTCAATGCAATTTTAACAGTATAATCAAAACGCTTAACCAGTGTCAAACATATACATTGGGTCAGATATGCTACAAATCGACTCTAGCATGTTCCACACAACCCAATATTACCTGGTGGCACTGGGAGCAACTCCCACATACACATATAGATAATGTTTTTTGGGGGGACCTGGACAGGATCTTGTATGCCCATCTTCATTAGCCCAGATAGTGCAGAACAACAAGTCTTTAAACCTCATTTCATTTCATCAAAGATATTTATCATTTATTTTGTTTTCTAGTTACTGGATGACCCAATCTTTATCCCGATCTCCCGGTTAGAACAAGATAATAATGGTAACCCATCAGAATTCTCCACCATTTTACGTGACATGAAAGCCGGGAAGACTGGCACTATTAGAATAGAGAAGGCTAAAGGTGGTAAACCAAGGGTAGGTAATATATTAATTTACACCTGGGAGGAGGGGCAGATCGGGTGATCGCCCGAAGGGCCGGTTGGACAAAAAATGAAAAAAATAATTTTGTCCAATTCGTCTAAAATACCTTTTTCTGCTGAACATTATATGGGGGGAGGGGGGTTATTGGACCGGCCCTGGAGTGATGATATCATGTTGTATGTAGCCGGTGGCTTTAACGCGCCGCCACGCCATCACTGGAGTCAGGAATGGGCTGGTGGTATAATAGACTTTCTAGGCCAGGTGTGCTGGGTGTGGGCCGGAATTTGGAATCCTGCAATGGGGATTCCGAATTCCATCACAGGAGGAATCAACTAGTGCTCCCGGCAACAAAAATGGGACATTTTTCAATAAAAAAAATATTCCTACTTATTCAATATTCCTAACTGGTTTATCAAATGGTTAAAATTTTTCTCAACTAGTCCCAAATTCTCTTGACTCTTGACGATACAATGATAATACGTTAATTAATAATATGACGATATGATAATTTCACAGGTTGATGGTTGTAAATTACGTGCAGGTCGGGGTTTTGGCCTAAATTAATCGATTTATGAGATATATTAGTTGACAGAGGTTATAATCAGATATGCCACCAAATCGCATATTTGGGGTACATTTTTAACAATTTTCCAGGGGGAGAGCCCCCCAGACCCCCCAATCAGGCTCTGCGGTCAGTAATAGAGGCCACTCCGACTAAGGAGACCGGGTCGGTTCCCGTCCCCAATCCGCCCCTGTCTGGGGGCCACAGTGGCTCAGTGTGTAAGGTGCTTGATCACTAACCTTGCTTCGAAGCTTCCTTGGGATTTTCCAGCATGGTTTCCCCATGTCATTGGTGCAGGATGGAGGGCCTGACATGGGCAGTGTCTAGTTGTTCAGATGGGACGAAAAACCATGCTCCCCCGTCCATGTGATACATTGATTTACACTGACATAATGGAAGTAAAATATTGATATAGACTAGGCATGCCCACTCGACACAAACCAGGTCATTTTGGGACTAACATATGGTCAATTTTATTTCAGTTATTAACTTGAACATAGGGGTCTTTAGCAGTGGGAGGAAACCGTAGGACCAGGAGAAATAAACCCACTAAGTTGGACAGGTGACGCTACTCCTTGTCATGTACAAGTGGGAATTTGAAACCACGCTACTTCAGTTGACTCGCTAACCGCGAGATCCCATGTTCACTCCCGGTGTTGGTGTATAAAGTTCCTTCAGATTTTCCCGCATGATTGTTGGTGTAGGACGAAGGGCCTGGCAAAGACAGTGTCTAGTCGTTTGAATGGGACAAAAAAAAAAAACAGGGTCCACGTAATACATTGATTTAGACTGACATAACACAGATTATTACACAATATTTCAAGGGACAAGAATATTTGGGGAATTTGGTTAATAGTTTAGACTTGAAGATTATCTTATCTGTTCTATAGGGCAATTTTTTTCTCCATAAAAATGATGAAGTATACTTTTTATTAGAAAATCGATAACTGCGATTTTTTTGTCAATTTTAGGTTCACGGTAAGTGGAGGTCGCAGTTACGCATAAAATCCATGTTTTTCACTCAATTGTTGCAAAATAAACCCAAATATTGACAACATTGCGTTATTTATGTGCAGAAAATTTCCCGGCATTTGTTTTTTCATTAGGCTACACCATTTGTTAACTATAAAATTGTATTTTCAGAATTATTATTATGCAGCCCTAAATAATTCAGAATATTCGTTTGCCTTCAGTTTAGCCGATACTGACATGGTGAGTATATATTTTATTTATAGTATTATATATAATTAACCACCCAAGACCTCAACATAAAGTAGTTCCAACATAAAGTAGTTCCAACATAAAGTAGTTCCAACAACTACATTGTAAGAGAGAGAGAGAAATGGGGTTCAACGTTCATTCGAGACAAACCATGTCACTTCGGGACTAACATATGGTTCAATTTTATTTCAACAATTCTTTTTTTATCATACCAATAAAAAAATTTGCCACAAAGCTTTGATTTCCAGTTTGTTACAGGTTTTTTTTGCGTTTGGTGGAGTCAGTTATCAATTAATTATGTAAGAGTAGTTATAAACTAATTAAGAGACAAAAGATTTAATTATTGGTCTTCAAATACGAATCTCTGTTTTTTTTAATGGTTTCTATATATAATTGATTTATTTGTGTTTATGCCTTGTGTTGGGTTGAATGGCCGAATGGTTAGCACGTGCGCGCTGTATCATAAACTCGTCATTGAGTCAACTAGCGTGGTTTCGATTCCCCGGTTGTATGTGGCAAGGAGTAGGGTCGTCTGTCCAATCTCGTGGGTTTTCTCCGGGTCCTCCGGTTTCCTCCCACTGCTAAAGATCCCTACGCGCAAGCGAATTATGGAAATTAAAGTGAACCATATGTTAGTCCCGAAACGACCTAGTTTGTGTCGAGTGAACGTTAAACCCCATTTCTCTCTCTCTCTCTCTCTCTCTCTCTCTCTCTCTCTCTCTCTCTCTCTCTCTCTCTCTCTGCGGCAGAGAAAAATGTCAAAAATCGTAAAATTTTAAGTGCATTTGGAAAAACGGATGAATGGAAATTTTAAAATCCTTTATTGATCATTCACAACTGTTTGTAGTGTACTAAAAAAGCTTTCAAAAAATAGCCTCTGCAAGCAGAGAAGAATTTTTTAAATTGTAATATCATAACTTTATATTGAAAGTAAAAATATAATAAAAATTTTGGCGTAACAAATATATGGTTAATAAATGAAAATTTGGCGGAAAAAATTGCATCCCAGAGTGAGCATTGAGTAGGAGGACACTGATCCTGTTATGGAAATTTTATCATATGATTATTACCTTATTTGTCTAATGACCATATGATTATTACCTTATTTGTCTGACAGATTAATTCCCAAAATAAATAGAGGATATTTGTCGTTTTAGAGTGAATAACATACTTTATTTCATCGAGAAGCAAGAAAACTTATATTTTCACGAATGCGTAGCATGAGTGAAAATATAAACGTTTTCTTGCTTAGAGATGAAATAAAATATGTTATTCACGACAAAATGACAAATGTTCTATTTATTTTATGATTTTACAATTATTTTAGGTAAAAACACCATGGACTACTTTAGCCAGTGGAATAACACTTTTATTTCACTGATAAAACGCGGTATTCCACTACTGATCATAAAATAAAAATGTTTAATCTGATTGAATTTTTTCAAAGTTTATAATTTCTGTTGTCAGGAATTTCGTAGATCACAGGAACCGTTAGATCGATCAAAATATGATGAGAGTTATTACAACCTGTTGAAGGAGTACAAGGGGAGACTACTCAAGGAGAGATTTCCTGGGTTATGGAAGAAGATTGACATCAGAGAAAATGAAAGACGTTATCCAGGTCTGAGAATAACCTACAAACATTCAACAATTTTCTTGGCTCCGAAGGCCCACTGTGATCCCACTAAATATATGTATAACGATAACCTAGCGATGAAAACTTACGAAGCCCATATATGGATTAACGGGAACCAAACAGATCTGGGTTGTGAATCAGGAAAACAGAAGTTTAACAAGGGAGTCAGGTAAATATTGTAGGGTGAATTCAGGGGCTCGAGAGATTAGTGTGGAATGGGGAGTTCAAGACTTTGGTGGGCAGAGTGGTGGGTTGGGAGACCAGGGGTTCAAGAGATTAGTGTAGGATGAGGAGTTCAAGACTTGGTGGGTTGGGAGACCAGGGGTTCAAGAGATTAGTGTGGGATGAGGAGTTCAAAAGATTGATGGGGTGAGTGAGATGGAGTTGTCCTGGTTATATGACTGTTGTCATGATGATATAAAGACTGTTGTCATGATGATTTAAAGACTGTTGTCATGATTATAAATACTGTTGTCATGGTTATAAGACTTTTGTCATGGATATTTTGCAGGGCTGATGTGTTAATTACACAACCAATAGAAGAAATCTGGAGAACAAGAGATTTTGAGTCGATCAATCAAATAAAATGGACGAATGTTGGTTTACGTAGCGGAGTTTTTAGAACATATCCTGGTCATAGATCGTCACGTGGATACGATCCTACCAAGTAAGATATTTCATTCCCTCCCAGGAGGTCCTGGGCTCGGTCCCAGTGTTGGCTAAGAAACAGTTTGGTTTCCCTTTGTCATTGGTTCAGTCTCTTGTCCATCGGATAGGATGAGAAATCAAGGCCCCGTGTACACTTTGAAGGGTTAGCGGAAATGTGTGGATAAAATTTCACTGATAGTACACTGGATGACGTATGTTAGTCTAGTTTGTGCAAGAAAGTAGGCGATTAAGTTAGACCCCATTTCATTCACTTGTATAAGCTTATTCACAAAAACTTAATTAAACATGTAGGTCTTTCTTTAGGCCTTAAATGTCATATAAATTATTAATTAGACATTTATTAACATGACAAGACCATAATTGCAACTCTCTGGGGCATTGAATGGCTGCGATATACCTAGATTTAACTAGACATTTATTAAAGATACATTCCTGTGTACAAACTGGGTGATTTGATGATATATTTGGCCTAAAAACATATTCAAACTAATTAATTTATCATAAATTTGCTTCAAATCCTTCTCAAAACAATATGATCGTCAAGGAATACCCTTGCTATAAAAAATCAATCAAAAGAGGTCATGTTTGTGTCACGTGACTTATGGGTGCAAAGTCGGAGGAAAATTCATTGCATACACAAGACGATGTTGTCTTTAATCTCTGACTACATGTTTTTATTACAAATAACGAATCCTAATTAAATTCTCGGATTATCCACTGCTCTCGTCTTTTTTCGTTATTTTTATCTCAGAAAGTGTTGTACGTCTAACTCTTCATAAAATTTACCAACATGTATATCAAGCGCTCAGTCTATGCGTGCAACCTTTGACGCGTGCTGATATTCCTAATCGTTGGGCTGTCTATTAGGGGAACCCTGACATTTTTGTCCTGTATACGTTCCATGGGTGTTTTTAGGGAATTCAGTATTTTTATTGGAAATAACCACCCGATAAATACTTTTCTGGGAACCTATCTTTAATGAAATAAAATGGGGTTTAACGTCCTACTGTTCTGCTCCGAACTGGGCTAATAAAGACGCCATACAGTGTGCTAAGGGGGAAATTTTGCCCAGGGAGCGGCGCTACGGCCTACTCTTATATCGAATTCCAACTGCCTAGGATCTTTTACGTGCACACCAATGAGTACACAGGACCTCGGTTTTTCGTCCCATCTGAATGACTAGACAGCTGTCCTTGTCAGGCTCTCCGTCCTGCATCACTGACAAGGGGAAACCACGCCGGAAAATCTGGATGATCTTCCTCAGCCAACCTCCAGGCTAGCGAGCCAGAGTCTTACCCACTTAGCCACCATGGCCCCCCTCAATTATATTAATATGACAAGGCCATAATCAACTCTCAATGCCGTCGTTAGCCTGCGATATTTAATGGATTCGAATATGTTTTGTGATGGATAATTTAATGTAAAAATGGATAATCAAGACTTTGTTTATTATCGTAATAACGATCGATGCAAGCTTAAAATTGAATCGCTAATATCTTGGTTCAGAGTGTTGCAATTTGACTGAAATTTTCAGCATATTCTGTTTTCATTATCTATTTTTTAACTATTATTGCGAGAACTTTCAGCTCTTTAAGTTTTTTGTGAATGAAGTCTCTTTTCCATAAGATAAGTAATAAAATAATAATATATATTTCGTTTCGTTTTTTATACTTTCAATGGCCTACACTACATGAAGATCTGACAAGTTGTACTGAAAGGTCGCATCAGAGGTCATACTGATGACTTTTGACCCTATGATGTCAGACATAGATTAATCAATCAGAGTTGATTTTTCTAGTGGTTTACCCACAGTTCCGTGCATGGCACGCAAAGAACTCGCCGTAACAAACTGTTTCATTGGCTAATCCCTCACTTCAACCAAAACGCCGGTAATAGACAAGTATAACGAAATTTTGAACTATAAATTGATCATCATTGTTTATCTTTAGACGTCCATGGTACAAACGAACCAGCTCAGCTCCGCATAAAACATCTATATCAACACCTTATATGGACGCTGCTGGTGTGGGAAAGATTAACACGATATCCCAGGCCGTGTTTGAGGGCATGACACCTAAAACTGATCGAGAATGTGAGGTATTTAAAGGAAGACCACTACCAGGCGGCTGTAAATGTGACCTTGACAGTGATTGCATGACAAGTAAGATGCAATTTCTTTATTTTTGTTTCACAAAAAATTACGTATTTCTGAAGATTTCTTCAAATATTTTTAACCGTTTAAACGGCAAATAGCCCCGCCAATACTGAGCTAAACATCCAGTGCAAAAATAAGGAGTGAAAGCTGATAATTTACTATTTATACAGCAAAGACATATATCGGGGGAAAGATTCACCTGGCTACATTTCAGGGGGGTTGGATGGCCGATTGGTTGGGTTTCATTCCCAGGTTGTACGGGACAAGGAGTAGGGTCGCCTGTCCAAACTTGTGGGTTTTCTCTGGGTCATCCGGTTTCCTCCCACTGCTAAAGGGTGTAATAAAGTATATAATAGGGTGTAATAAAGTCTATAATAGGGTGTAATAAAGTATATTATAATAGGGTGTAATAAAGTCTATAATAGGGTGTAATAAAGTATATAATAGGGTGTAATTAAGTATATAATAGAGTGTAATAAAGTATAAAATAGGGTGTAATAAAGTATGTAATAGGGTGTAATAAAGTATTAATAGAATGTAATAAAGTATATAATAGGGTGTTATAAAGTATATAATAGAGTGTAATAAAGTATATAATAGGGTGTAATAAAGTCTATAATAGGGTGTAATAAAGTATATTATAATAGAGTGTAATAAAGTATATTATAATAGGGTGTAATAAAGTCTATAATAGGGTGTAATAAAGTATATTATAATAGAGTGTAATAAAGTATATTATAATAGAGTGTAATAGAGTATATAATAGGGCGTAATAAAGTATATAATAGAGTGTAATAAAGTATATAATAGGGCGTAATAAAGTATATAATAGAGTGTAATAAAGTCTATAATAGGGCGTAATAAAGTATATAATAGAGTGTAATAAAATATATAATAGGGTGTAATAAAGTATATAATAGAGTGTAATAAAGTCTATAATAGGGCGTAATAAAGTATATAATAGAGTGTAATAAAGTCTATAATAGGGCGTAATAAAGTATATAATAGAGTGTAATAAAGTATATAATAGGGTGTAATAAAGTATATAATAGAGTGTAATAAAGTATATAATAGGGTGAAATAAAGTATATAATAGGGTGTAATAAAGTATATAATAGGGTGTTATAAAATATATAATGGGGTGTAATAAAGTATATAATAGAGTGTAATAAAGTCTATAATAGAGTGTAATAGAGTATATAATAGAGTGTAATAGAGTATATAATAGGGCGTAATAAAGTATATATAATAAAGTGTAATAAAGTCTATAATAGAGTGTAATAAAGTCTATTATAGGGTGTAATAAAGTATATAATAGGGTGGACTAAAGTATAAAATAGAGTGTAATAAAGTATATAATAGAGTGTAATAGAGTATATAATAGAGTGTAATAGAGTATATAATAGGGCGTAATAAAGTATATAATAGAGTGTAATAAAGTATATAATAGAGTGTAATAAAGTATATAATAGGGTGAAATAAAGTATATAATAGGGTGTAATAAAGTATATAATAGGGTGTTATAAAATATATAATGGGGTGTAATAAAGTCTATAATAGAGTGTAATAAAGTCTATAATAGAGTGTAATAAAGTCTATAATAGAGTGTAATAAAGTATATAATAGAGTGTATTAAAGTATATAATATATTTCAGAGGTATGTTATTTGAGTAAAGCTCCAGGTCCAAACGCAGATCATCGACGGTGTTCTACGGAACGTGTTGAAGCTGTAACAGGATTGGATATTCTCTATGATGATTTCCAGAATAAAACAATGGGTTCGATGCAGGCCAGTGATTTCCGTAAATCATGTCAACAAGTTTATACGTGTCGAGATGGCGAACCTGGTTGTGAAACAAGGTATAAAATACTCAAATTGGTATAATACTCAAGATATTTATTTAAAAACAATATGTCATTTATTAGCATTATCTCAATTCTTCACAAATATGAAGTTAAGTCTGATTTAACGCGAAGAGGGGGGGGGTATAACCAAATGGTTAGCATGTTCGCGATGTATCATGCGGTCTGTCATTGAGTCAACTGGCAGGGTTTTGATTCTCCGGTTGTGCGTGACAAGGAATAGGGTTGCATGTCCAACCTCGTGGGTTTTCTCCGGGTTCTCCGGTTTCCTCCCAGTGCTAAAGACCTCTACGTGCTAGTGAATTATTGAAATAAAATTGAGCCATGTGTTAGTCCCAATATGACATAGTTTGTGTCGAGTGCACGTTAAACCCCATTACTCTCTCTATCTCTTTGTTTTACCGCAGAATCTGCAGGTAGCCACGGTGGCTAGAAGACGCTGGCTCCAGAGGTGGGAACAATGCACAGGACATTGAGTCCGAATCAAGTCCCAAGTCTCTGACTTTACTTCTGAGTCATGTCCCAAGTCTTAACAAAATCTGAGTCCTGTTCTTCAAGTCGCCAGTTCATCAAATGAGCTAAGCTAAGTGACAGTTATGCCACCTCGGCGCGACTTTAGTCCTAAGCTCAACAGAGTTCCTGTATACACATTGGCACACACGTAAAAGAACCTTGACAGATGGAATTTGTAAATAAAGGTAGGCTGTAGCTCTGCTGTCCAGGCCAAATTTCCCTCATAGCACACTGTATGGTGTATGCCAGTCTTTATTGGCCCAGTCAGAGCAGAACAGTAGGACGTTAAACCCCATTTCATTTCATTTCATTTTCATATACTCACAAATCTAATAATTATTATTTACAGGTGTTATTTGTTTGATAGTAGCGCAAAACTTGTCATGGATCCTGATTTTCTATTGGCTAATAATTTAGATAAGAGTAAATATGATGGTGTGACTTTGGGTCGTAAAGAAGGAGAGGTGATGAAACACCTGATTTACGAACATGGCTTTATCAAGCGAAATTTAGACATGGATTTTCAGGGATCTTGTCGAATATCTCCGTTAGCCCCAAAGGTAAGCATACTTTGACGAGAGTGACGAACAGCAAAATGTGTCGGAATTAACTGGTCATTGTTTACAATAAGAACAAAAAATGTCGAAAATATGCAAAAAAATATTTAAAAAAAAAAAAATGAATTTGCTTTATTTGTCAAATTCGAACTATTACCTTTTGTAAAATTTTATTTTTAACCTATTTTTAAAAAATTATTCATAAAGTAAAACAGGGAGTGACGGTGGCTAAGTGGGTAAGACTCTGGCTCGCTAGCCTGGAGGTTGGCTGAGAAAGATCATCCAGATTTTCTGGCATGGTTCCCCCTTGTCATTGATGCAGGACGGAGGGCCTGATAAGGACAGCTGTCTAGTCGTTCGGATGGGACGAAAAACTGAGGTCCCGTGTACACATTGGCATGCACATAAAAGATCCCTTGACAGTTGGAATTCGATGTAAGAGTAGGACGTAGTGCCGCTGTCTGGGCAAAATTTCCCTCATAGCACACTGTATGACGTATGCCCGTCTTCATTAGCCCAGTTCAGAGAAGAACAATTTGGACTTCCAACTCATTTTGGTCTCATATGTTAGTTGTTGTGTTTCTGGTGTCCAGATCTTGGTCACATACACATATAACAAAAGTGTTCAATTGTGTGAACTTTGCAAATGAGAAATGGTATCAGGTGTTGTAGAGTAAGCATACCCTGTCTAGTGTACAGTACATGCCACTGTTTATAGTTTTGGGACTGGAAACATAACTTCTAGCCTTCCAGATATTAGATTTGAAACATGACTATTTGGGTTGAGAAGGGGATTGGTTGGCTCAGTGCTTAGGGTGTGTGCGTGGTATCATAAGGTCTGTCATTGAGTCAAGTGCCGTGGTTTCGATTCACCCGGTTGTACATGACAAGGAGTAGTGTCGACTGTCCAACCATGTGGGTTTTCTCCAAGTTTATTTAATTCTAAAAGCACCGCAAAATATTCAGTGTACAATTGAAGTTTATTAAAGGGAATGGAAGCTTATTCACTCTTAATTCCTAAAGCCTACAAACGACTTCTTGTGACCTGACCCCAACTAAAATTGTCCATGGAGCAGAATTTCGAAACCGCATCCCTGGAGTATTTATAAATAATAGTATATATTTTCAGGTAACATTAGAAGGAATACCTAAAACACCTGAAGAATCGGATGATTATTATAGAGATCGTGGTCCTATTCCGAAATTTCACAGTGATTTCGGTTGTATACAAGATGTTGTTAGTTTCTCAACAGTTGATGATAAATTAGGTAAGAGGGGAATAAAAATCCTTAAAATACAGATGGGACGTCATTCTTTGATGTTGGCGTTCCATTATTTCAAATAATGGTACGGGCAATGTGCCAGGCGTACATTATTTATACTAATTGAAATATTGAAACCGTGTGACATATTTCATTGAAATGCATGTGCGGGATAGTGTCTGTATTTTAGGTTGTTTAATGGTTTCGTGCAAGACATTGCGTAATATATAGATATACAATGCAGCCCCAGTGCTAACGCACACATGCAATATCGATATATTACTTAATGTCTCGAACTCAACCATTAAACTACACTTGATCACGGGACAGAAATATTGATACGTCTCAGAAACTTAGGTTTCCAAGATAGAAATATTGATATATCTCACAAACTTAGGTTTCCAAGATAGAAATATTGATACATCTCATCAACTTAGGTTTCCAAGAAAGAAATATTGTGGTCTCTAATGTTCTTTAGATCAAAAGGTCTGTCATGTCGAGTGGTTTGGATTCCATGCTTGTATGTAACAAGTAGTAGGGTCGCCTGCCCAACTTCGTTGTTCTTCCAGTTCCTGCAACAGCTAATGGTTCCTATGTACAGGTAGTTACTGAAGAAAAAACTGAACCATGTTAGTGCTCTTGCTCCCATGTATAAGTTTCTGTGTTACTACTCTTCAAGTATTAAATGCCAGTCAAAGAAATGAAATGAAATGCCGTTGAACATCCTATATTTTTGCACCGATTTGGTTAAAATGATGGGTATATGCCATACAGTGTGCTATGATTACGAGGGAAATTTTGCCCGGGGAGCAGTTTTTCATCCTATCCGATCCAAATGCCTAGACAGTATCTATGTTGCCCCACCCCCTCTGTTCTTCACCACCGACAAAGGGAGAGAGCACTGGAAGATCTCAAGGAACATTCTTGGTTAATAGCGGAAGTGAATGGGAGATCTCCTGGTGAGCGAGTGAGCGAGCGAGCGGCTTTCTTACTAAGCCACACTGGATGCTCGGCCACTAAAATAAGATGAATAAAAAAAACTTTACTAATTAGTGAATAATTATTTCAGGGCACTGCGGTGGGTCAGTGCAGATAAGTAGGACGTTAAATCCCCATTTCATTTTATTTCATTTTAATTATTTTAGGTTCAAGTGGTATGATTACAGGGAATGTATCGGGTCCGTGTATGTCCGGCTTTTATTATGTGACGGCTCTCCCTAAAACAAACCTTTATTTACTGGTTATAGAAGACTGGAACCACTATCGGGAGACACTATTCTATAACTTTAACTGTAAAATAACACGAAGGTAGGTTCTATAACTTTAACTGTAAAATAACATGAAGGTAGGTTCTATAACTCTAACTGTAAAATAACATGAAGGTAGGTTCTACAACTTTAACTGTAAAACAACATGAAGGTAGGTTCTATAACTTTAACTGTAAAATAACACAAAGGTAGGTTCTATAACTTTAACTGTAAAATAACACAAAGGTAGGTTCTATAACTTTAACTGTAAAATAACACAAAGGTAGGTTCTATAACTTTAACTGTAAAATAACACGAAGGTAGGTTCTATAACTTTAATTGTAAAATAACACAAAGGTAGGTTCTACATATTTTATGTAATTTTCCAAATACTAATTATTAGTTTTTCTCACTAATGATGTGGTATTTGTTAGAACTTAGTTAGTATTGGGGCGCGGGGGGTCGAATGGTGAGTGCGTGCGCGTCATAAGGGATTCTCTGATTGTACGTGACAAGGAGTAGGGTCGCCTGTCCAATCTCGTGGGTTTTCTCCAGGTCCTCCGGTTTCCTCCAACTGCTAAAGACCCCTATGTGCAAGCGAATTATTGAAATAAAATTCAACCATGTGCTAGTCCCGAAATGACCTAGTTTGTGACAAGTGGACTTTAAACCCCATCTCTGGTTTTTTTAAAGGTCACTGGTAAAGCTTCAAACTTTTTAAAAATAATTCAAGTAATTATGTCAACATATCCTTTCCATAAGTATAACACGAATCCAAATGTCAATATTACCTGCTACAGGTAAATTTCAACATTAGTAATTTCCACCGCTCTCCGCGAGTAGTCGTAACTTTCCCTCAATAAACAATCCGTGACATCATTTTAGTCCTTCTGCTCATATTCTATTCTATATTTCCGGTGACCTTTAAAAGATGCTGACTGTGGGTGCACAAATAGAGTAAGATGAACCACTTTTCCTCACTTGGTTGACAATGTGATATATATATATAACACCAATCATGAGGTGACATGGCTTCTATACACATACACTAATCTTTACAGGCCGGTTGATTTTATATTTACATGGTGCAGGTCTATTGAAGCCATGTTTCAGAAAAATATACTAGTATTATGGCGTGTACATTGACAAATTGTATAGTTACATAGTGGAGGTCGATCGTAGCCATGTTTGATTTTATATTTACACAGAGCAGGTCTATCGAAGCCATGTTTCAGAAAAATATACTAGTATTATGGCGTGTACATTTACAAATTCGTCTCAGTACATTTCGGTCAATTTTCAACTAAAGCGTTCATGACCGACATATACTTTTCAACATGGAACCCATGGTGATATTAGTCTCAAAGTCTCAAATGTGTTACAGTATTGTGTCTTTATATCAAGTTCAGATGACAAGACTAGTTTAGCATCTTATAATACTTTTATTCTTCTTCTAACATATTATGTACAAAACTTAAGGCTCCGTAATTAGCTTGTGTTGAGGGAGCCGTTGTTCGGTCTTAACTCCAGACCTGCGTGGCCTGGAGTTAATTTCTAGACGCCCTCGTCTAGCCTCTGACTCAATGTCCTTGCCCTTGCCCAGACCTCACTGTCGATTTGTTTATTATCTGGGTTTATAAACCCTTCCAAACAAAGGATCTTATTAGACATCTGGCTAATGTATCATGTATCATATCAGGTTTAACATTCGATACAATCAGACAAAGAAAGTTTAAATAAAACATGCCAACAACAAGTTAAGATTACATAATCACAGAAGGGATGCTACCAAGAACTCCAGGGGTCGGACAGGTTGATATGTTGATATTAAAATCATTTTCACGTGTCATGGTGACAGGAAGCGTCTATAACATCTGTGATTATGTAACAAATGATTAAAGGGATATTATGGAAGATTAGATAAGGAGCTCACTATAATAGTTACAAACAAGATAATGTAAAGGGAATATGCTGAAAATTATGATAAGAAAACATAGTCTTGATTATCCATTTTTGGATTTAATCATCAATGAGCGTTGAGCAGCAGATCAGTTTCAAATTCAGTGGAAATCCAACACATAAGATGGCATCGAGAGTTGATTAGGTCTTTTCATGTTAATAAATGTCTAATTAATAATTTAGACAACATTTCAGGCCTAAAGAAAGACCTGCAATAGGCAGATTTAGCTCTTGCATAATGTATGTTTAATAAACCAATGATTGTTTGTGTTTTTAGCGTGGTGAATTCTGGAGCTTATCGTATCATCAACGGAACATGTGCTCATGAAGATGATACAACATCAACTCTAGCTCAACGAGGAAAATGTCCGGTCTTAAAAAATATCACCATGCCATGTACATATACAGCAGCCAATCAGATCTCAGTTTCTCATTTTCTTTTAATCACAGCAATATTACTCGCTTTTGTAAAATTCTAAATTGGCACTAATTTATTCACTAATTTTATAATTTGTTTTGAGCACTTGTTATTTTTTTATCTAAATGTTAAAGAGAATTTAACAAAGAGGTTTTAAGTAGAATGAAATTTTTAGCAATGTGTGGACATATTATTGACAGTTATTTATTCTAGTTAAAACTGGAAAGGTCTGTCATTGAGTCTAGTGGAGTGGGTTCAATTTCCTTATTGTATGTGACAAGGAATAGGGTCGTGGGTTTTCTCTGGGTCCTTTGTTTTCCTGCCACTGCTAAAAATCCCTATGTGCAAGCGAATTATTGAAACCTCACCTTGTTTGTATCGAGTGGACCATAAACCCATCTTAAACCCCGTAATCTCTATCATAATATAGCTGACCTGATAACTTCCTAAAAGCAGACTTATATCTCGACCCCAAAATGACTTGGTGGATTTAAAATGTGAGAGAGTAATTTTAGTCAGTCGGACATCAAATTTTGTACTATTTTTCCAAAATGATCACCTGCAGCGATAAAATGGCTGAGCTGTGAGAATGAATAGCTTTTGTGATATTTAGCCAGTAATTATGTTATACTCGTACATATTTTGGTTCAGTGTTTAAAATAGTTGTATACAGATAGTGGATGATCTCTACTCGATAAATACTGTATTTCTATATTCCTGTGTTAAACAAAATAACTGGGCCATGAGGATGAATAGCTTTTGTTATATTTAATTTGTTATATTCATGTATAGTTTGTTCTCAGTGTTTAAAATAGTTGTATACTGGACTGGTAGTGTGTCAATCTGTGTTTTAATCAGTCAGTAGGATAAATACTCTACTTCTACTTTCCTGTGTTTAAAGAAAATTGTGTAATACACAGACTAGTTTTATTGTAATATAATATCAAAAACAACGATCAATGATATAGATATTGTGTATAAATAAACAAATAAATCTAGTTTTCAAATATTTTTGTTAAATTGGTAATTAATGGAAATATCAGAAAAAAAATCGGGACAGTCATTTTTACAAAAAACCAGGCCTAGAAATTTGCAAGATTTTTGCAGACATGAATGTTTAATTTTCTTTAAAAGCAGATTCTCATCTGGAGATTCTCGGTAGCTTCAAGCAGAGATCAGCAAATTATAGATTCTTGTAGAATCAACCTGTATTTATTTTGTTAAGATTTTTGTTTTTATTCCAAAGATTGAAATACTCTGATCCTTTTAAGAAGAGAAAGGCTGGTGATATATATTGTACAATACAATTTTACTTTTACCCATATGAACAATTGGGAATGTATACACAGAGAAAAAAGTTAAGCACCCCTCTGTATTTTTAACAATGACTTGTCTTAGAGGCTTGAAACTCTGATAATATAACCTTGGAGAGAAAAATGTTGTTTGAAATAATAGATCTTTGATAATAAGAAAATACAAAGAGTTTATCCAGTTCTAAGATTTCAAGCATGATTCTGAGAAGAATTCCAAGATCCCGTATTTGAGCCCAAAACAGGAGTCAGAATAAATATAGAGGTGCAGGGTCAGAAACGCCATTCAACATCGTGATTTACGATGAAAAATATCATTTTAAGTCCATAGATGACATTAACCATCAATGGGAGATAAACTTACTGGGGATGACTAAAAGATTTTCTTTGTGTAAATTTTTAAATTTAGATTATTAGAATATATTTGTTTTTTTATTATTTTTTATTTTCATGTTATTTTCATAGTCATAGATATATTGTTTTAGTCGTAGATATATTGTGATAGTCAAAGATGTATTGTTTTTATTTTCATGTTAATATTGTGATTGTCATAGATATATTGTTTTTAATTCCTTTTATCAACAATTTTTTTTGTTTATTGACATTCCTATGTGCAATAATTGGGTGTTTAAATCCAACATAACTGTCATATCTAAACGGACAGACATAATTATTGTACAATATTTTATAATAAAATAATAGTTTAAAATCCACAACAGTCTAATCTCTTTAAAACCTAAAATCATTAGCCCAAAAGCCTGATAATCATTAGCCCAAAAGCCTGATAACCATTAGCCCAAAAGCCTGATAATCATTAGCCCAAATGACTGATAATCATTTTCTTTATACGAATTGTAGTCTAAAATCAAAATTTCTTCGGTTCTGATTGTATCATGATGTGCTTATGCAGGAATTTTGAAAGCACAGCAGTGTTTCCGCCTGCTATAATTCTTCAAATTCTAAATCTCAAGGGTTCTTTAACGTGCATGTCTACATGTACACAGTTCCTCGGGTTTTACATCCCATCCGAATGACTAAAAGCTGTTCCTTGTCAGACATTAAGCACTAAGTGCATGCAAGATATCCATATTGGAATTTAGACTGTCAATTGCTCTGAATATTTTAATATGAATTAGTCTGACACAAATTTTACACGGGCAGAGTTAAAGATACATTATGGAAGATTAGATAAAGATCTGGCAATTCTCACTATAATAGATAAAAACTAGATGATGTAAATGGATTATGCTAAACTAAAGATCTAGTGTGAAAAATTATTTCAATAGGAAAGTTGAAATCCCAAGTAAATGTTTAGTTTAGTTTAAACGATATTTAATTCAATAAACAGAAATGTATTGAGCAACAGCCACAGGCAGTAGCGGATTATCAGTGAGGCTGCAGCCTCAGGCCCAAAGATTTTGTAAAAAAAAAATTTTTAGACTTGTCTGATACATTAAAAACGCATAGACAATGAATGTTAGGGGGTGGGGTTTAGGCCCAACGGGAATCAACATAGGCCCTGACCTGAAATTAATTAGGCCCACGCCATTTTAAATAGGCCCTATTTAAAAACTAAATAGGCCCTCCAGCAACTGCCACCTCAGGCCTTGGTGGAGCATAATCCGCCACTGGGCACAGGCCTATATAAGTTCTCCCCAATGATATAAAATAGCTAAATCTTATGTTTACAATAAACAACAGTGAGTAACTACTATATACATGTATACATTTCTTGGGGTGTAACAAGTTTGCGCAGGTACACTGTTGTTGGGCGTGTCTCTAAGTCATTTAAATCTTTGGCTTCAAAAACACACTGTATTGTGTGTTACATGAGTGGCCTATCTTCCCACAACTGTTGATGTTGGAGTTCTGTCAGAGTATCAACTTATTCAGTCATTTGTAAAAAATTTCAACATGGCTGAACAGACAGACAAAGACGTTTAAAGGAGCTAAGTCTCTAACTCAATATCATCCAAAATCTTCAACATTTAAAACACGAATTATTTGTCAATTTAAAACAACATTGATGCTGTGATCTTACCGGAAAAGGGTGGGCTTCTGATATCCAATATTTAAGACAAAATAAATATTTTACCATTGGTACACGAATCGTGTACCATAATGCGTTTCAGCCCCAGTTCTAGCAAGAGACTAGAGGAACGAGGCTAGACATATTGCACCAAACCAAACGGCTTATGTAGACTGGAATAACCAGACGCTAGGAATTTGCACTCGATTGAGACTGCTGGCTTATTTCACGGAACATAATTGATTTGAAATTAGAGTAAGAACGGAAACGATTGAATGTAAATCAGTTTATATACATTCATATTACGGTATTATATGAGTTGCGACCCACTTGTGTCAATTTCTAGGTCCCAAATATTAGCGATTTAGCTCCTTTAAATGACTTTCATTAACCTAAATTAATCGACTGTCAACATTCTTTCTGAATGATCTGTCTAGACGATTACGTTAAGAAAACCTCCACTAATGACTAGTTCATATGTCCACTGTGCCGTCAAGAATCTACGATTCCAGAAGGTGGAATGAAGGAATTGGAATGCAGACAAACCATTGAGAACATTCCAAAATTATTCAGCAGTGTGATATTTGTACAAATAACTTATCAATGTTTAACCCTTGTGCAAACACGTCGCACGAAAAACTTGTCGGCTAAAGGGGTGGTCTTTGGATGCATAATTTGATTCAAATACGATCAAACTAGAGCTGTATATAAAGAATGGATAATAATCAATGTAAAAAAAAGTATTTTGAAACCACCAAAATCTGCAAATAACTTAATTGTCATTTCCATGTTGAATCGTCTTTTGACGGGGTTGGTAGAGTGTAATAATATTGCTAGAATTTTTGCTCTTGAAATAAGATGCCTTTATATTTCATTAATTAATATCAATGGCAAGTTAGTAATTTCAAACATATTCACATATATAGTGTGCACTAAATCAACTTAGTCTGTAATTGACAGTTGACACATAAAAAAGAGTTATTTATCGAAAACATATGTCACTCATTTACCACCAGAATTACACGTGAATGGAATTATTCTAATTGCATCATTTAGCTTAAAGTAACCAATCATTTTGTTAATTACACAAGTTCAGGGCCATGATCACGCTTTATGGTGCATGATATTCATTTACCTTTAAAAGAAACCGGGGAACCGCAATAAGTCAGACTTGCATTAGATTCCAGAGATCGAGGGTACATCTGAGTTCCTAGACAGCCGCGAGGCTGGCTAGGGTAGAGAAATGGTTTTAACTAGTATTGTTATCTATTATGCTTGTATACCTGTATTCAGCTATATATATATATAAAATGTAGAAGCAAACTGTCGCATTGTTATTCCTGGTAAGACAACGTCTTAAGAAACTGTAAGAAGTAAATACACAACGTGAAGCAGAAGTAAAGACAGCTAGAGACAAATTCTAGACGATCACAAGGCTACAGAAATGTGTAGTAAGAAAAGATGCATGGGTTCCACGTAGGATGTGGCGACCGGTTTCCCATAGACGCTCTCCACGTCAGACAGGAAGGCTCATGGTGCTACAAGAGTTCCTAGGTTTGTTTTCAGATCACCAGTAAGCAAGATTCCAAATACAAAGCCTGCATCGAGCGCACAACAGATTAGGCACTTGTAGTCGGCGAACTGTTTAAAGGGCAGGTGGGGGGGGGGCGGACACGAGACACCGCGCGTTTCCAATAATGTAATACTTTTAGTTTCTTGTCAAATAGTGAATGTGTCACTGCTTCTCTTCCGTTCTATTTGCAGCATTATACCCGACGGTAAGTAGCTTTTTATATGGAACCTTCTCGCTAAACATTTATCAACTAGTTCCCCATAAATGTTAAGGATATTGTCGTGGGGTCCCGAATATCCACAGGGTTAATTGTAAAGGTTGTGAACAGTGTTTTTGTGACAGACATAAGAGTAGTCCGTAGCAGCAATGTCCGGACAAAATTTCCCTCATTGCATGCGCGTTTTCATTAGCCCAGTAGGCCGTAGCGCCAATGTCCTTGCAAAATTTCCCTCATGGCATGCAAGTTTTCATTAGCCCAGTTGGAGCAGATCAACAGGAGGTTAAACCCCATTTCATTTCATTTCAAACATTCATGTATGGCGTATGCCCGTTTTCATTAGCCCAGTTGGAGGAGATCAACAAGCCGTTAAACCCCATTTCATTTCATTTCCATAAAAATCACATGACGTCAGTGGGATGATTGGATTATGACGTGATAGGTGCAAACCCTTATTTATAGCCTTTGGTTCGGTATGCAAGAAATTTTAATTTTGGGCTATAATAATCTATAACTGACTGGTTGGCCTGATCATTTGGGATTTTGTACGGCGGAGACATAGAGGCGCAAAAATACACCTCGATTCCGGCGCCGCAAAAATCACCCTTACCTTGGAGATGCATTTGGCATGCAAGTACCCTTGATCTTTTCGGGTCAAAACATTGAAATTGGAACTTGAATTGAAACGAAAGATTTCCAAAATGGGAATGATTGTTTCATTAAAAATATACCAATTAGAAATTACAATGATATGATACGAAAATAAAAACGATAATTCTGAAAACAATATTGTGCTATATTCTGATATACCGATTATGCCGCCATAATGCTCGTATTGAAAAAACCTTTCAAATTCTGGCGCAAAAGTCACTGTGGCAGAGTTAAATTGATACCCACTTATTATCACCATGCCCCTGCACAGCGTGCATATTTTAAAGGATTACTTGTCGCCGACAATCAATAGGATACCACCCATGCTCGATTTTCACAACAGGTAAACATCCAAAGAATACAATGAGGTGAAGGCCATTCACATAGTGCAACTAGTGCTTATGCTATATATAGACCCAATTCTTATACAGGTCTATTCAGATCCTGGTCAGATTAAAGTCGTAAAACTATATATTATTATGTCTTTCTGAATCAAACACACGGAGCTAAAATGAATCAAACAGATGCTGATAAAGGTAAGATTATTATTAATTTGAAGTAAAAGACAGATCGAGTTTAAACGGCCTACGAGGAGCCACAGTGGCTAAGCGAATAAGACGCTAGTTCGCTAGCCTGGTGGTCGCGGCAATAGGCGTAGGGGCTCGATGACAGTTTTGGGGGCAGAACCCGAAATGCCCGAAAAATTTCGGGTTTACAGACAGCAGCGACCTTGTAACCCCCCCCCCCCCCAAAGACAATTTTGGAATATTTGACGGCTGCAAACACGTTTTCCTGCTATTGCAGCCTTTGAACAAAGCAACTTCAAAGTGGTCTAATATAGCCTAATTAAGGTGTCTGACTCGGAATTCCAATCAATCGTTTACAGTCCTCGAAGACGGGACCGTTAGGAGAAAATTTTGAAAATTTAACTGTCGCAAACGCGTTTTCCTGCTATTTCAACCGGTGAACAAAGCAACTTCAAAGTGGTCGAATATATATTATAGCCTTATTAAGGTGGCTGACTCGAATTCCAATCAATCGTTTACAGTCAACGAAGACGGGACCGTTGGGAGAAAATTTTGAAAATGTAACTGCCGCAAACGCGTTTTCCTGTTATTCCAGTCTGTGAATACAGTAACTGCAATTTGGTCCAATATAGCCTACCTGGCTGACCCGAATTCCAAACAACCAATCAATCGTTGCGCGGTATATGGAAGCCTCACCCTCCCGGAGAAAAATTTGAAAATTTAATCACCGTAAGTGCGTTTTCTACTATTCTAGCCCGTGTAAGCAACTCCAAAAGTATCCAATGGTTTTGTAACTGAAATCCCACTCTGAATTCTAACCATCCAATCAGACTGTTGCATCTGCATTCACAAATAATAATCGATGCCTGAAAAATGTCGCACAAAGTAGAGTGGCTTTAGACAAAATGTTTTAATCCATAGTCAACCCAGTACAAATTCGTGATATTCAATTACAAGAAAAGTAAAATTAGTGTTTTATTAGGGCTCGATGACAGTTAGGGAAGCAAAACTAGAAATGTCCGAAAAATTTCGGATTTATAGACAGCGGCGCCGGTTTTCTTTGAGAGGCGAATGACCCGCCAAGAAAATTTTGGAATATTTGACGGTGGCAAACGCGTTTTACTGCTAGTTTCCTCTGCCGCTTTCCGGCCCGATGGCCGTTTTTCGGGCAATACCTATTTTCGGGCAATACCATTTTTTCGGGCATACCTATCATAAGAGAGCTTCGGGTATATTTTCGGGCATATGCAGTGGACAAGAAAAAGACGAGAAAATACTTTTCGGGCAGTGTGGATCTCATAGAAATAAGTTAGTTATATTTTTTTCTCTAAACGTTAATAGAAAAAAAAGGTCATCGAATTTTTCATTGCCCGAAAATAAATTTTGGGGGGGCTGCCCCCCGGCTCCTACGCCTATGGTCGCGGCCGCGGGTTCGCTCCCGGTGTTGGCCGAGAAAGTTCAATGTGATTTTCAGGCGTGGTTTCCCCTTGTCAGTGGTGCATGACAGAGGACATGACAGGGACAGCTGTCTAGTCGTTCCCTTGGTAGTTGGAATTCGATATAAGAGTAGGCCGTAACGCCGCTGGCTTGGAAGAAATTCCTTGATAGCACACTGTATTGCGGATGTCCGTCTTCATTAACCCAGACGGAGCAGGACAGTTGGACGTTAAACCCCATTTCATTTAAACAACCCACACACCACGCCCGATATAATATCAACTCGATTTTCAAGTCTTTATTACTTGATAGGACTGAGACGTGGAGGCAAAGTAGTGAATGTTAAGGCAAGGTCTAGTTAGTCACCAATACACGCACTTGTCTTAGAATTCTCCTGTATTTATTTGTTTGTTTTTTGGTTTCTGAAATCCACGGCCAAACTATTGCCCCATTTAGCTATAAGTTAAGGTGGTTATCGTCCCCTTTCTAGAACACTCGATATCACCTCACATTTGAGAAGTTATAGAACATCGTATAAACATCGTTTATAAACAGATTTTACTGCATAATTTAATTTGTCATTTTGTTATCATAAACGTCCTGGGGTAGTAAATGGTTTGTGATATTGTCATATAAAAGGCGAGTCGCGGTTGTTACAGTATTGGTTCTTTGAATGGGGTATTTGATGACAATACTGGTTTAACTTCATATGATACTTTTATTGCTCTTCAAACATATCAAGTACAAAACGTCTTATAGTTAAAGATTCCGTAATTAGTTTGTGTTGAGAGAGCCATGATCCTAGCTTGGCTTGGAACCATCGGGTACCAATTCCCAACCAACTTACATGGTCGCTCTCCGTTTTAATTAACGATCTATCAATTAGATTATGCAACTGGGTATATTTCATCATGTCAGATTAAACGTTCAGTACAGATTGCTTTACAAGACAAATGACATTACATAACACGGACCAACTATAAGTTCATATTATGGCAATGACTAATGAATGTAATCTGGACAACCATGGGTGCCAATAGCCACCATAAGGATATTTTAATCAATTCCGCTTTCATTTTGTCAAGATGGCACGAGAGCGTATCCATAACATCTGCCATTTTATAACACGGTGACTCGCTTACCATCAGGCCCCGTTCATCGGGATTTTGCGTCGTGGTTTCCTTTTGTCAGTGGTGCAGGGCGTGGGGTGGGGAGTGCGGGCAAGAGACGGCGTAAAGTCGTTCGGGTTCGACGAAACGAAAATTCGAGGTTTCGTGGTCACATTGGTGTGCACGTAAACTAAACCTTAACAGCTGGAATTGTAAATAAAAGTGGGCCTTATCGTCGCTATCCGGGCAAAATGTCCCTGTATGGCGTATGTCCGTCTTCATTAGCCCAGTCGGTGCAGAAAACACCCATTTCATTTCATTTATTATAAAAGGGGTGGTATTCTATAGTCGTATACATTTTTCAGAGGCCTTGAGGCAGAAGCGTGTATTGTGTTACCAGAAGCTTGTTACAAAATGACATGTTATGCCCCCTGCCATCTTGACATGTGAAAGTAATTTGAATATCAAATCCACCTGCCGACCCCTATAGATCTTGGTAGCATTATGTAACTTATGTAACTTTAACTTGTTGATGGCATGTCTTATCTTACTTCTTTGTCTGATAAACTATACTGAACGTTAACTGATATGAAACATGATACATTATAGCCAGATGCCTAATGAGATTCCTTTGTGTGAGGAAAGGTTTATAAACCCAGATTAAGAAACAAATAGGCAGAGAGGTCCAAGCAGGACACTGGAGCTATGTAATGTAAGTTAGTTTGGAGTTGGCACACGTGCCTAGCCAAGCCAGGACATGGCTCCCCCAATACAAGCTAGTTATGGAGTCTTTAAGTTTTGTAGTACGAGTATTGTAAATATGTTTATAGCAGAATAAAAAGTATTGTATGAACCTGAAACTAATCTTGTCATCAGAACCTGATTAAAGAACCAATACTGTCACATATTAATTGGCGCCGCTGACCAGAGCAACGTTTGAAGTCCACCACTAGAAGACCACAGGCCACAGATATTAGTCTACACGGGTAAGTCTTTTTCTAATCCTACCATGGCCGGTCAATAATGACATTGTGCTATAATGTATTATAATTTAACTGGGAAATCAGCAGTTTATCATCACGCTTTATTAAATATCATGGTGTAGTTACTTAATTTAATATAACGTTCAAGCTAGTAGTGGAACAGTCCTTAACTATTTGTAGGAAAATGACTAAAACAAAATTGTATATATATTGTTTGTTTTACAATGGGTCATGTTGTTTTTAAAAGATTATAAATTATAATTGTTTGTTTTGAACACATATTTTGGCATTTAATATTAGTATTAATAGGTTAATATCGAGATGTAAAATGTTTTGTGATTGTTTTTTAACAGTATCGTAATTTGGAATTTAACCCAATAACATTCACAAAGTATTAACGCGTTTATCTCTAAGTTTTTGGTGGTTTTTTTGTTGTTGTTTTGTCTATATGTGTCTATTACCCCAAATATTAATGGGATGCCCCGATATTTACGGGAGAGAGTTTTTTTTGTGATACCCCTAATATTAATAATAGAATGACCCGATATGTACGGGAGAGATTTTTTATTTTTTTATTTTGTGATACCCCAAAAATATAGATTGGGAGGTCCCGATATGTTACGGGAAAAGGTTTATGTGAAACCCCAGTCAGGTGGGATTGGTTTAACCCCAGGAGAGGTTCGTGCTCAGAATTAAGAGCGAACGTATTGTCTTGTTTTGTGTTGTGTTTAAAATTTTTAGAGATAAACCGTAATTTATTTTGATAAGTTCTTTCAAAATATCTTATTGAAGATTGGTAAAATGTGTTCAGAAAAAAACAAAACAATATGACATCCTAATTTCAATTCTATCCATGTAAATAATAAAGTAAATATCGTTAGATAGCTAATTTAAGTCTGTTCCACTTGCTAATTTGATTAACTATTAATTAAGTTCACTCCATGATATGATAAACAGATGATAAAACTTGGGCACGGGTGACAATTATAATACTCTTCATAGCACATGTCATAACGCCCCGTTCCGGCCAGGTGGTATGGAAGAGATAAGACTAACGGAAAACACTGACCCCTTGATATTACGGAAAACTTATACAGTTGACCACAACGACGATGTACAGAAGAAGAACATGGATATAATTGCTCCATTACGCGTGTGACTATTATAATAATTTATATTATATATTCGCGTGTGTTACCATGAAAATAATTTATATAGATGTGATTTCGGTTATTCGCGTGTGTACAAATTAAAATAGTGTGTGTGATATATGCGATTCCAAGAACTCGTGTGTGTGAACATTAAAATTATCTGCGACATAATGTATGAACATTCTAGTATATTTTCAACCAGTGTTTTATTCTTTGCCATTTAAATTTTTATTTTTGTTTATTTAACTTTTAATCAGTATATTGTAATTTTTCGTATTTTTGTTTATATTTTAATTAGGGTAGTTATTCTCGACTCCATTTATATTTAAGTTTGTAACTGTCTTAAAATAAGTTATTTCATATAATTCATAACTTCATTGAAAAAAAAGGGAAGGTATGTTACAAAATGACATGTTATGCCCCCTGCCATCTTGACATGTGAAAGTAATTTGAATATCAAATCCACCTGCCGACCCCTATAGATCTTGGTAGCATTATGTAACTTATGTAACTTTAACTTGTTGATGGCATGTCTTATCTTACTTCTTTGTCTGATAAACTATACTGAACGTTAACTGATATGAAACATGATACATTATAGCCAGATGCCTAATGAGATTCCTTTGTGTGAGGAAAGGTTTATAAACCCAGATTAAGAAACAAATAGGCAGAGAGGTCCAAGCAGGACACTGGAGCTATGTAATGTAAGTTAGTTTGGAGTTGGCACACGTGCCTAGCCAAGCCAGGACATGGCTCCCTCAATACAAGCTAGTTATGGAGTCTTTAAGTTTTGTAGTACGAGTATTGTAAATATGTTTATAGCAGAATAAAAAGTATTGTATGAACCTGAAACTAATCTTGTCATCAGAACCTGATTAAAGAACCAATACTGTCACAAGCTGCGTTCAGTCGGTTTTCTACAGATATCTGTTATTATTGGTGCTATAGCTCTGTACTATACCAGTGCCAATCCCGCTTTACCTTATACTGCTGCCGTACCTGTCTGGATGGGTATACCGGTAAGTACGAGTTGGTTCTAGATGGGTATACTGGTAAGTACGAGTTGATTCTAGATGGATATACTGGTAGATACGAGTTGGGTCTAGATGGGCATACTGGTTGATCCGAGTTGATTCTAGATGGGCATACTGGTAAGTACGAGTTGATTCTAGATGGGTATACTGGTAAGTACGAGTTGATTCTAGATGGGTATACTGGTAAGTACGAGTTGATTCCAGATGGGTATACTGGTAAGTACGAGTTGATTCTTGATGGGCATACCGGTAAGTACGAGTTGATCCAAGATGGGTATACTGGTAAGTACGAGATTGTTCTAGATGGGTATACTGGTAAGTACGAGATGGTTCTAGATGGACAAGTACGAGTTGGTTCTAGATGGGTATACTTGTAAGTACGAGTTGGTTCTAGATGGGTATACTTGTAAGTACGAGTTGGTTCTAGATGGGCATACTGTAAGTACGAGTTGGTTCTAGATGAGCATACTGGTAAGTACGAGTTGATTCTAGATGGGTATACTGGTAAGTACGAGATGGTTCTAGATAGGTATACTGCTAAGTACGAGTTCATTCTATATGCGTATAGTGGTAAGTACGAGTTGGTTCTAGATGTGTAAGTACGAGTTGGTTGTAGATGGGTATACTGGTAGGTACGAGTTGATTCTAGATGAGTTTGTTCTGGATACAAATATTGGTAGTAAATGTCCGAGTTTCGACTGAATTGGTACAGCGTATGCTTGGAGTGATAATCTATAATAAAGCATATGTTTTATCTGTGGGCAGTTTGTTATTATGTATGTAGTTAAGGCCACGTCACGCGAAAACAACGCCTGTGGAAATCATGGAGGCTAAACGGACATCGTTTCTTATCTGTGTTTGCTGTTCCCAAAACGTGGACAAGTTGCTTTCATTTCAGACAAATATTAAACATGCATATTCTTTGCCACATTGGGCATGACGCAAGTTGATATGTTCAACAATTAATATCCACAACATTTGTGGCCTTAATATGTTATCCACAAATTTGTCCCACCCTTATTCAATTTATAATTATAGGTAATTGTCTGTGGTATAGTAGGATTTTTAGCTGGTAAATATGGCGTTACAGAGACAGAAGTTTCTGTTAAAACTAAACGTTTGGTAAGTATTGACCTTCAGTTCTTCAATCTTTCGCCTGCAATTAAGAAGCAGGGGCCCAGTTCGGCCGGGGCTCAAATTCGCCCGGGACCCACAATCGCCAGCGGCCCAAATTCGATGACCTAAAACATTCATAGGGTCATTCTGGTTTAATTTGATACAACGTATGTGGGGGGGGGGGGTGGAGCGTGACAACGAACCGTGATGAGGGGACACACACACACACCCACATCTGATCCCACTTGAGGATATCGCTTTAAGAGGAAGAGACCAATGAGGAAATCAGACATTGGAGGATCTCCTCTGAATGACAAGCTTATCAATCTACCGAAAGAAAGAGATGGGGAGAAAACTGAGAAAATGTGTAAGGCCTTGGGAAAATGGAATGACGTGATTTAAAATCCACTCAATGCTGATTGTGTTATAGGAAATTTACTACATGTCTGAGAAAAGACTTGGAGAAGCCTGGAAATGAGAATTAACATTCTACTTTTCTGCACGGTATCATGGCTAACGAAAACAGACATCCACTATGTGATACCTATGATGAAAATTCTGCCCTCACAGTGCTACGACCTACTCTTATTACAATTTTCAAATGTTGGGATTTTAAATGTGCTGCAAATAGTAGGCATGGTATTCGTCCAATTAGAATTAGTCACTTTTCCTTGCTAGGCCATCAAACAAGAGGAACACCACACACCACACCACCTTTGATTTTATTTATATAGATAAATGCAACATGATGCATACTCAGCTTCCGACAAGGGGAAACCCCACCAAAAAAGCCAGAGAATTTTTCTCGGCCAACATCGGGATGGAACCTGAGGCCTCGTGGTTAGCAACTTAGCGTCTTACTCACTGAGCGACAGCAGCTCCTGCAGGAAGAGAGAAGACAACTCGGGAGTAGACCAAGTGGGATGGCCCGCACAACCGGGTAAAACAATGATGCACATTCAAGATAAGAGAATCTAGCCCAGACGGTGGTTAGGTAGGTAAGACACTGGCACGCTAGTCTGGAGGTTTCGTGTTTAATCCCTGCATTGGCCGAGAAAGTTCATCGGGATTTTTTCGACGTAGTTTCCCCGTGTCAGTGATGTAGGACGGAGGGTCTGGCAAGGACAGCTGTCTAGTCGTTCTGATGGTACGAACAACCGAGGCCCGAGGTATACATTGGCGTACACGTAAAAGACCCCTTGGCAGTTGGAATTCGATATAAGCCTAGGCCATAGTGCCGCTGCCCGGGCACAATTTCCCTCATAGCATACTGTATATGTCCGTCTTCATTAGCCCAGTTGGGGCAGAATAGTAGGACGTAAAACCCATTTCATTTCATTTTCATTTCTAAAACATCTTTCATCTTGCCCCTTTAAATTTTCCCTCTTGTTTTTCAGGTGATAAGTTATTTCGTCATTTGTTTAATTATGATCTCGGTTTGTATCCTGGGCGCTCTAGTGGAAATTTTCGGCATTGTCTTTTGTACTCGGGCAGAAACCTCGGAACTCGTCAAACCCTGTTTACCTAATAGGACCGGGAATTTAACCATGGCAGTGTTGGGAATGATCATTATGTTCGTTATGTTTTCATTTTCTATCCTGGGTTCGTGTATCTGTTGTTTTGGTCGGTCTTTGGGTTTTAAGGACAGATATGATTATGCTATGGAACTGGGGTATGAAATGGCCCAACTACAACAGTGGCAACAGCAACAGCAAGTACAAGATGGCGGCTACACAAACTGGGGTAAAAGCTAAACAGGATGGTATATAATTCGTTAACAATTGAAAGGCGAGTCATTTAAATGAAGGGTTTTAAAGGGACAATAACACTCTTGCTGGCTTGACAGCTCCAGAAAATAAAAAATAGCCTTATTCTAAGTAAATTGTGTAAATTATCCATTAAATCCTATTTTACTTGTCCAGAGAGTTCAAAAATATTTTTAAATCCAAGTCACATTTGAAAAGCTTTACGTCAGGCTTTTCAAATCATTTAGTTGAATTTTTCTAATTTTTTAAATTAGGTGTGTTAAGATCAAATTTGTATCATCAATTAATTGGAATATTGTAAAATAGTACAATTTGTTGACCAGAATAAAGATTTGAACATATTATTCAGTTACAACAAGAGTGGTATTGAACCTTAAAAATGAAATGGGTTAGGGTAACATGGTATTGGGATACTCTGCATAATAAAACAAGCACAGGAAATGCCTAGTAGCTTTACTGAGATCCGGGCCGGCTTTGGCACATTTGAACAATTTCCCCAAATTGGACCCCACGCCAGAAGGGGTCTCCGCCGCTTACCAACAATAAAACTCTAATTAAAGATACATTATGGGAGATAAGATAACAAGATGTCAGTTCTCGCTATAATAGTTAAAAACTAGATAATGTAAAGGTAATTTGCTGAAAATTTCAGTCAAATTGATCCACTATGAGCCGAGAAGGAAGCGTGTGAAATTTTGGCATAGTCTCGGTCATCATTACTAAAATCATTATTATAAACAACTTAGTCTCGATTATCCACTTTTTATGATTTAATTATCAACGGCCGTTAGCGGCATATAGGAATCTAATCCAGCCAACATCGAAGGCTAGCCTTGGCATCGAGAGTTTATTATGGTCTGGATAAGTTAATTAATGTCTAATTGATAATTTAGATAACATTCCAGGCCTAAAGAAATACTTGTAATAAGCAGATTTTGCTCTTGCATAATGCATGTTTAACTGTATACATGTATTAATCAATTACTAATTGTAAACTAAAGCATAGTAGGCCTTAAATATGAATATAGGCCTAGTTAAAAGGCCATTATAGGAGATTAGATAAAGAGTTGACAGTTCTCGCTATAATGTGTAAAAAATAGATAATGTAAATAGAATATGCTGAAAGTTTCAATCCAATTGTTACACTCTGACTCGAGATATTAGCTCTTGAATTTTAGGCTAGTCATAAATAACGTCAATAGAATATGCTGAAAATTTCAGTCAAATTGTTCCACTCTGAATCGAGATATTAGCTTTTGGATTTTAGGCTAGCCTCGATCATCATTACTAAAGTCGGTACGATAAAGAACAAAGTCTAGATTATCTATTTTTACGTTTAATTATTTTTCAAAAAATGTATTCCAATCCGCTAAATATAGCAGACTAGAGATGGCATCGAGAGTAGCTTATGGTCTGGATATGTTAATTAAAATCTAATTAATAATTTAGATAACATTTCAGGCCCATAGAAAGACCCGTAATAAGCAGATTTAGCTCTTACGTAATGTATGTTTAAAGTAGCTAAGTCTATAACTCTTACGTAATGTATGTTTAAAGTAGCTAAGTCTCTAACGCTTACGTAATGAATGTTTAAAGTAGCTAAGTCTCTAACTCTTACGTAATGTATGTTTAAAGTAGCTAAGTCTCTAACACTTACGTAATGTATGTTTAAAGTAGCTAAGTCTCTAACTCTTACGTAATGTATGTTTAAAGTAGCTAAGTCTCTAACACTTACGTAATGTATGTTTAAAGTAGCTAAGTCTCTAACTCTTACGTAATGTATGTTTAAAGTAGCTAAGTCTCTAAATCTTACGTAATGTATGTTTAAAGTAGCTAAGTCTCTAAATCTTATAGATAAATTACAAAAAGTACAGAATACTGCTGCTAGACTTGTTACTTTAACTATGGAATGTGATCACATAACTCCTGTTTTATATAATTTACACTGGTTACCTGTTAAATATCGAATTGATTTTAAGATTTTATTACTTACAGTACTTTTAAATGTTTAAATAATTAAGCTCCTGTTTACCTCTCAGATCTTTTAGAACTTTATACACCTGGCCGAACATTACGTACATCAGATAAATTACTTTTAAAGCCCAAAACTGTTCAACTAGTCTCGTCTGGTCAGCGCTCTTTTAGTTAACAAGCCCCTGTTTTATGGAATAATCTACCATTTAGTTTAAGATGTTGTACATCTCTATATTTTTATAAAAAACACCTTAAAACACATTTATTTAATCAGGCTTTTAACTGACTCTGTATGCAATCGTTAACATGTCCATAATCTTGTTGTTTATGTATGATTTACATTGTCACTTTGTAAAGTGCCCCTGAACATGTTATATGAAAGGGCTCACTATAAATATGCTGTAATAATAATAATAATAATAATATCATCCAAATTTGAATCAACATTGATGTTGTGATCTTACCGGGAAAAGGTGGGCTTCTGATATCCAGTATTTAAGACAAAATAAAAATTTTACCATTGGTACACGAATCATATACCATAATGTGTATCAGCGCCATTTGTAACAAGCGACTCGAAGAACGAAGCTAGACGTATTCTACAGGTCATTTCAAACGGTAAAGCCATATTCGTATCTGGAGAGCATGCGCAATAAATAATATCTTTGTAGACTGGAATAACCAGATGCTAGAGATTGCAATTCGATTGAGACTTCTGGCGTATTTCGCAAACATAACTGATTTGAAATTAGAGTAAAAACGGAAACGATTGAATGTAAATCAGTTTATATATATATACATTCATATTACATTATTATATGCGTTGCGACAATTTGTCTCAATTTCTAAGTTCCAAATATTAGCGATTTAGCTCTTTTGAATTTATTAATATCCTGCAATGTATTCATATCCGGAAAATTCGGGTTTCTCAAATTAGCCCTGACTGAAATATAGTTACGAGGTAATGGTAAATCATCAACAAAATTAATAACCTCTTCCTTTCGTTTGCTTGATAAATTCTAGAGAATCTCAAAACCGAACTTTTTAATCAAATATACAACTGATTGAATACGGTTCTAGCTGTGTTTGTGTCAGACTTTTACCATGTGTACTAAATAATGTTCTCCATTTTTTGTTTATGTCTTTTTTATGGAGAGCAGCTCACTGAGTTGAATTGTTGGCGCTATATAAATCAATTATTATTATTATTATTGTTTTCATGTACATAATGTTCCAGAAATTTATATAATTGTATCATTTGCTTGACGGAAACTAGGTACGTCGCTGGACAATAAACAGTTATGTCCGGTGTAAATTTATAGATAATGTTGTTATGAACTGGGGTTTAACGTCCTACTTCGACTGGGCTAATGAAGACGGCCAAGGGCCTCTTTCCTGCATCACTGACACCACTGACAAGTGGGAACCACATCGGAAAATTCCGATGAACTTTCTCGGGAAAGTGAAAGTATTGAACAACAGGTGAGCGAGCCAACGTCCTACCCGCTGAGTCACCGTGACTCCCAGAGAATGTGGTATGCCCAGACATGAGATGCTCATAGAACAGCATAACTTTGTTGGTTTTTTTTGGTTTTTTTCGTAGGAAGCCGTAGTGGCACAGTAACTAAGGCTCTGTCACGTTATCCATGAGGTTTCGAATTAGCTGCCGGTGTTGACCCAGGAAAATCCTCTAGATTTTCATACGGGGTTTCCCATTGTCGGTGCTGCAGGGCGGTGGGCCTCGTAAGGACGGAATAAGAGTAGGTCGTAACGGCTGTGTCCGGGCAAAACTTCTCTCAATCAGAGCACCCGTCTTCATTATCCTTGTTAGTGCAGATAGATATAGGATGTTAAACCCCATTTCATTTCATTTCATGTCATTTGTTTTTCTTGTAAATAAATGTATTTCCATCTTACATATCAGAACATATAACTTATCTCAATAATAAGGAATAATAAAATTTACTTTTTTAAAACAGTTTTCGTTATTTTTGGATTTATATATCTTTGTATAATTTTTCGTGACGTTAAGGATGATACGTACATTATTAAAAAATATGTAAGCCAACTGTGCAGATTTACCCCAAACTGTCTTATGCCCGTTTTGTAATACTATAGGGTTATTTTAGTTCTAAGAAAGGTGTTCTGTTTAATATAGAAATTCGTTACCTACATGATGTGTGACGAAAACTAGGTTAATTAAGTAGCTTGCATTATTCTTACCGATAGTTATGTCAGTATCCATTGCTGGAAGTAGGGTACTATAGTCCAGTCATCTCATGCACGGATTAGTACAATTAACTAACGCATTATACTTTCTATGTAGGAGAGGGCTTGTTTGATTTACCCTCAGATATCATGAGACCGTAGGAAAGATATAATTCGTGAGTTCCTGGGAAACGTCATAGCCACAGCCGCCTCGGCTGAGAGGCTGGAATAGAGACAAAATATGATGTTTAAGCCGTTTGGTTTGAGTTATTAAGGATGTTAAACTCAGACCGTGGATAGTTTAATAACTCCTAAAGTATCAATATCTCTAACAGATGTTGTAGTTTTCCTGTATTTGACCATTGCAGTTGGCTGTATTTGTTATATAAACTCAGTAACAACATAAACAGTGTTTCAAACTTAATTGATCATTGGAAATAGTTATTTGGTACCGCGACACAGGATGGATAGTTAGTCACATCTAAAAGTAATGTCACAGTTTTCCATGTACCGGTACGTGTTGGATAAAATAGAAACGATCCCATTACCGACCTTAAGTAAAGTATAATAGTTTTGTTTGATCCTATCTATTATTTTCATTTTAAAAACCATAATTACCAAGCATTTTGAGAGAATTGCTGAAAATAACACAATGTCCCCTACTAGCCTCAACTAATTTTACAATGCAGGCATGTACAATTATAACTCACTGATGGCATAAATTGTTGCCTGCCTCACAACTGTACCTAGGGGCCACGGCGGAAAGGCGCTGGATCGCTAACCGGAGTGGAGGACCGAGGGCCTGATAATATACGCTGTCTAGCCGTTTGAGTGGGACGTTGGCGTGCACAGAAAAGGAAATGGAATGAAATGAAATGGGGTTTAATCTCCTACTGTACGCCATACAGTGTGCTATGAGGAAACTTCTGCCCGGGCAGCGACACTGAGGCCTACTCTTATACCGAGTTCCATCTGCCGGGGGATCTTTTACGTGCACGCATATATATACACGAGTCCTCGATTTGTCGCCCCATCCTGCACCACTGACAAGGGGAAACCACGTCTGAAAGTCCCGATGTACTTTCTCGGCCAATATGCAGGGATCGAACACGCGACCTCCAGGTCAATGAGCCAGCGTCTTACCCACTTAGCCACCGTGGCTCCCAGGGTCTGTAATGATACGGGCTTTACACAAAATGAACAACAAAACAATAATTTACAAGAAAAGCAATAGAAATAAAGTAGCACCATGGGCCTTTCTGTCAGACGTTGAGAGCGGCGGACAACAATAAAAACCGATCGCCACATCCTACGTATGACCCATGCATCTTAATAGCCTTGTGATCGTCTAATATTTTCACTTGTCGTCTTTGCTCCCCCTTCACGTTTGTCTTCTCAGTAGTTAAGACGTTTGTCTTACCAGGAATAACAATGCAACAGTTCGTTTTTACATTTTATATATCATAGTTGGATACATAGATACAAGCATAGTAGATTACAATACTAAAGTCGTTCTCTCATACCCCATCCAGCCCGACATGCTGGGGCTACATCTTTTCCCTTCTGGAATCAAGCTGCTGTCTGACGATTGCCGAAAGGAATGATAGTTTTGTAGCTTTGGATTTGGACGTTCAATTATCTAATTGGTCAAATATGACGTAAACAGTTGTAGAGATTGGTTACTCAAGCTACATGATGCAATTAGTAAATTTCCAATCACTTGGTAAACATGATATTTTCATTCTCACGGAACCAACTAATATTTACCAAATTATAACACTTTCTTATATACCAATCCGTCACTCATTCTTGAGTGCATTAGATATGACTTATTAGCCAAGATATTAATTAATATCTTGCTACTAACTAAAAGAGCAAAAGTTCTAGCCATAAGCTTACAATAATGCCACCGGTCTTGACAATAACTGACTCCTGAATGACGATCGTCTGCCAGTTAACGTCACGACTTAGAAAGTCAAAATATTAACAATGAGGGTGGTTATCAGAATATAATTTCGGAAAAGGCTAAGAATTAAATGGACCATCCCGATTTTAGAGAGAGAGAGAGAGAAAGAGAAAGAGAGAGGGGGGGGGGGGTAACGTCCACTCGACACAAACTAGGTCATTTCGGGACTAACACATGTTTCAATTTTATTTAAAAAAATTCGCTTGCGCGTAGGGGTCTTTAGCAGTGGGAGGAAACCGGAGGACCCGGAGAAAACCCACGAGGTTGGACAGGCGACCCTACTCCTTGTCACGTACAAACGGAGAATCCAGTTACAAGGGACGTCCATATGTTATAGAAGAGGATATCGTTAACCACATCTCAGTTACAAGGGACCTCCATGTTTTATAGAAGAGGATATCGTTATAACCACATCTCTCATTGTATCCGTGTAAGATGTAAAACTTTAGATTATCATCGCGGTTACAAGAGATGTTCTGGGTAGAAAATGTAAGAATTTAAATTATCAGAGTAATGTACTGTGATAAAACCCTGTTTTAACTGATTTCACATATGGAAGTATGTAATCGATTGCTTGTAAGGTTCTACTACGTACCGTATTATAAGAATGGACATAGGCATAGGGGAGCAGTCTCAGTTGTGTGTGTGTGTGTGTGGGGGGGGGGGGGGCTGAGAATATTAGCCCGAAAATTTTCTTTGTTGCCCGAATTTTCAGAATGAATCAATCATTAACTAAAACAAATTTTCCACAAAGCTGTGATGGTTGTTTATTTTTAATTAATTACACAATTACCCAACAATATAAATTTATAATATGTTAATTAAAAACAACTTAATGTTCCCTATTCTCTGGGGAAATACATTGCCTGAAAAATGGACGGTGCAACCCAAAATTCCAAGCATCGCCAACAGAATATCAACAAGAACACCAAAGCACCTCCACCAGAATACCAACATTATTACATTGGTTCCAATGGAAGCTCGGATAAATATCGAGATTCTAACATTTGTGTTTTTGTGCCAACACGTTCTTTCCCCATCTCCTTTCCCCACAAAATATGCCCTCTTTGGTTGTGTCACAAAATGGTGACTGCGTAACTCGTGGGAAAAATAATGTACAGAGATCGCATTTAATTGGACAATAAAGGCTATAAAAGGCTATAAAATGAAATTACACATTATATTTTAAAGTCTGGGTATGTACGAAATTTAAGCGCCAAAATATAGAGGAATGGTGTATTTACCTTGTCTCAAAATTTCAGCTCAAAATATTGAGTCATATGGACGTGAACGTCAAAACTGCTTATCCGGACACATAACCCTTTTAAGATTTCGGGTCAATTTTTTCGTTGGGTGGCCTAATAATCTATCGTCGTTCCTTTAGAGATCTATAATGAATGACCCATGTGCTGATAACGAAAGGTAAATTTCACCCACACATTATGTTTATAAAATAAAGTCTGGTTTTATCCAGACACCGCATAATACAGCTTGGGACACCGGACTCCATTTTCAGATGAAGACTGATGGGTTTAAAGGCTCAATACCACTCTTGTTGTAACTGAATAATATGTCCCAATCTAAATTCTGGCCAACAAATTGCACTATTTTACAATATTCCAATTAATTGATGATACAAATTTCATCTTAACACACCTAATTTTAAAAATTGGAAAAATTCAACTAAATGATTTGAAAAGCCTGACGTAAAGCTTTTCAAATGTAACTTGGATTTAAAAATATTTTTGAACCCTCTGGACAAGTAAAATAGGATTTAATGGATAATTTACACAACAGGTAGGATACTAACACATCTTTTACTTAGAATAAGGCTATTTTTTATTTTTTGGAGCTGTCGAGCCAGCAAGAGTGTTATTGTCCCTTTAAGTTGTTTGAAAGCGTATCACATATATTGAGTTAATTGCTCGGCCCTAAGGTAGAAGATTGTAGGGGATTTTAACACAAAATTAAGCAGTTTTATTTTCCGAAATATTATCGGGATTGGCCCTTTAAACGTTACATTTTGTACATATACGAAAATGTTAGTACAACCGTAAAGCTACACTACCTTGTTTCACGGTAAACGATGACAAAATAAAAGGTATGTCGTCACAAACTGATTTCAACACTGGTTTAATAACATTTTAAAGTTCTTTTCGTCCGTCTTGGGACTATTTATAAATAATTTCATTGTCATATACGTGTATATAAAAGAGCAAGTATTTAGGAAACGGAACGGCTGGATTTGTGTTTTTATTCAGTGAATTTTAACAGAATAATTATGTTAATGCTGATTAAAATACAACTGACAACAACAGCAGGTACGGTATACCTACTAAAGGTTTGTGTGTGTGTGTCAGGGGGGGGGGGGGGCTGTCTCTCTCCCTATACCTACTCGGGGTCATTTAAAAATCCGTGGTGGGGATTTACAACAAAACAAGAACAAGAGGTGTTATAATCCACACAATATAATCATATAAGTCCATTCGTATCAGATATTCGTGTACAAGCCAAAATGCTAGTCGAAAATAAGTAATTAGGAAAAAACGAGGGGTGCTATTATCGCTGTGTGTTATTTCTTAATTTCCTATTTTCGAGTTGATTTTGGCTTGTATAGCGTGTTATCGCCTCACATTTTGTCGTAACTTCTACTTTTCGACTTTCGCGTTCTGAAGAGGCGAAAAGTAGAAATTATGAATGGTAGTTATAGGCTTCCATAGGTCTCGTCAATATGTCCCTCGTATAATCATTAATTATTAAACCGGCTGGCGCAGAACGGTAATACGTCTTCATTAGCCCAGTTCGGATCAGAACAGTAGAACGTTAAACCCCATTTCATTTCATATCAATCTGCCATGACGTCATCATAGGTTGATATATTCGGTTCATATCAACCTCTGATGACGCTGATGTAATATTACAAAGAACACAGAAATCACTTTTTTATGCTCTTGTCGATTACAAATGTTTATGGTACAGTTAGCTGCATTCACCACCAAAATGGCAAATCATTTTTGTTCTTGTGTGTTCTCTGACACCCGGAAGATAAGCACACAGTAATCATAGGTTACAAGAGGGGTGGGGTAGATGGCTGAATGGCTAGCGCGTGTGCGTTGTATCATAAGGTCTGGCATTGAGTCAACTGGCGTGGTGTCGATTCCCTAGTTGTACGTGACAAGGTGTAGGGTCACCTTTCCAACCTCGTGGGTTTTCTCCGGGTCCCCCCCCCCCCCACACTGCTTAAGACTCCTACGCGCAAGCGAATTATTGAAATAAAATTGAACCATATGTTAGTCCCGAAATGACCTAGTTTGTGTCGAGGGGCGTTAACCGCCATCTCTCTCTCTCTCTCTCTCTTGATATAAAAGTAGGCCGTAGTGCCGCTGTCCGGGCAAAATTACACAGATAGCATACTGTATGGCGAATGCACGTCTTCATTAGCCCAGCCGGAGTAAAAAACCTATTTCATTTATGTACTGCCAAACACAGTTTACTTGACAAATGGACGACGATGATATGAAATTTATAAGAAAAAAATAATAATTTTGATTCCATTCCCTATGACGAAATACATTCTGTCTCATTATTCGTTATTCAAAATTTGAATACCGAATAACGAATCAGGTTCTGTTTCGTTATTCGTTATTTACACTGTTAAAAATGGGTGTAATTAAAAACTAAGTGTAAACTTTAAACCACAAGCTAACCAACTAAAAGAGCTACAGCTAACAAGTGTAACCGATATTCATGACTACTGAACACCTGAATAGGTGTAATTGTGGGGTGTTTGGGTTAGCTACAACACTACCAGTGTTATAGTGCATTTATACCAAAGCGTTAACTAGTACTGTGGAATAAATCCTAGAACAGCGTTTATTGGGTTACAAAAGTGTAATCGATATTCATGAATACTGAACACCAGGATAGTTGTAATTGTAACTGGTGTAAACTACCTTATTATTTTTAACTGTGTAGCAAAAACGAACAACGAAACACGGTTTAACTTCACGCTGCCGCGATTCGCCATCCAGTATGTTGACTCATAGGCGGTAATATCTTTTGATCGATAATATGTGATAAAGTAACTTCTACGTTTTATTTTCTAAAAACGTTTTAATCCGACAGGATATTCATTTTCACGGGAATAATTGGATCTTTACTGATCACCGTCAAGGTTTCCATTTACAGGTATACCATTTAAATTTAATTTTCATCTCTAGCCTACCGTCTTCAGTAAATAATCCACAACCAAGACCAGGAAAAACCTATTATTTTGTCAACTCCAAAAAACATAGCTTCTGGCCGGGTTTGGTGAAATAAAATGAAATGAAATGGGGTTTAACGTCCTACTGTTCTGCTCCTATGCTGGGCTAATGAAGACGGGCATACACCATACAGTGTGCTATGAGGGAAATTTTGCCCGGGCAGCGGCACTATCGCCTACTTTTATATCGAATTCCAACTGCCAATGGATCTTTTACGTGCATTCCAATGTATACATGGGACCTCGGTTTTCGTCTCATCCGAAGGACTAGACAGCTGTCCTTGTCAGGCCCTCCGTCCTGCATCACTGACAAGGGGGAACCACGCCGGAGAATCTGGATGATCTTTCTCGGCCAATGCAGGGATCGAACACCCGACCTCCAGGCTAGCGAGCCAGCGTCTTACCCACTTAGCCACGTGATCCCCGCCAGGTTTGGTAATTGACGAGGTTATTAGATTGCATGGGGATTAACGTCCTACTTTGCCGTACCAGCCGATCGAATGAAAACGGGCATATTATATACGCCAGTCAGTGTGGTATGAGATAAATTTTGTCTGGACAGGTGCACGTCCTCGACAATAATATTTGTGACTGTCGTTTGTTTGTCTGTTCAATGCTAGCTCGGACCGGGGAGTAACATAGGGCTGTTGGTGATGGCTTACCACTTCCGGCTTCGGAGTTCTACCACTTCCGGTTCATGGCTGTAAGCATACTAATCCTACTGATTAATAGAATGTCTAGCATTGTACATTTCTCAATAATTGTATAGGATAGCCTTTGGGAAACTGTCTCGCTAGGCCGAGGAATGGGTTGGTAGGGGGGAATGGAGGCCCAAATTGTATTTTTTGTCACAAAGTCATATAGGTTTGATCATCTTATACATTAGTAAAACATTAATTTCTTGCACAGTGCATCTCTAAAAACATGTGTATAGTGTGAAGTTGGACACTTGTGTTGCTTTTATGTTGGGGGTGGTAGTGGGGGTTTGGGGCTGTGTGTCTGGTTAAGGGGCAGGATCATTCTGTACATTAAAATAGTAGTGTGTACTGGATATCCCTGGGCCCTTATTCACGAAAACTTAAACTAAGATACAGTCAAAATTTTAAGAAATACTGCAATTCGATTGGCTGACCAGTAAAATCAATTTGCATATATCCAATTTGCATATTGGTCAGCCAATCGAATAAGGGCCCTGGACAACTGTGGTGTGTACTGGATATCCCAGGACAACTGTGGTGTGTACTGGATATCCCTGGACAACTTTAGTGTGTACTGGATATCCCAGGACAACCGTTTTCCAATGTGGTGGTGTGTAGAGAGATTGATTTAACGTCCACTCGACACAAACTAGGTCATTTTGGGACTAACAATTTTATTTCATTTCTTCGGTTGCGCGTAGGTGTCTTTAGCAGTGGGAGAAAACCCACGAGGTTTGAGGGCGTGCCTACTCCTTGTCACGCACATGAGGGGAATCGAAAGCACACCACTTGAATTAATGGCAGACCTTATGATACAACGCGCACGCGCTAATCATTCGGTCACCCCAACCCCGATGTATTAATGTAACATGCAACCATTCGCCCCACCCCCACTCCCCACCTGGTATATCGAGGCCAGGAAATCATTAGTAAAACTATCGCTGAGTACAAGCGTTCAAAGATTTCTTTTCTCTTGCGACTATATCACAACCTTTGCTAGAATCAAAATCTTGAATCGGCAATAAAAAAACAGATTGTATTGAATCCTTTTTATCAAGGGATTTGTTTAAAATAACGAATTTAGTCAATTCTCTTGAATTCAATGAAATGTGACTGAATGAATTCTTTGGTCATCAAATATATTACACAGTTAGAGAGAAAATATAACACAATAATACAATATAATAGCCGGATTTGCCTACTTGACGAAATCAATCAATGAAGTGACAAACTTACCCGGGGTTCACTTGAAGCAAGGTTATCTCCTCTGTAGGAGGCGCGGTGGCTCAGTGAGTAAGACAATGGCTCACTAACCTATAGGTCCCGTGTTCGATCCCGGTGTTTTAGATCCCTTTCAGTTTTGGGGAGAGAGACAGAGAGGGTAACATTCACTCGACACAAAAGTAGACTTTTTAAATTGGCCTCAACAGACATCCATAATTATCCCTAATACTTGTGCTGATAATCATTTATTTGACCAGTCACTGGAATAATTGTGTTTTGTTCCCTTTTTAGATATGAAGCCCAACATTACCCTATTTATCTGTCTAATGATCATCACAGGACTTTCGGTTTTAACAGTAATTCATAGAGCACCCGTCTTTCAGCACCTTTACACATATGGAAGTAGATTCTTCGATGTCGATACAAACATGTCACTGCACAGGGACCTTTTAACCAAGAATATGGCAACGCAGGCGCGTCCTGTAATAAAAATATCACCGAAAACAACAAGAAAAGCAACCACTGCCACCGCAACTACAAATTCAAATATTGCATCAGAAGATACAAATACTGTAGCTTACACGGATATCTCTTTAATCAATTCCCCTAGTTGGTATTTAAATAGAATTCGACTTGAAAATGTATTTATAAACTGTGAAATAAAAACTTGCCGTGTGAGAAATGGTTGGGATTACTTCAACACCAGTGATGCAGTGGTGTTTTATGCGGTAGATTTACCATTGAAAACGCCACCCAAACGCATTAATCGGCACCAAATTTGGGTAGTTTCTGGATGGGAATCTCCGCACCACAAGAGATGGCACGTGTTTTCAAACCCGGAGTGGAGAAATCAAATCAACTGGACCATGACATATCGATTAGATTCCGATATTCCCGTGCCTTACGGAATAGTGAAAAAAACTGAGAATAAATTCAATAAAAATTATAGTGCAATTATGAAAAGTAAAAAGAAAATGGTAGCTTGGGTCGTAAGTAACTGTCGGACACCAGCAAAACGTTGGAAGTACGTAGAACAACTGAAGGAAATAGTTCCAGTGGATGTGTTTGGAAAGTGTGTTTCGGCCACCCCTACAGATATTTTCGAAATGATAAACAAGACCTACAAATTCTATCTCGCATTCGAAAATTCACTATGCAAAGACTATATTACGGAAAAGTTTTTTAGAAGGCAAAATTTAGACGTTGTACTGATAACCAGAGGTGTTGGGAACTATACCAAGTTTTATCCACAAGAATCTTTCATAAACTCCAACAACTTTAAAAACGCCCACGAACTGGGAACATTTCTTCTGAAATTAGATAAGAACAACACTGCTTATGTGAATTATTTAAAATCGAAAGAGAATTATAGATCGGAAGGTTTGGGTCCATCCACCATTAAGGGACTGTGTGATATGTGTAAAATGTTACAAGATAAAACGATCCATCGGAATGTTTACATGGATTTTAATAAGTGGTGGTGGAATAGTGATTGTAATACCAAACCAACAGACATTATTTTATAAAATCGCCCAAGAGCTGTGATTCTTCTACCTTTCCATCTTCATTAGCCCAGTCGGTGCAGAAAAGTGGTACTTGAAACTCCATTTCATTTCCCCTTTATTTGGATTCTATGTTTATGTGAACGTCAATAAAACGAATTAAGAGTTCGCAAATCATATATAGTTCCCTTAACAATTGATGACAAAACCGCTGAGAAGACAAATATTTAGGTAAATATTATTTAACGACAGTCACGACTGAAATTAATGATATTTGGCCTCTCAAACGGAACAATCAACATACCTTATATGTGATCTTACATACGATCTCGTGTTATGTTATAAATATTCACCTCTTGCTAAGCTTATAATTAAAACGTTGCTAATTGTCGGTTGCATAGAACAAAACCCTGGCCCGTTAAATACATTAAGTTCAGGTAACATTTCCATTGTTAACAATACTGTCTGTAGCCTATTGCCAAAATTAGATTGAAGCTGCATTATCTAACCATGATATAATATGTATTACTGAATCTCATCCAGTAGACGTGGTACAAGGGTTAATCAGCGAACTGGATGTATGAGATGTGTTGTTGACGTTTGGGAAAGTAGGACGAGGGGAAATGTGTAGGGAGTGAAGTGCTGTAAAGGGATAGTAAGATGTATTCTGAATGGTTAGAGTGGCTGTGGTGTTACGGTGAAATACTATGCCGCCACCGTAACACCACAGCTTTATGATTTGTTAGACAGGAGTGATGTAATGGGTGTCAACAACTGGGTATGCTGGTACCGTCGCAACGTAGCCGTGAAATATATATTGTGGGGGGGGGGGGGAAGGGCGGAAACGGAAAAATATACAATGTAAACATGATATTTTCATATTACTAACTAAAAGAGCAAAAGTTCTAGCCATAAGCTTACAATAATGCCACCTGTCTTGACAATAACTGACTCCTGAATGCCGATCGTCTGCCAGTTAACGTCACGACTTAGAAAGTCAAAATATTAACAATGAGGGTGGTTATAAGAATATAATTTCGGAAAAGGCTAAGAATTAAAGGGACTATCCCGATTTTAGAGAGAGAGAGAGAGAGAGAGAGAGAGAGAAAGAGAGAGAAGGGGGGGGGGGGTAACGTCCACTCGACACAAACTAGGTCATTTCGGGACTAACACGTGTTTCAATTTTATTTCAAAAAATTCGCTTGCGCGTAGGGGTCTTTAGCAGTGGGAGGAAACCGGAGGACCCGGAGAAAACCCACGAGGTTGGACAGGCGACCCTACTCCTTGTCACGTACAAACGGAGAATCCAGTTACAAGGGACGTCCATATGTTATAGAAGAGGATATCGTTAACCACATCTCAGTTACAAGGGACCTCCATGTTTTATAGAAGAGGATATCGTTATAACCACATCTCTCATTGTATCCGTGTAAGATGTAAAACTTTAGATTATCATCGCGGTTACAAGAGATGTTCTGGGTAGAAAATGTAAGAATTTAAATTATCAGAGTAATGTACTGTGATAAAACCCTGTTTTAACTGATTTCACATATGGAAGTATGTAATCGATTGCTTGTAAGGTTCTACTACGTACCGTATTATAAGAATGGACATAGGCATAGGGAAGCAGTCTCAGTTGTGTGTGTGTGTGTGTGGGGGGGGGGGGGGCTGAGAATATTAGCCCGAAAATTTTCTTTGTCGCCCGAATTTTCAGAATGAATCAATCATTAACTAAAACGAATTTTCCACAAAGCTGTGATGGTTGTTTATTTTTAATTAATTACACAATTACCCAACAATATAAATTTATAATATGTTAATTAAAAACAACTTAATGTTCCCCATTCTCTGGGGAAATACATTGCCTGAAAAATGGACGGTGCACCCCAAAATTCCAAGCATCGCCAACAGAATATCAACAAGAACACCAAAGCACCTCCACCAGAATACCAACATTATTACATTGGATTCATTTAATACTTAAATTTACATGGCTTGCAATTGATTTTGTTTATTTGAACACATTTCTAGAGAATCAAACAATACATAACATGTTTTAAAAACATGTCAAACATGCAAACTACAACTTTTCTTTCGCTACCCAGGGAGTTATTGCATGACAGATGTCTCGAAAACAATACATTTCTAACCAATATTAAAAAAGTTGTTTTGCACACGTAGCATTAATTCAGCCATTATGGAAAATGTCCTATTGATTGAATATGAATAACAGCATAGGCCTCGGGTGGGGGGGGGGCAATTTAAGTTGGGCGTGTGTGTGGGCGGCGGGGGGGGGGGGGGTATTACTTAAAAAATCTTTGTGACCCAAATTTTCAGAATGCATCAATCATTAAATAATATGGCATAATGGTCTCACACTTTGAGTAGCGCCCAAGCCCCCCCCCCCCCCACACCCAGCCTATGAATTACTGAAATAGTTAATCGATGATAATGTCGAATCAGTGAATATTTTATTTAAACCTCAAAATAAACTTACCAAAAAGATAGAGAATAGATTGTGGAAAAAGGTTTCCAAATCTTTGATTTATCATGTGCTCAGCTGTATTGATTTTCTCGTGTGTTTTTATGTTTTTATTGTTTACATAAATAAATATATATGGAGTTTATTCGGGGTAATGTATCCAATCACCCCGTAGAATCGAGACTGGTTAATATATCAAAGTAGAAGCAGTTTTTATGAACTATCGGCAATATACCACGTCTAATGATCGCAATATTTGATGATAAGCCTACTTACTTACTTGTACTTATGTGTTAAACATCTTATGTGTTAAACATCTTATACTTAGAACGAAATCTGCATATTATATAAAATTGGTCAAAGTCATCTAAGCCTATTGGACCGTCGTAATTAAAAAAATATATATTGTTTTTAGAAATGATTTGAAGTCGGTAATACATTACAAGCTTCACATACACCGTACAATAGGAGTGGCATTTAGCAATACGTTTTCTTTAAAGAGAAGACTTCCCACGTTATTTGTCCTAACATTTAATAATAATAATAATCAATTTGTATAGGAGTGTTCCAGCTAATAAGACAAAGTGAAGTAAAGGGTTAGGGTTATGTCACTTCCGGCAACAATGAAACCGTTAAACATGTTTCCACATAAGCATTGCACACGTGTTACAAAATAGACAGAGAATCATCCAAATCCAAGGACATCAATTCCATTTATACATTTGTTACATATGTCAAAAAAGTGATCCTTACAAAATTTGTTGCTAACTTACCGCTATGTTAGCAGACTTTTTAATGGGAAATTTCTCGACAAGGGAAGATGCTAGAAGCAATTTTTGGACAGCTATATGATCGTATTGATCCAATCTATATGTCCATTGGAATCAAATACCATAATGTTAAACGAATGATAAATATAACTCACTTAAAAACAATTTGAAGGCTAATAATACAGTTTTTGCCAAAATTACATTACTTCCGGTGATAATAAAAATTTTACATTAATTCTATGAAAATATAAATGGCATAAAGCCTCACATGGTGAAAATTTTATGATAATCGAATAATAATTGACACTTTTACAGACCAAAACCTATATCTCTGCAACCGAACAAATTAGAAACCATTTTGTGATATCTGTATGGTCGTATGGGTTTTGACCTAGTCAAAGGTGGCATGAGGCATCACATGGTAACAAAAATTGAAAATTGAACGATAATTGACTCTTTTACATGCAAAATAACGTGAAAAGTGACGCATGCAAAATTGCCTATTTCTCGGCCACTGCGCATATTACAATCTAATTTTGACATACATTGTCCTTGTATGGATTAATGCTACAAAATTATGAAAGTTGCGTAGAAATAATTTAAAATATGAAGACGATGAATGGGTTGTAAATAGCTGATTTTTACTCCTTTTTTCAACCTTAAATCCAGACTAGATAGGCAATAAGCTGCTGACTTCCGGTAGAATAGAGTCGCCATATTGGAAGTTGCTACGTTGGTTGTTGTCTGTCAAAACACCGAGTGCATAACATAACCGCATGTTCATTTATTTACAATGCCACGGGCGTTCTCGGGCTTAGTGTAGGCCGTTAAATTGTAATTTAGCCCCTTACAGCTATCATTTGGCCGTAACCAAGGGGTCTAGCCGAGGTTTAGTTTCTTCGATCCACACTCGTCATTGTATTGGACTATTGTAGGCCTAACGTAAACAAGGAAAAGTGGCCGTGGTACTGTTGATGATTCATAATATTTGTGTCTTAGTACAGGCGGTTACCAGCGGTGAAATGTGACACTGGAATCGGGTTTTATTATTTGTATACATTTTCTCGATCATATGAAATAATTCTGCTTTGTGGTCAGTAATCAAAATCATGGTAACAACAGACAGTGTCAGACTGACGCTTGTGCAACCTTCTTATAATAAATGGGCCTATATAATTACTCAGCCCGTTCTATAAAATACTGTGAAAATGTCTCAATGATGATCATGGATAAATATATTGGTAACTGTTTTTAACACAAAGTTAAATTGGAGAATAAAACTTCACAGCCCACCCGATACAACTACAATCAATATAGAAATAGAAAACCTGATCAACACTCAAACAAAATGAAATGAAATGGGATTAATGTTCTACTGCTCTGCTCCAACTGGGCTAATGAAGACAGGTCACTCAAACAAAATCAACAACCAAACTTTCTGGAACCCAGGAGGTAGAAGTAATTTAGAAAAAAATCAAGGAGGATTTTATTTTTTTTTTTTTTAGCAGAAATGAACTTTTCAATACTGGATTGATTCAATAACTATAAAATTACTTAAATTTGTGATAATCATTTTTTTAAACACAATATATATAATATTATTTTTTATATAATTTGATTAATCATTTTTTATTTAAAGATGCATTATGTAAGAGCTAAATCTGCCTATTGCAGGTCTTTTTCTGGATTCAAATGTAATATAAATTACTATTTAGACATTTACATAACAAGGCCATAATAAACTCTCTAGACCATAGGATGGCTCCGACTTTATGTAGATTAGAACACCGCACCCATTAAATAATAATATCACCTTAGCGGTTGGTGGACAATCGAGTCTTCGCTTATTATCTTGGGAATATATTGATCGACAATCGAGACTAC